TAACCAGACAAGTTCGACACACAGGAACAGAGGGGTTGAGGGCCCTGCTCAATGAGCTTACATGCTAGAGGGAGTGGGGTAAAGTGACACAAAAGGTAAGGATAGTATTAAACTAATGACAGTTGCAAGAGAGGAATCAGTCGGGAGCAATTAACAGTTTAATTGATACGCTTTTATGAAGAAGTGTTTTTTTAAATGATTTTTTGAAGGAGTGGAGACTGGGTGAGCATCTAACGGAGGAGGGAAGTGAGTTCCACAGGAACAGTGCAGCCCTCGAGAAGTCTTGAAGGCGAGCATCAGAGGTGGGAGTACGGACAGAAGATAGACGTAACCATGGGTGAGATCAAATGTGTGGAGAAGGGGAAGACTATATAGATAGATAGATTTAAAAAAGGTTGTTGCTCCGTGGGTCTGGGCTGTGTGTTTGTGATAAATTTATAGTATTGTGTTGTTGCCTTCTAATAAATACCTTTTAATGTAGACGAACCTTGTGTAATATATATATTAATTTGGTGATACACCACACCATCTAGTCTGCCCAATTTTCTAAATACTTTTATTAGTCCCTGGCCTTATCTTATAGCTAGGATAGCCTTATGCCTATTCCACGAATGCTTAAACTCTTTTACTGTGTTAACCTCTACCACTTCAGCTGGAAGACTATTCCATGCATCCACTACCTTCTCAGTAAAGTAATACTTCCTGATATTAATTTTAAACCTTTGTCCCTCTAATTTAAGACTATGTCCTCTTGTTGTGGTAGTTTTTCTTCTTTTAAATATAGTCTCCTCCTTTACTGTGTTGATTCCCTTTATGTATTTAAATGTTTCTATCATATCCCCCTGTCTCATCTTTCCTCCAGGCTATACATGTTAACAGTGCATGGAGTCTTGGTGGGGTGGTCCGGTGGACTGATTTGGACTTTGAGTGCCCACTCTGCCACAGAACGCTATGCTGGTGGGTTGGGTCCGACCCGGGGAGGACGGGCATCCTGAGGGGCCTACAAAAGCAAACATGGGAACAGCTCTCTCATAATAAAACTAACACTGCTTTCCTCAAACCACTATGTGCAGCGATATTGCATAGTATGTTCCTATCCTCCAAGAAGTGACTCGTTCCTATGTTTCTCCTCACTGTCTGCAGTAATTATATTACATCACAGTTTGCTCACACTGCTTAACAGCATGTGTTCCAGAGGTCACTAACTGGTATCCTAATGTTTAACCACTGCATGTAAGATGGCAGGCTACATAGCTTTACTGATTAATATGATACTGTTCTCCCTGACATGTATTTTATTATTATGATATGCTTACTCTTTTTGTCAATGTTCGCTCCAGGTTGCACTAACACTCGGTATACTAAAGCCCCTATATGCCAGCAGTCCCGTACAAACACCTACATAACGCAGCGATACATACTCATTCACTAGACACAAACTAGAGATATAAAGATACACTGCGCCTTAAGGATTGATTGTAGCCTTCCTCCATGCCAGTATAGACCAATATTGTCTCTTTGACTCCTATGCCATATTAGACTACCGTTACGAGAGCAATGCACCATCGTGTGCAAGGCCGTATATATATATATATAACCAAACCCTGACGTCAAATGCTGATTTAATTTTGACACAAACTGCATATGTTCCAATGAGCCTAACGCCTAATCATGCATCTAATGGACGCTCAGGAGAGCAGATTTTCTTTTTCTAGTTAGGCTTTCCTTTGATATACTAAACACGGATATGCTTTCATGCTAAGCTTCAGTCTCAGTTTTCATTTTAAATTTATTAGTTTATAATAGAATTAATCGCCAAAATAGAACTCTATCACACGTCCCGCGGTAACTGCATGCATACTAGATATTGTGTTAAGTATTGTTCTGCAATGTATTATGTTTAACTACTTTGACCTATAAGCCTCTGCGTAGGTGACCATGTGCCTCTTTTATCGGTTTGCAATAGGTTTGCTTTTATTCTATCAAAATAAAAAACGATTTAACACAAACTATACATTTTAAGATTCTTTAACCTTTCCTTGTAAATTTTATCCTGTAATCCATGAACCAGTTTACTATCCCTTCTCTGAACTTTCTCCAAAGTATCAATATCCTTCTGGAGATACGGTCTCCAGTACTGCGTACAATACTCCAAGTGAGGTCTCACCAGTGTTCTGTACCATGGCATGAGCACTTCCCTCTTTCTACTGCTAATACCTCTCCCTATACAACCAAGCATTCTTCTAGCATTTCCTGCTGCTCTATTACACTGTCTGCCTACTTTTAAAGGGACACTATAGTCACCTAGACCACTTCAGCTCCATGAAGTGGTCTGGGTGCCAGGTCCCACGGTTTTAATCCTTCAGATGTAAACATAGCAGTAACTGGGTTATGAGTAGGGAATTCCCGAAGTCTCGAATTTCCAAAGTGCCAGACCAAACCAAATTTTTTGCCCATGCATATCACTAATTATTACCCCTATATCCCTTTCCTCAGATGTTGAAGTTATGACTCTATCAAATATTCTATATGCGGCCCTTGGATTTTTACGTCCAAGATGTATTATCTTGCACTTATCCACATTAAATGTCAGTTGCCACAGCTCTGACCATTTTTCTAGTTTACCCAATTCATTTGCCATTGTATCATCAGCAAAAAGACATACCTTACCATCAAGACCTTCTGCAATATCACTAATAAAAATATTAAAGAGAATTTGTCCAAGTACAGATCCCTGAGGTATCCCGCTGGTAACAAGACCTTGCTTTGAATATACTCCATTGACTACAACCCTCTGTTGCCTGTCACTCAGCCACTGCCTAACCCAGATCGTTCATCTGCACATGTGTAAATAGGTCAGGCATGCCCAATGCACTTTTTCAGCATTCCTAGGGACAGAACAGTGATTGGTTATGTAAATGTTCCCCTTGAAGTGGGCATGGAAAGCATAAGAAAGAAGAATCAGGTAAATACGGAGAATAATAAAAAAAAAATAATAAGTTTCTAATCGAGACACCTGTCTCATACCAACAGTAGTCTCAATGTGATGCATGTCCCTATATCCATGGGCTGGTTGTGCACCCATATTAATGCCGTTATAGTATGCCTTATATCGATTTTTCTGCAACATATAGTGCACCCCAGATTTGGTTATCTTCAGGTATAGATGCATAAAGCGCACAGTTCCTCTGTGTTCTGCTTTTCCATCTCTACCCTGAGACTGAAAAGTATTCTAGGTCCCCGTGCAAAAAAACAAACAAAAATCGCTATCCCTTACCTAGATCCCAATTAAACCGGACCTGTTCAACAGTTGTCTTGAGCTTTCCTATGGGATGAGGTCATAGGCAGCATTACTATTGATGGGTTCAACAACGGCTTTGAATGTCTTCCAGGTTGTAGACTGATGACCATCATGCTACCTGCCTTATCCCATTCAGTATGTAACAGAGCATGCAAAAGGGGGCGATGAAGTAAAATAAAATTTGCGGCTTGTAAGTTACGATCACATGAACAAGAACAAATTAGAAGGCTTTGAATACCACTGCATTTGTGGTTAGTAAATGCTGTGTACATTATTCATAGCTGATACAAGAGCATATTAATAAAATTCATAAAATACAAGTATTGCCACGTACTGCAGGTTTCTGATTGGACCTATGGCCTTTCATGTTGGTTCAGTGGAATAGCAAGCAAGATTGTGAATGGATCGATGTCTTGTGGTATATTGATTCTCGATTTCTGATAGTTTTCCCCACACCAAAGTATTGATGAGGAAGCTATGTGCCCAAGTTCACTCTTGCACCTTCTTCTAGAACAGTAGTTCACAACCCAGTCCTCAAGTACCTCTTAACAGTCCACGATTTAGGGATTACCAGCTTGTGTATAAGGGTTGTTTTTTTATTTATTTATTTTTTTATTTTATTTTTTAGAAAGAAAGAACCACTGTTCTTGAAGAAAGGAAACTTTCTCCTTTGAACCACTCAGCTCATTTATTTGGATCACATTGTCTTATATGGTTTTCAGAGTGACACTATTCACGCCTGGGCTCACATAGTGTCAGAGGAGGGACTTGGTCACTTTTTTTCCTGTCCTGTCCGTATATCCGATAGACAGTTACAATGTACTGCCTCCTTGCCTGGCCAAACGCCCAGAAAGATTCAATACTAATCCATGAAATGCTCATAAAGAATGTGTTGGGGTTACATTGAAATTCCAGCGCTGTCAAAAAAACAAACAAAAAAAAAAACAAAAAAAAAACACAAGACAAATTAGGGACTTTCACATATGGCAAATGTCTAACTTGATTAAGAGATCAATCACCATCAGATGTTGTCACTCCCAACGACAGCATTTGGAATAAGGCATGGTCTCGTTAATCAAGATTTCATCTTTGAAGGCTCTATGGAAGATCCTCTATAGACATCAATGTCAGCACACACATGTGCAACAGTACAGCACTGACATGGACTCATGCCAGAGTTGAAGGTCAAAAATGGCTGCACCCACAGGGGACAGCATCAGTTAAATATGACTGCACCACCGGCCATGTATTTTATAAAGATGAAATCTTTATAAAACATTGACTGTCTTGGAAAATAAATGAATTTCAAGAGCAGTCAAAAGATATTCTAAGACAAAGAAGGAACTACTTTGTCTTATGTATTTTTCCTACGCTTGACAAGAAGTGGAGCTACCACATCAGGTTTTGTCAATCCCCCAAGTCATCAATAGTAACAGCTTTGAGACAGCTGGTGCCTTACAATGTCCCTGTTTTCCACTGTATTGATGCTAGTTGTCATGCAATTACATTTTTTTATATCTAATTTCACATCTAGATATACATTTTTCCTCTATTAGTTTTGTGTGTGTGCTGCATTAGAGTCATAACTCCCATACTAAAACTATGAGGAGTAGGTTTGGAGTACTGTCAAACTGTACTGAAAAACCAAACAATGACTAGTTTGTTAACTTTTTAATACTTATTAAAAATCAAAAATACGCAAAACTATTTAAAAATATACAGATGACAATAGTATAAATATTTACAATTTACAGAATATACAGTTTTAGAAATGAGGTCTCCAGGTGCCGATGAGTTTTGTTTTTAAGCATCCATTAACAGAAGCACAGGAAAAATTGTCAATATAATTACCCATTCACACAACCACATGTTTTCAGGGGAAGAAGCAACCAGAATTTATAGTGCAAGAAGCTGGCTACTAGAAATTATGGCTTTGGAAATATTTGCAATGATTTCAGATGAGAACATTCTATTAAAGAGTAAATGCAGGCTCCGTATTGCACAATTTAAACACAAACAAAAAGGGGAAATGTGTTGGGAGTTGAGGGCGCAACAATATTAGATGGCAGGACATGTGTAGCAGGTTTTAACACCCTCAATATGTTTAGGCGCTATACACTGCTGTATTCGTAAAAGCACATAACATTTAATACTTAATCTTGGTAGTTTGACAGATAATTGGGTGTTTTGATAGATTTGGATTTTGATGGATTTGAATTAATTCAAACATAGCTTAAACCAAGGGGCATTCCAATCACAACTAGTCATACTCTGCATGCACAAAAATAAAATGTGTATTTTGAAATTGACAGATTAACAAAGCATATAATAAACACAAGGCCGATATGTAAATTTGCTTTGCTTGCAAATTTGGCAGAAGATTAACAGAACGACACTGGCCAGATTATTTTGTGGTTCACGCAATAAAAGCCATCAGCAACATATATAAAACAATTCTTGTTCTACAAGTTTGCTTGATTTTACCCAAGCATATTTATTTTCCAAACTATTTGGCAGCTTAGGCAACAAGTACCTTTCTCTTTCCTCAAGCCGGACTTTCCAGCAATAACAAGGTTACCTTGGATAACAGCCTTCTAACCCAACCTAAATGGTTTTAAAACACTGTACAGGCCATCAAATTAGAGTTCACAATTCAAGATCATCATAGACCAATACACACAATACACATATAATTGATAATACAAAGACCGAAATATAAACTCAGTGATTGGGTTAACAGTTGTAACTAAATCAACAAAAGGCTTCCTCCAACATTACACATGCTAACCTGTCAGAATTCGGATAGTTTATAAATGTCAGCATTACCCCATTGTCACCACAAACCTGAAGATTTTTTTATTTTCTGATTATAGACATTCACTTAAGTGAATTATTGCACGTTCACCATCTCCTTGCACTTTTGTGAAACGCTTACAAAGAATAAGTGCTGAATGACTTTGTAGATAAATTACACAGGGTTAAGACGGAACATGCTGGTATTAAAACATGCCAGGCAAACATTACTGTAACAGTTTCACACATGTAGGTTCTCAAGAGTCGAGATTAATTTTCCTTTTGGATCGCATTGGATACAGCTTTTGTTGAGGGGAAAGTGGCCTTTTTCTTTTTAAGACAGGTGTGGTTTTTGACTGGGACGGAGATTCAGTGGGATAGCTTTTTACAGGCTTTGCAGGGCTCCTTGCCAGATCGTCCAGTTTGACTTGGCAGTTGAAGATTTCTTTGCGCATTCGAGAGCTCACCAAAGAAGGCTGTATACTAAGCACCTCTGAAAAGCCTTCTGCCTTCTCAATTTGAGCTGGAAGGGCCTAGAGAGGAGAGAGAGAAAAAACATTTTAGAAAAGAGATACTGAACATAACGTAGTAAAGTAAAAAAAAACAAAAACAAAAAAACCCACAAACATTATATATATATATATATAATTTTTTTTTTTCAGGAAGCGCACTTCTTGCTCATACAGTGTAAGTCAGCGCACATTACTTGCAGTAGCGGTGTTGGGAGTGCGTGAGTGCATGCGTGCAAAGCACTGCTCCTTGTCTGGAATGAACTGCTACCAGCTAAACACCTGCAAGTCAAAGACTGATCGGAATGGCGCTACGTTTTTCTTATCATCTATGTACTTATCGACTAAAAGGGGAAGCTAGAGTTGACCATACGATGTTAGCACAAAGAGGGTTGTGCATGGATGCACCCGAAATTTTAAAAGAAGATAAATGCATGGGAGCCAAAATAAATGTTTCTAGGAATAGCTTTCTAGTAACCTAATCAAAACATAATGTACAGTACACACATTGATTTAATGGTATTTTACCTTCATTGTGTCACTAATCTGCTTAGACACAGTGGACGTGTTTGCTGTAAGTTCTCCCATGCGCGACACTGAAATAAATCATTGAGATTAAAAAGCAGACAACAAACATTCAATCTCCACAGAGAAAGCACTCCCCCTCTTCCTCCCCCCTTTAAGAAAATGGTTCATTCACAAACAATAAATCTATACAAATGTAAAACTTTCCAGAGGGTAATTTAAAAAAAATTAAAAACAAAATCAAGATAATACACATTAAATGCAAAATAATTAATTTATGAAAGCACACGAACATAAAAAAAATAAAATAAACGCACATGACAAGACTCATGACTCTCCCTCCTAACATACAGTATCCAAGGACCATAGTACATGTCATTAGGCAGTCCATTGAAGCTCTCCAAGAGTTGTAGATGTACAACAGAAAGTAGATAACTGTACAATAGGTGCGTACTATATACACACACACACACACACACACACACACACAGGTTTTTATATCGCTGTGCATTTTCTTCCATAAATCAAAATTTAAAATAGACCTTATACCACACAAAGTGCATTTAACTATAAGGCGTTAAAATTTATAGCACAGTGCAAAGAAAGAAAAAAAAAAAAAATACAAATTCAAGAAACTAATTCAAATCTACACCTTTAAATATGGTCAGATATTAATAACTATATATAGTGCAGGTTTCACTTACCAAGCCTTGAATCAAGTTTAAACTCTTCTGGAGTTACAACAGGTTTGTATTGCCCCTTAAATAGAAAAAAGTTAAATAAAATGCAAAAGAAATTTAATAAGAAGTGAAGTGTAAATAAAGACCAAACACATTTAAACATATAATTTACAGAAAAAATAAGTCCGTCCCCCCCCCCTCTATGGGTATTATAAACATGAGCAGTGCCCTTTGTGTATAATACAAGTAACTCAGAAAAAGGCTCGTGAGCAGCTAACTGAAAGCTACCAAATTATTTTTGCTTTGTTCGTACACACATCAGTAGACGCAAGAGAGCAAAATTTCTACTTCTGCAATATCTTCACACTGTCACTAGGGGCTTCAGACAGACATTCAATATCTGAATCTATTTGGTTTGGGGAGAGAATTTAGCTAAAGTTAATTTTAAAGTTTAACAGTCAAAATACTTACCAATATCTCTCTTTCAGTCTTTAATACTTTGATTACATGAGCAAGAATTTTTCTAGGATGTTTTTTCCTCTTTCTTGTAGTGTCTACAATTAAGTCATCCAGTTTATCTTCTAAGATTTTAAGGTCAGGTTCTGTGTAAGCAGAAATTAGGATCATTAATAAAATGACAATTTAAATCTATTCTAATCCAGGAGTGAATACTACATGGCAGTTAATACTGTCGTTACACCACATGTTTGTGAACTACATCACCCATAATGCTCAACCAATAATGTGCACTGCGTCATTCACGTAGGAAAGTACACTAGTGCATGTTATGTTCCTGACAATTATAGCCAACATGAACACACTACTTGCCATTCTGAGTTTCTGCAGCCTCGTGCCACGACTGTCCATTAATGCTAACATTCTCCTGAAACAATGTTTGGAAATCCTAAAAGAAAAGGAATACAAGATAACATGATCAAAATACATTTTACATTTTTAAAAATTCAGAACGAGTGTGTCTGAACATACTGCCCATTTTCATCTAAAGATGCACATAAAAAGGGACACTATGGTGTCCCTTGGTTTGTTAATAGGGAAGTAATAAGTATTAAATTATCACTATAACCAATACGGAAGACTTCATGGTGGAGCCATAATGTCACCCTGAGTTGGCAGAGCAGATACTATATATTATACTAACCGGTATATATTTTTGATTCAATCTCTAAAACTAACCTTTGTTTTGCCATCTACTCCAACAATGTACTTCGTGAGTAATCACAGTGAGAGCCAACCACAGCACTCACATTGCCTTCCCTGACAACTATGAATAGAGCTACAAGGGTGCATATACCACAGGCCCACCAATCTGGCCAGAAATATCCAAATATACAAGAGACTGACCAGCATTCCTTGTCTTAAGAGACAGTTGAAACATTACCTGGTACAATGGTGAATTATTGAACGAGGAGCACTTGACGGTCTTTTGCATATTTACATCTTGCTTACGACAAAACTCCACAGCCCAATTTTATTTATTTATTTATTTTTTACACAAATTAGTTGTAGGCTACTTTCCCACCCATCTGGGGACTTTGCCTAATTTGCAAAGTACCCCGGCAGGGATATCATTGCTGGCAGTCCTTTGGCCTCAGGGAGCAGGTACAGGTGAGATTACTTATCTGAACCTGTCTCTCATGGGCGCCGTCATTTTATTTGTACTGCTCCTCTTGAACTTCTGGCGCTGTTGACATCACTGCTGTACGCTCGTGCATGCCATCCCACGAGACCCTCCATAGACAACAAATTCCCTGTAGCCGACATGGATGATGGCTGCAGGTCTCGACACATAGGCTCAGTCTTGAGTTAGGAAGTGTCAGGCAGAGTAGTCCCTACTTTCACCTACTTCAGTGAAATTCCAACACAATTATAAGTATTTCATAAAGACTACCGTATATACTCGAGTATAAGCAGAGTTTTTCTGCACATTTTTTGTGCTGAAAAACCCCCACTTGGCTTATACTCGAGTCAATGTCTGTATTATGGGAACTTACATTGCCATAATACAGACCAGGACCGCCGGGCTCATTACAAGCCCGGCGGTCCTGTTGGGGGCTGACAGCGAGCTGTTACTTACCTTCCTGCAGCTCCTGTCAGCTCCCTTCTCCTCCGTGCAGCTCCCCGGTCAGCTCCGTTCTGCTTACAGTGTAAATCTCACGAGATCCGCGGGTGTCACGAGACTCACACTGTCAGCCCCCCCACTGCACAGCCCATCCATTGGACCACCAGGGATTCAATATTATTTTAATATTATTTTATTTTAACCCCTTAAGACCGGAGGGCGTACTATTACGCCCTATTTTAGGCGGCTCTAAACGCCGCCGGGCGTAATAGTACGCCCTCCGGTCTTTCATTACTTACCACGCCGGCGATCGCGGTTGGGGGGACTCCCGCGGCACGTCCGACCCCCTCGAAGCCCCCCGGCCATATGAGAGTGAGGTCCTTGCGAGGACCTCACAATCACATGGCCGGGATAGCTGGCTGCAGCATTGCCAGCAGGGGGGCTGCCTGTAATGACAGGTGGTCCCCCTGCTGGCAAAATAAAAATAAAAAAATATTATATTATATTAGTTGGGGGCTGACAGCGAGCTGTTACTTACCTTCCTGCAGCTCCTGTCAATGGGAGAAAATACTAGTAAATTACACCTATACAGTGTACGTGTGTGTGTGTGTGTGTGTGTGTATGTGTGTATATATGTATGTGTAATATACACACACACACACTGTATAGGTGTAATTTACTAGTATTTATATATATATTTATATATTATAAAAAAATTTAAATATGTAAATACGTTAAAAAAATTAAAAAATAATTACAAAATATATAGATGTGTGTTATTTCGTTCTAACTGTATTGTGATAATTATATATATTTATATCAAAATACACGTAGAAAGAAATATATATCTATATACATAAATATATACGTATATATCACTATATATAAATAAAAATATATTTTAAAAAATTATATATACATATACACACACAAATTCTACATATATATTTATGTAATATTTTTACATAATTGGGTATCTTAATTAATTACAATTAGCGGGACCTGCCTGACAACCCATGCCGAAAGTAAAGGTAATTTACTTTGCTAGCACTATATTTAAACCCTATAACTTTCCAAGACACCATAAAACCTGTACATGGGGGGTACTGTTCTACTCGGGGGGACTTCGCTGAACACAAATATTAGTGTTTCAAAACAGTAAAATGTATTACAACGATGATATCGCCAGTAAAGGTCACTTTTTTGCATTTTTCACGCACAAACAGCACTTACACGGACGATATTATTGCTGCGATACTTTTTACTGTTTTGAAGCACAAATATTTGTGTTTAGCGAAGTCTCCCGAGTACAACAGTACCCCTCATGTACAGGTTTTATGGTGTTTTCAAAAGTTACAGCATCAAATATAAGGCTTGTGTTTCATTTTTTTTCACATTAAAATTTGCCAGATTGGGTACGTTGCCTTTGAGACCCTATGGTAGCACAAGAATGAAAATGACCCCTATGATGGCATACCATTTGCAATAGTAGACAACCTAAAGTATTGCAAACGGGGAATGTCCAGTCTTATTTAGTATCCACTTAGTCACAAACACTGGCCAAAATTGGCGTTTTTTGCATTTTTCACACACAAATACTAACGCTAACTTTGGCCAGTGTTTGTGACCAAATGGCTACTAAAAAAGACTGGACATACCCCATTTGCAATACCTTGGGTTGTCTACTATTGCAAATGGTATGCCATTATGGGTGTAAATTTAATTCCTGGGCTACTATAAAGTCCCAAAGGCAACGTAACCAATCTGGCGAATTTCAATTTCAAATGTAACGTGCTATATTTGACCCTGTAACTTCCCAAAACGCCATAAAACCTGTACATAGGGGGTACTGTTTTACACGTGAGACTTTGCTGAATACAAATATGTGTATTTTATTGCAGTAAAAGCAAACAGTATTATGACACTGACCGTTAAAATGTCATGTAGAACTAAAAAAATAAAAATAAAAAATCGTATTTTCTCCCATTTTTTTCATATTAATTTATGTTTCATAGCTAAATATTTGATATTAACCCCTTCCCGACCGAGGACGGTTCAGGACCGTCATCGGCATTTTTGGCTTGCCGACCGATGACGGTCCTGAACCGTCCTAACGGTCTCCGTTACTTACCTGATCGCCGTCGTTCCCCCGGCGGCGATCAGCGTGGCTCCGGTTGTGGGGAGACTGCCTGCAGCCCAGACAGTCTCCCCACACTGAATTAGGACCCCTGTGGCCATGTGATCGCTCAACAGAGCGATCACATGGTCACAATAGGTGTCCATGTGTCTGCCTGCAGGGGGACTGTTTGTGCTGACAGGCAGTCTCCCTGCAACTGTAAAATCAAAAAATAAAATAAAGTTAGTGTTAATAAAAAATTAAAAAAAAATAATTATATATGTGTATATATGATATATAGACATATCTATATAATATATGTCTATATATCATATATATAATGCCATACTAAGTGTATTTGTATATTAATATAAAAATACACTTATAATTAAATTACACACGTATATAATATATATATATAAAAATTCTATATATATATATATATATATATATATATATATATATATATATATATATATATATATAATAACTATATATATTGTATATATATTATAAAATATAAATAATAAGTAATTTAAATTAAATAATTTTTTTTAAATAAAAATTTAAAAAAAATTATATATCTATATGAAATTTTATTCTAACTGTATTTTAAAATTAATATATATATTTATATCAAAATACACTTAGAATGAATTTGTATATATATCTATGTATATATAAATAAATAAAAATAATACGAAATATACATATGTCCATATACAAAATTACATAATTATATAAATATACACGTAGACTTAAACTATATAAATATGCATATATATTTAAATTCTAAGTGCGTATTTATGTAATATGTTTACATAATTCAGTAATTTTATTGATTGTAATTTGAGGGACCTGCCTGCCAACCCAGGCCGAAATTCCAGAGAATTTAATTTGCTAGCATTGTATTTTACCCTGTAACGTTCTACAACACCCTAAAACCTGTACATGGGGGGTACTGTTTTACTCGGGAGACTTCGCAGAACACAAATATCAGTGATTCAAAACAGTAAAACATATCACAGCGATGATATTGTCAGTGAAAGTTACCTTTTTTGCATTTTTCACACACAAACAGCACTTTTACTGATGATATAATTGTTGTGATACGTTTTCCAGTTTTTAAACACTAATATTTGTGTTCAGCGATGTCTCCCGAGTAAAACAGTACCCCCCATGTACAGGTTTTATAGCATTTTTGAAAGTTACAAGGTCAAATATATGGGTCAAATATTTTTACATTGAAAATGGCCAGGTTGGTTACGTTGCCTTTGAGAGCGTATGGTAGCCCAGGAATGAGAATTACCCCCATGATGGCATACCATTTGCAAAAGAAGACAACCCAAGGTATTGCAAATGGGGTATGTCCAGTCTTTTTTAGTAACCACTTGGTCACAAACACTGGCCAAAATTAGCGTTCAATTTAGTTTTTTTACTTTTTTCACACACAAACAAATATGAATGCTTACTTTGGCCAGTGTTTTCGACTAAGTGGCTACTAAAAAAGACTGGACATACCCCATATTGAATACCCTGGGTTGTCTACTTTAAAAAAAATATGTACATGTGGGGTGTTATTCAGAGATTTATGACAGATAATAGTGTTACAATGTCACTATTGATAAATTTTAAAAATTTATGTTTTGAAACCGCAATATCCTACTTGTACCTATAGCCCTATAACATGCAAAAAAAAGCAAAAAAGCACGTAAACACTAGGTATTTTTAAACTCAGGACAAAATTTGGAATCTATTTAGCAGTTTTTTTCATTCGCTTTTGTAGATGAGTAAAAGATTTTTCAAGTAAAAGTCAAAAAACATGTATTTTTTTAAATTTTTCATCATATTTTTTTTATTTGTTTTAAATTAAAATACATGAGATTATATAAATAATGGTATGTAAAGAAAGCCCCTTTTGTCCTGAAAAAAACAATATATAATTTGTATGGGAACAGTAAATGAGAAAGCGGAAAATTACAGACAAACACCACAAAAGTGTAAAAATATGACTGGTCGCAAATGTACAACATCGCAAAAACAGTCCAGTCCTTAAGGGGGGTAAATGAAAGCCCTGTTTTCCCTGAATAAAATGATATATAATAAGGGTGGGTGCATTTACTATGAAAGAGGTGAATTACGGTTGGACAGACATGTAGCGCAAATGCCAGGTTTTGTTTACATTTTTTTGGTTCACAACGTGTATATTTGGCTCCGTCCTTAAGGTGTTAAGATTATTTTATTATATTATTATTTTAATATTTGCATTATTTATTTTTTTTAAATGTTTTTTTGCTTGTTGCCTGGCCAGGGAGGAGGGGACAATTTTTTTTTTTTTTTAAATAATGCAAATATTAAAATAATAATAAAATAAAAAAATTAAAATAAAAATGCCCTCCCCTCACCCAGTTTACACACACTGCATTCATTATACACACACACACACACACTGCATTCATTATACACACACACACTGCATTCATTATACACACACACACACACATTATACACACACACACACACACACTGCATTCATTATACACACACTGCATTCATTATACACACACACACACACTGCATTCATTATACACACACACTTCATTATACACACACACTGCATTCATTATACACACACACACTGCATTCATTATACACACACACACACACTGCATTCATTATACACACACACACACACACACACACACTCTGCATTCATTATACACACACACACACACACTCTGCATTATATATACACTACATTATATATACACACACACTCTGCATTATATATACACACACATCTGCATTATATATACACACACACTCTGCATTATATATACACACACACTCTGCATTATATATACACACACACTCTGCATTATATATACACACACACACTGCATTATATATACACACACTGCATTATATATACACACACACATTATATATATACACACACACACACACTCTGCATTATATATATACACACACACACACACTCTGCATTATATATACACACACACACACACACACACACACTCTGCATTATATATACACACACACACACACACTCTGCATTATATATACACACACCTCTGCATTATATATACACACACTCTGCATTATATATACACACACACACACACTCTGCATTATATATACACACACACACTCTGCATTATATATACACACACACACACTGCATTATATATACACACACACACACTCTGCATTATATATACACACACACACACTCTGCATTATATATACACACACACACACACTCTGCATTATATATACACACACACTGTAAATAAATATTAAATTAATGTAATTTTATTGGGATCTAATTTTATTTAGAAATTTACCAGTAGCTGCTGCATTTCCCACCCTAGGCTTATACTTGAGTCAATAAGTTTTCCCAGTTTTGTGTGGTAAAATTAGGGGCCTCGGCTTATATTCGGGTCGGCTTATACTCGAGTATATACGGTATATCTTTATGAAATACTAATTTTTAATATAGGGGTGACTTTTTTTTTAGGCTGGTACAGCAATAATAGCATACCATGCCATAAAACGTTTATGGTGCCATGATTGCACATGGCACTGACAGATGCAGGAGTAGCATTAGCGCACCGATATTTGCATGGGACAATGATGTTAAAAAGTTTCTCAAACCTTTACTTTTTCTATAATGCCCTAGTGGACATTTGTAACTTGGTCCACCGAGCTGAAAATAGATAACATACCTTGAATCCAACGTCCCTGTCATTAGTGCGTGGTCCAGTTAACTGTGTGGAGGGTTACACAGAAAGGAAGGAGGCACAGAAAGAGGGCTCAATGAATACATGCAAGTAAAGTGGGACAGAATGGGGCTAAATGTAATATAACGTGAAGAAGAATGGAGGAAGGGCTCATTTTCATGTAAAGTGAAGGGGGAGATAGGGCTTCACATTGCAGGTGTGCTGCCTGCAATTGAAGGTGATTATATCTGTCACAAGCTGTCATTTGTGTGTGCTGACAAAAGTTTTTGTACAGAACTGCCCAAGTCATGTGCTCCCAGGTAAGTTATCAAATAGTTCTAAAACAGTATTAACGCACTATAGTCACTACAGAGGGCTGTAGTGTTTTATGGTGCTTGAAGTTTTCTTTTATTCTGGACGTGGTACTCACCATAATCCTTCAATAATGTTTACCTGCGTCACAGAATTTGAAACTGAGGGGGGCGGAGCCTGACTAACAAGCGGACTAGACATGCATGTCGAGAGCTCCTGAGCCCGAAGCCAAGATTCTGGGTCTAACGCCCGACCACCCAATCACATCGGCTGCTAAACGCAATAATCGTGACAAGGAGACTGCACTACAACCGGATATACCCGACACTTGGCTCTCCGGTGCTGGGCGGACCAAATCGTGACCTGCGGCCTGTGCGGGTGGGAGCCGAGGAGAGACGGCTGCTCTCCCGGTTCTCTGGCTGACAAGGGAGCACTCCCAAATCACCTACCTCCCCCCCCCCCCGGACCGGTGGGGGTTATCCCGGTCCCCGAGGACCCAAGCTGCCTCAGTCGCGGACGCTTCTGTGAGCCCTGCAAAACTCCCTAGTCACACGGGAAGGGAGTCACTCACGATGGCGGAGGCACCAGGCCCTACAACACGAGGTCTGATACTGCCACAACCTGTCTCAGCAGGCCCTAAGATCAATGTAACGGGCACTCTGGGAGCCATAACGACAAGTTTTGGGCTATGCTGCGCAACCGTGCAAGGCAAGCAACGACCATACGGGAGCCCGATAAGGAAGACCGTGTAAGCAATAAGGAGCGGCCTGGGAGGCCTCTTATGGGCCGACAGCTACCCCACACTACGCTAAAGCGACAGAAGCCGCGGAAACAACACTACCGGCTGAGACAGCGAGCCTCGGACAGACGCCCTGCTCACCGCTGCCGTGTAGTACCAAACCCCAACATACCACCACCTGTCCTGGGCTACATGGAGAAACCACCATGGCCACCTCTGAGCTGCTCCCCAGGCCGTCCGGGGCAAGGCATCACCCCACCAAACGAGAGAGCCACTGCCTGGCGAGTCACCACCATGCTGGACAGTCCGGTAAACCCTGTGGGCATAGGCTGAAAGGGATCAACCCAAGTGACATGTGGAGCTGGGGCCACCTCTATACAATTAACCCCTTAAGGACACATGACGGATATATTCCGTCATGATTCCTTTTTATTCCAGAAGTTGTGTCCTTAAGGGGTTAACCTCTTCACGGGACATTGTAACGGCCAGCAGAAAAAGGCTCAGATATCCACACTCAGCGTGTACATAGTTCATACTGTTGTTTAATTTTATATGTACCAGCTTAGCCATGTTATATGATTTCTTGAGCACTTTCCTTTTCTTGCATCGCTTCAACTTGCATAAGTGCCCATAACCTCTCTCAGCAGGATTAACCTGCGATTAGCAGCCTGCCACACACACAAACACACACTCTGCATTCATTCTATACACACACTGTAAATAAATATTCAATTAATGTAATTTTATTGGGATCTAATTTTATTTAGAAATTTACCAGTAGCTGCTGCATTTCCCACCCTAGGCTTATACTTGAGTCAATAAGTTTTCCCAGTTTTTTTGTGGTAAAATTAGGGGCCTCGGCTTATACTCGAGTATATACGGTATATCTTTATGAAATACTAATTTTTAATATAGGGGTGACTTTTTTTTTAGGCTGGTACAGCAATAATAGCATACTATTTACTTTGATGTAGATTACATTACCCACTCTGTGTCTGCTTAGGTTTGGGTAATGTAATCTACATCAAAGTAAATAATGCAGTAACTCAGACATGTGATGTACTCTATTAGCTAATATCTTGCAATGTATAAGATTGTGTTTCATAAGCCTAGCAGGAATAGCACCCTAAGTCTGAACACAAATGTATGAGCCCGGCCCTCAGAAATGCTGGACTCACTGTCTCAGCCACCACCATGCCACTAGTTTACCCAGGATCAATAGCTGGCCGAAAAAGGGCATTAGCCGAGTGGGCCCACACAAGCCCTCTATTGTACAGCATGGCATATAGGCGATGCAGGATTGTTTTGATGCTCCCAAACCTGAGGCAGATCTAGGTAGCCTAGCCACACGGATGTCATTTAATATATAGCTAACTGTGGCCGTAAACGCGGGCAGATACTGGGTCCTCAACCATGCAAAAGGTACCGAATATTAATGTTATACTACAGTTATACAAAAATGTGCTGATTATTTTACTGCTCCTACTGTTATGCTTGCAAATATGCTCAAAGAATGCTGTTGGGATGCCACGAGCTTGCATGTATTTCTCTCAACGCACAATAAAAATAAAGAATTTTTTTAAAAAAAGGAATTTGAAATTGCTTAAGATTTATAGAAGTGGCAGTACCAATTTAACCTTCTTACCCAAACACAGTTCTTTAGCTCCTGCTCTCTCCTCTCTTGGCCAAGGTACTGCTGGCTCTCCACAACCTCTTTGCTGAACTCTGTGCACATTTCCAACACATCCTGAACAATTTGTTTATTAAAGCAGCGAACTCTGTAATCCTTAACTTGTTCTTCAAGGGAGGTACCCGCTGCCACAGGGACCTTGCCTCCGCCAACACCAGAGGTACCTGCTTCTACAGGGTTTCTGTCGCCGCTCTCACTATAGGGTCCAGTTGGTACAGGGGCGCTGACTCCGCTTTCCTCATATAATCCAGATGCTACAGAAGCCCTGGCTTCACAATCAGAGGGCCCCGTTGATATACAGGTTTGGTCTCTGCTTCCACTGGTGGGTGCTGCCATGTCCAAAGCTCCTGTGGCTACAAGGACACTGTTTCTTTTATCAGGGAAGAGTCCAACTGTGATCTCACCAGAGGTCTTGCTTTCACAGGGGGTCCTGGGTGCTGCAGGGTTTGTGGCTCTTTTATCAAAGGTGGGCCCCAATATTACAGGAGCCCTCTCTTCACTGGGGGTCCGTGCTTCCCTCTCACCTGGGGGGCTGGTTTCCCTCTCACTGGGGGCCCCGGGTGCTGCTGGGCTCCTGGCCCCCCTGTCACGGCTAGGCTCGGTTGCTGGGCCTGCTGTTGCCTGGCCCCGGCCGCTTGTCTCGGTTTCCCCCGCTCGGGGCAGGGAGTTCCTGGGCTTCTTCTTGTGGGAGCTCCCTTCGGCCCGCGGGGGCCTGGCAGGGACAGCTCCCCCTGACCGCGTGACTCTCCGGCCATTGTCCGCTCCGGCGGGATATTCCGCACTGCCATCCTGCACCGCACCGCCGGACCCCCGCGTCCTCCGCACAGCCGACAGCCGCGGGCTGCGTTTCACGTTTGCCGCCATTTTTGAAATTCGAACACTCTCCCCCGGAAGCTAACACAGCACCAAACACGGCTCGGGCGGAAACACTGACCGCCAACATTAGTTCCGGACAAATTCATTCCTAGTGGCTCTCCGTGACATTCTCTGCCTGCTGGAGCGTGCACAGCCCAGAGTGCCCAGTCACCAGGACGGCTTCCAGCATGGAGAGGGACAGGGGACTGGTAGACTGTCACTGTCATCTGTCTGCCACAGAATTCAGCCATGTAAGAGTGGGTCACATTAATAATATATAAACAGAATTCAGCCATGTAAGAATGGTCACATTAATAATATATAAACAGAATTCAGCCATGTAAGAGTGGGTCACATTAATAATATATAAACAGAATTCAGCCATGTAAGAGTGGGTCACATTAATAATATATAAACAGAATTCAGCCATGTAAGAGTGGGTCACATTAATAATATATAAACAGAATTCAGACATGTAAGAGTGGGTCACATTAATAATATATAAACAGAATTCAGCCATGTAAGAGTGGGTCACATTAATAATATATAAACAGAATTCAGCCATGTAAGAATGGTCACATTAATAATATATAAACAGAATTCAGCCCTGTAAGAGTGGGTCACATTAATATATAAACAGAATTCAACCATGTAAGAGTGGGTCACATTAATAATATATAAACAGAATTCAGCCATGTAAGAGTGGGTCACATTAATAATATATAAACAGAATTCAGCCATGTAAGAGTGGGTCACATTAATAATATATAAACAGAATTCAGCCATGTAAGAATGGTCACATTAATAATATATCAACAGAATTCAGCCATGTAAGAGTGGGTCACATTAATAATATATAAACAGAATTCAGCCATGTAAGAGTGGGTCACATTAATAATATATAAACAGAATTCAGCCATGTAAGAATGGTCACATTAATAATATATAAACAGAATTCAACCATGTAAGAGTGGGTCACATTAATAATATATAAACAGAATTCAGCCATGTAAGAATGGGTCACATTAATAATATATAAACAGAATTCAACCATGTAAGAGTGGGTCACATTAATATATAAACAGAATTCAGCCATGTAAGAGTGGTCACATTAATAATATATAAACAGAATTCAGCCATGTAAGAGTGGGTCACATTAATAATATATAAACAGAATTCAGCCATGTAAGAGTGGGTCACATTAATAATATATAAACAACTCAGCCATGTAAGAGTGGTCACATTAATAATATATAAACAGAATTCAGCCATGTAAGAGTGGGTCACATTAATAATATATAAACAGAATTCAGCCATGTAAGAGTGGGTCACATTAATAATATATAAACAGAATTCAGCCATGTAAGAGTGGGTCACATTAATAATATATAAACAACTCAGCCATGTAAGAGTGGGTCACATTAATAATATATAAACAGAATTCAGCCATGTAAGAGTGGGTCACATTAATTAATATATAAACAGAATTCAGCCATGTAAGAATGGTCACATTAACAATATATAAACAGAATTCAGCCATGTAAGAGTGGGTCACATTAATAATATATAAACAGAATTCAGCCATGTAAGAGTGGGTCACATTAATAATATATAAACAGAATTCAGACATGTAAGAGTGGGTCACATTAATAATATATAAACAGAATTCAGCCATGTAAGAATGGTCACATTAATAATATATAAACAGAATTCAGCCATGTAAGAATGGGTCACATTAATAATATATAAACAGAATTCAGCCATGTAAGAATGGTCACATTAATAATATATAAACAGAATTCAGCCATGTAAGAGTGGGTCACATTAATAATATATAAACAGAATTCAGCCATGTAAGAGTGGTCACATTAATATATAAACAGAATTCAGACATGTAAGAGTGGACACATTAATTAATATATAAACAGAATTCAGCCATGTAAGAGTGGGTCACATTAATAATATATAAACAGAATTCAGCCATGTAAGAGTGGTCACATTAATATATAAACAGAATTCAGCCATGTAAGAGTGGACACATTAATTAATATATAAACAGAATTCAGCCATGTAAGAATGGTCACATTAGTTAAATGGACACTATAGTCACCCAGACCACTTCAGCTCAATGAAGTGATCTGGGTGCCAGGACCCTCAGGTTTTAACCCTTCACATGTAAACATAGCAGTTTCAGAGAAACTGCTATGTTTACATTGCAGGGTTAATCCAACCTCTAGTGGCTGTCTTCCTGACAGCCGCTAGAGGCGCTTCTGCGACGCTGGATGCAAAATTCGCATCCAGCGTGCAGAGCGTTAGAATTAACATTTTTGCACAATTAAAACACCACTGGGATCAATGAGAAACCGATGTCACAAAAACACATAACCTCTAATAACTTGTAATGTTTTGTTATTCAACTCAAGTGCCTTGTACTTTAATAAATTTACTGTTATAATGGATGGATATCCCCCCTTTTTCTCCCCCATCTCCCAGTTTTTACCCTTCCTTTCCCTTCCCTAATACATTGTTCTTTATTATTTGTAAATTCTGCAAAAAAAAAATTCAATAAAAATTATTTGAAAAGAACGTTAGAATGCGTGCGCGACTCTTGCCACGCATGCGCATTCCGCTCCACTCGGGAGCTGACGTCGGCAGGGGAGGAGAGGTAACCGGCGCTGGATTAAGGTAAGCTGTTGAAGGGGTTATTACCCCTTCAGCGCCAAGGGAGGGGGACCCTGAGGTTAAGGGTCCCCCAAGGATGACATAGTGTCAGGAAAACGGGTTTGTTTTCCTGACACTATAGTGATCCTTTAATATATAAACAGAATTCAGCCATGTAAGCGTGGAGGCAGGACCAAGATATCAGCAGCCTTCATGCCATTAGACTCATCATTAGGTCCCTGAGTTCCCTTTGGTTGGAGCAGGTATCTCAGATTCATCCACTATGCACCCAACTGGTCCAAAAAGTTATTTATTGTAGCAGAGAAGTGTAGAATGCTTTAACATTGGGAAGTGTTCGATTAGTGTGTATAGTTTTGTAATGTATTGTATTTATTATATTAAACGGATCAACACCAAGCTCATCTTACAGTTAAAGAGTTACTCCAAGTACCATGACCACCTCATTGTTTTAAAGTGGTGATGGTGCATGGAATCGGTATGCTCAGCGATTTGCTGTGAAACTCTGCACATACCAAGTTTAACTCCTTGAGGTGTAACTCGACCTCCGGCATTGTCAATATCAAGCGTCCTGGGCTGGCTAATGTCAATTCTGCACAAATTCTTTGCAGACTCATTATTTAAAAATTAAATAATTTTAAAAATGTTAATCCGGAATTTAAAAATAGCACAGCTTTTATCTGATTTTTAGCTACCGTTCGGATTGTGCCAAGACAGCATACATAACAGTTTTCCTTTAAGACTAGCGCAAAAAATTCTGTAGTTACAATTTCCTTTTTAAAACATTTAATCTGTGTTGAATGGCTTGGATTCATGCATTGAACTACAGTTTTTTTGCAAGCTGTCAGTTAAGCCATGACTGCCGTAAGCTTTTCATTGATCCTTTAGGTCATTACGAACAAACGTTTATTTATCCACATGCTTGTTTGACAAGTAGCTAAAAAAGGTAATTTTTTTTCTTGCTTTGGATATATTTACAGGACATTGATAGAGTTTTGGAAGATGCAAAGAAGGTGGGTAATTTTGTGACTCAGCCTACATGGTAGAACAACTGTGATCGTCAGATAATATTCTAAAGTGCTCTGTAGTGGGTAAGATGTCCCTTTAAAAGAAAAATAAACTTCTTGACACCAGCTAATTTGGATTGTGCAGGCATATGGATAAAGAATGTAGATTAAAGTTACGGGTTCTTGATCCAAACCGTAATCTTTTCATCTGGTATATTCCTCACCTGTTTGACAGTTACTTATTTTAATGTCTCTGACTTTGAACCCTTTCTCCCGCAAAGGGGGCATTATCTATAAAAGTAATACCTTGGATCAAGAAAGTTTATGAGACTTTGGTTGTAAGATGGTGTTTTAACATAAAACATGTCTTCTCTGAAATCACCTAAAAGTAAACACCCTGGCCATTAGAAAAAAAAATCAGATCCGTATTTTGGGCCAAAATAATCAAACTAAAAACACAGTTGATTTTGAAAATATATCCAATTTGACTATTTTGACCTAAAATTTGAAATTCTTGACAATTTTCACTTTAATCAGTAGCCCTGCTAGTATTTTATCGTGTCCATTGACCAAATATTTAGGATTGTACTGTCCTTTTAAATTCTACCAATTTCATTCCCATACTATAGCAGAGCTGCTCTCTGAATGTTGCTACTAAGGATATATGTGTCATTTCGAACCAATTGTTTTGAAGGATTATGGCTTGCTGGCCTTTTATTACAACATTGTTCCATTTTGTTAACAATGGCGTGATTGAATAGACCGCTTTACAGTATATGGAGTAGTGTGTACAGCATTTTGTTTAATTTGGTTTGAATGTGTTGTAATTTTTATTGCCTTATATTTATGTAATAAAAACCAAAATCACTTATTGGGTCATCTGTGCTTTTAAAAAAAAAAAAAAATCTTTTTATGTGTTATGTTTACTGTGTGTTGGGTTTTAATGAATGATTTTGTGATGCTGCTGGCATCCACTTTAGAGATTGATAACATTTATATTATGGTTTTCAGATTGGCCTCTTTGCACTTGTTGCAGTTTCAGAAAACACATCAGAATTTGAAAAATTAATACAGCTTTCTAAACGGTATGTTGTTATATGTCTGTGTGTGTGTATATATATATTATATATATATATGAAACAAGGTGGCTGCATCCACCTTAACATGCATAAATGCATGTTGCTGCTGGGGCCAATTTATACAATACACAAGATCCAGCGCTCTCACTCATCCACTAAACAGCAACTTCAAAGCTCACAGATTTTATTAGTTTTTTTTTTTTTTTTAAACACCTAATCTAGGCAAAAATAATGGGGTTTAAGTACAGTATATGAACATACAATGCATAAGCCTGCCACAACGTCAATGTACCCTATCTTTGGCAGGTCCGACTCTAACAGCCTAATGTCTGCTTTTATTAGATTAACCCACTTACTTGGGGAAAAGATTCCATCTGGGGCTCTCTGCAGTACAAGGCTAAACAGGGCCCAGGAATCAGGCACCTGTGACGGAGAGGGGTGCAGAATCAAGGAGGTGATACATTTATCAGTTATGGCTGTTAAAGTGGGTCTGCCGTTCTAAACTTACCTTGTTTCAATCCGTTCCTCATTTCTAATCTGTTCTTCTATTCTTCTTTGTCGATCCTTTTCTCTTAAAATATATAGAAGGGACTTCTTTGCATTATGCATTTTCTCTCAACTTGACAAATGGCGGTTATACCTTTTTAAAGTTTTATCACTTCCCTCAGCTATTGTTATTGATGGCTGGGGGAATAAGGCATTGTCTTGCTCATCGACTGACAATATATGTGGAGGCTCCTATGGAGGGCTTGCAGGATCCTCCACAGACATCAGTGCTGTACTTTAGTGCATGTTCACGAGTACAACACTGATGCTCCTTGCTGATGAAGTGTCTTGAGCTAAAGATAAAAGGTAGAACTGCCACAAGTACAGCCTCAGGTAAGTATATCTACATTCTGCTGCACCTCCAGGCCACCATACACCAAGTGGCTGTGTCACCATCGGGGGCCTTTCCAAAATATGCAAAGATTCCATCCCAAGGTGACTTAGCTGCTTTACGTTTCTTACTATGCATTTCTCACACTACTTTGTTGACAGTGGTTGTTTTGTATCTATATAACTAGTGAATTGTCTGAAATGGAAAGTGATTTCAAAATGTTTAAGCCAAAATTGTCAAAGTGAAAAAGTAGCTGAGGATTTTTCTGGCTTTGCTTTTGTGACCCAAAATGTAAAATTTACTTTGAACTTCCTGCAAATCACATGCTAGTGAATAACCATGGAAAATACATAAACAATGACACGTCTTTTAACATTTATAAAGCAGTTTATAAAGCCAAACCAATAAAGCAAATACACACCTAAATGTCCCCTTTAAATATTGTCAGAAACATTTATTAATAATTGCCTTGGATATCCTGAGTGTAATTTTGGACGTTTCTGTTGTTTAATGCGTTTACTTTACTACTTCCAGACATGCAGGTTTAGTCTTTCCTTGCCTTGGGGTGCATCCAGTGCAAGGAACTGCAGAACAGCCACGCAGCGCTACTCTGAAGGTAAAACGCTATAATGTGTCATTACAAAAATTAGTGAGATTTGTATTTATCTGCTATGGATTAAACGTAAAGTTATCTTGAGCAAAAAGATTCCCTCAGTATTACCCATGTAATAGTGATTCTTGATGACGTTAATGTCACCATTTTCAACTAAATTACATTTTATGTTGCAGGATCTATGTCAAAGCATTTATTTACTTCTTCAAAACATGTATTTTTTCCAGCTATAAAAACTTGTGCTAAATATGTCTTTTGCTGCAGTCAGTGACAGATTAGCTTTCATTGTATACAGTCATAGCTACAGTCAATCACTAATCACTGCAGTTGTGGTTTTCAAAAATCAACACATGCATGTGCATTTTAAATGCCCTTGTTATGTGATTTATATTATGTGCCTGAATGCAAGCTGTACAGGGAAAGAATATGACATTGTAGTTTTAAAAAAGTCAACTCTTAGGGCGAAGCTAACCCCCCCTTCAGAACTGTCCCATGTCTGCGGAGCTCTGTTGACAAGGTACAAAAAACCTACAAAGAAGGTTTTTTTCTCAAACACAAACTGCACTGGCAATAGCCGAAGGTGTCCACAAGCGTATGGGGCAGAAGAACAAGAAACCAGACAACTTAAGCAAGCTCTTTTGAAGGCCGCATGGTGCGAGCGGGCCTGACATGGCGGATGCCCTGGATGATTTCTCCGACATCTCGGATGATGTCCCCCTGCAAAGAACAGAGGACCTGGGATACCAGTGATCTCCCAGGCCCCTTCCGGAGGCAGCTCGGTCTCAACCCTGGTTATCACAGCCATCCTGACTAACCTCCTGGCCAACCTCCGTAAAAGCCTTTCTGCAGACATATCCCAAGTACGGGAAGCTGTCGGGGTTCACAGCCCGCCTAACCACAGTAGAACAAACAGTGAAAATGCATACTCCCCAAATCTCAGACCTGCAGAAACAGGTGAGGGACCTCACTGCAGCTCAGACAAACTTTGACAGCCAGCTGGCATCTCTGGAGGATAAGAGGAGGTGGAAACACCTGAAGATCAGGGGTATATCAGAAACCACTACTATGGCAAAAATACCACCCTTCTTACGCAGGCTGTTTATGGCCATACTACCCCTTAAAACAGCGAAGGGTATCCAGCTGGACGGCATGTTTCGCCTTCCCAAGCCTCAGTCTGCTACTACCCTAGCTATCAGTGACCTGCTGATTTAAATTTCAAAACGGTCAAGACAGGGCAGCCATCTTAAATACCACCAGGGGAAAGACCCCATACCACTTCGAAGAAATGGTACTCACGTTCTGCACTGACCTCTTTAGATCAACACTGCAGTGGAGGAAGTTGCTTAGACATCCAGGCTAGCGTCCCAGGGCCTGAAGTATCACTGGGGCACGCCTCGTACACTGATATTCCAGCACAGAATGGTGCAGAACACAGAGTCACAGAAGCATCAGAAATGGATGTAGTTTTGTCCTCCCTGGTAACCGGTCCTAACCCTCGACCCGCTACAAACATATGGGATCCAGCCAACGCGGTCCCATTCACTTCTTCATCGCGAGGAGCAAAAGGTATCGCTATCACCTGACTGCAGCAATTTTAGTGTTGGGTCTTGTGTCTCCTTTTTCTTAGTTTCACTTTTCTTTTCTTTAATGCTTTTATTTTGTTTTGTTTAAAAGTTGTTCATCACTTAAGTGTTCACTCACCTTATGTTAACCGCGACAGAGCGTCCCACATAGGCTGAAACTGGGCAAGACGAGACCCGGTTAGCTCCCATGATTGTAACCATTCCCCAGCTCCGATCTCTTCAACCCACATGCAAAACCTTAAATGGAGCTGTTCCATCCAACACTTTGCAATACCATACCTAGTTATCTGTTTTTATTGATGTTCATTACTGATCATCAGTCATATAACCATCCTGCGCCCTAGCTGTCACACTCACGAGCCCTCGCCTTGATTTAATCTTGGGCCCACTATCTAGGCACAGCAGAAGTCCATAGCACGTTAGGGCAAAGGAAAACATTTAAACTTAATCAGGTTTCTGTTATCAGTTATGCACCACACCATACACCCATTGTAGCTCATCCTCTTCAGCCACACTCTGCAATCCGAGTACAGGAATTAAATATCATCCGTCTTCACTGAATTAAAAATGTGTTGTTGTTGTTGTTGTAGACATTCCTAGCCAATATTGCTTTCTCTCTCTTAAGTATTGTAATTGCTATGATGTCATATTACTCTTTAATGTTAAAGTTAAAAGAGGTCAGCGCTAATAATAATAATAAAAAACAAGTAGGCAGCTGCCTAGCAGAGGGTAACCCTCTAACTCTCTAGCTTAAGAGTAGGAAACAACAACAACAGTAGTGCAAGGGTGCGCCAAAGTGTATCAATGTGGACTATGGATAATAAAACAAGTATATAAATAAAGCATATATATGAAATTAATGCACATAAATTAGTCCAAAATAGTTTAAAGTTGCACCCTGGCGACGAGTGTCTTTTAAGGTGCTTTTGGTGATGGGGTGTCCTCACTGTTTATAGTAGTCCAATTGTTCTCGTAATATGGAAGACACAAAATAAGAGACCGATCGTATAGACTGTGTGGGTCAATATATGTGAGAAGATATATATATATATAACTCACATTTAGGAGAGCTAAAGCCAGCTCAGGTATAACGGGCGTACAGCGGTATGATCCCCGCTTATGGGATATATAGGTGGTTGTCTTCTGGAGGGAATGATGTCCAACTCTCAGGAAAGGGATTTATAAAAACAGCTGATAGTGCTCTCTGTTTAACAGGATATAGAATTGTATGAAAATAAAAATGTACAGGCCAACTGCACTATGATAACAGCGTTGGTGGTATGATCCCCACCTCGGAAAAGCTTGTAAGCATGTGATAAAATCAATAAGCAGCCAGGTAAAAAAGAGAATGTGTATAAAAAGATAGTTGGCACAATTAGTGACCAAAAAACCTTTAATTATATAAAATACACAAATAATAAAACCCCCAGCTATGCCAACCTGTTTATGGCAGACTGGGAGTCCAGTGCCGTTTGGGGAGGGCATGCCTGGGAGCACAGCCTGGTCTCCTATTTCAGATATATTGATTACTTATTTTTTATATGGAAGGGCTCTGAGGACTCCCTCAATTCTTTTATAACCCATCTCAACACCAACAGTAGGGGTATCATTTTATCTTGTGAATACAGTAAAGACACGATTAACCTTTTAGATTTAAATATTTTTATTAAAGATGGGGCAGTTCACACAAAAACTTTTTTTTTTTTTTTTTTAAAGTATGCAACAATACAGCAATAGACCACACCAGCTGTCACCATAAGCCATGGCTTGAAAGTGCCCCCAAGAGCCAATTCTTAGGTATACGCAGAAACTGTTCTTACATTGATGATTTTAACAAGCAATCACTACTTTAAAAAAAACAAAAACATTTACTGACTACTACAAACAGTGAGGACACCTCATTACCAAATGCACCTCAAAAGACACTCATCGCCAGAGTGCAACTTCAAACTATTTTGGACTAATTTATGTGCATTAACTTCATATATATGCTTTATTTATATACTTGTTTTATTATCCATAGTCCACATTGATGCACTTTGGCGCAGCCTTGCACTGCTGTTGTTGTTGTTTCCTACTCTTTAATGTTAACCTACGCACTGCAAAAATAAAAAATTTAAAAAAAAGTCAACTCTCACTGAGATCATATAACCATACAAAAATATCTACAAATATAAACATAACAAATGGGACATAGAGTGGTATTGTAACATTACACCAATGTGTATTTAGTGATTAGTTGAACTCACAAAAGTATTTTTTGCTAGAGAAATTCTTCAATCTTTATAAAGTCCAGTATGTGTTAGAGACTAGAAAAAAAAGCAAATTTATAGAGCAGGATTGCTAGATAAAAGAATACTTTTATTCAGATTTTACTTTCTGTATATTTGCCTTTTTTCTAGTCTCCAACAAGTACTGCACGTTATAAAGATTGAAGAATTTCCATACGCTGTTCTGTGTGATAAACCTTCTAGCAAATTACTTTTGTGAGTTCAACTAATCACTAAATATACATTGGTGTATGTTACAATACCACTCTGTCACATTTTTTATGTTTATATGTGTAGATATTTTTGCATGATAATATGTATGAAGATTTAGAGGAATGTTATTATATCTGCAATACAAGGTGTATAAGGGTAATATTTATTGTTTTTTGTTTTTTATCCATACATCTTTTCTCACTGCTGGTACCTTGGGTGTTTTATTGTCTGATTGAGATCACGTATGTTCTAGACAGTGACCCAACCAGCTTTGCTCAAATGGAAAATATGCCGAAACATTGTTACAGTGTTTGTAGTTACCATGTGTAGTACTGTTTTGTATTTATTTTTCTCTTTAGTCTAGTATATTCTGTTTCTCTCATAGGACGTAGAGGAAGCCTTGCCTCTAATTGAACTCTATAAAGACGAGCTGACAGCCATTGGTGAAGTATGGACAGATTAATGATTTATTTCTTAGAGTTTAATGCCATTTGTCAATGTGATGAGCAGTCCTCAAAGGAATATATAAGCACTTGACTGAGAATAGACAAATAAACTCATTGTTCTATGACATCGAGATCCATTCATAGTTTGGCGGTGAAGGTCCCCCACGCCTCAGATTTGTTTGACCACTCATTATAAGTTGAATAGATGGGCTCTGTTCTTTGTATTTGTCAGTTTCACACAGTGGGAGTTTAATGATGATGCCCAACTAAACAGACTTAAATAACACTTATTTTTTTCTACACACCAAGCTTCATGGATTTAATGAGATAGATTGTATTTAGACATAAACAGATATAAGAATTGATTGTAGATAGAAGGGTTTATTCACCAACCAATGATGTAGCACTGACTCAGAGTCAGGACCAAGCTGGGTCAGGGCAGGTAGCACTGACTCAGAGTCAGGACCAAGCTGGGTCAGGGAAGTTAGCACTGACTGAGAGTCAGGAACAAGCTGGGTCAGGGAAGTTAGCACTGACTCAGAGTCAGGACCAAGCTGGGTCAGGGAAGGTAGTAGCACTGCCTCAGAGTCAGGACCAAGCTGGGTCAAGGCAGGTAGCACTGACTCAGAGTCAGGACCAAGCTGGGTCAGGGAAGGTAGCACTGACTCAGAGTCAGAACCAAGCTGGGTCAGGGAAGTTAGCACTTACTCAGAGTCAGGACCACGCTGGGTCAGCGAAGGTAGCACGGCATAAGAATGAGCAAGGAGAGGACAAGTGGCTCTAGATCAAAACCGGGAAATTGCATGTTCAGGAACAGGCTCTGCCCTCAGAATAGAAAAGTAATCTCATTGAATGAAAAAATGAAAGAGCTGGATAATATGTGCATGTTTTACATTTTTTTGCATGAAGTGTCCTTGTGGACTGAATATGAATTTGCACATGCACAGACTGGATGTCCAAAACCAAATATGTAGTGGTTGTATTTTGGATCTTGGCCCAGCTGTGCAAATCAATTGCTATCGTACTATATTTATTGTTTATTAAACCCCAATAAATACTGAAGAATCCTCTATCATTCCTTCAATTTTGCAGCCAAATAGAGAGATTGGGAACTAAACTCAGTCAGAGCACATTGTAGCTGCTATGGTTGTTGCCATGACTGTTTAGTGATGTCTTTTGCATGGATTGTTTCAATGTCTTTTATTTAGACAAAGAGGCAAACAGTTCAATTAACTTGCTGATTGCAAGAATGAATTATGACAGTTTGTGGATAACAATGTTTTCATGTCTGACAGCAGCCAAAAATACATGCCATAGCTTCTATGAAACTGTTGACATACTTCGATGTTTGGAAACTGTTCTTCCTTGATATCCCTGCTAGCCTTGTTTTTCCCTGCAGGTCGGATTGGATTTCACCCCGCGGATTGCTTCCACAGATGATCAGAAAGATGAACAGCGAAAAGTTTTCATTCAGCAGATAGAATTGGCAAAGCGGCTAAATTTACCACTGTGAGCTTCTTCTTGTACCATAAGATTGTTTAGACTTTTTGAGACATTACTCATCTGATTAACAATTGGGTAATAGTTGTTTTTTACATTTTGAAATGTATATTTTTAGTTGGTTGACTATACATTAAGAAGGAATCAGCTTAATGTGTGTAAATGTTAGAAGGCTGATGCCACTGTCAGAACTTTCAGATCATAGATTGCAGGCTTCAAGTTTTTTTTTGTGTTTATCATCAGTTTAATTTTGTCTACATTAAAAGTGAACCACATGCTTGGAGGCCATCGTGTCTTCTAGCCAGCATTCATAATCACTGTCTGTGTCAGATCGTCAAGACTCTCTCACTTCTATGGTGCACATACTACCTTTAATACATTTAAATGCTCTTAAAGGAACACTAAAACCATAGTCTGCTTTGGGTAGTGCCTGAAGCCCTGCGTGGATTAGCTCATTGCCTAAGAGTAATTAGCTGAAGGTTCGACTCCTTACAGTGTGTGGGGGGGAAGGGGGTCCAGGGCACTCCAAGCACCATACTACGACCATAACATACTGCAATACTACAACTTGCTTCCTAATCAAACCTTTAAAAAAACAAGCTACAATAAATGTAATCTCTCAATCATTGTAATTAGCGGTCTATTTAGTTTTTTCTGTTTATTTTACCATTGAATGTGCTGATAAATAGATGTTGTTGCATGAATTTTTTAGCAAACTGTATTACCAAAAATATAAAGATTACGAAGTACATGGTATTCACAGTACTTAAAATGCATTCAACGCAGCTTTGATTGTCAGTAAAATTTCACATTTGCAGTTTTATTATTTTCCTCCCCAGAAATGTTCACTCTCGCTCTGCTGGAAGACCTACTATTAATCTTTTAAAAGAGCAAGGTATGCCGTCTTTGAAGGTTGGTAAGGTGACTGACCTTTTTCTTTGTTTAGTGCTATGCTTTTTTATCATCAAATAATGATTGCTATGTATGTTGCTGTAGTAAAGCCACACATTGGATGGTAGAATATATGTTTCGGAATGTTTAACCCTGGAAATACATTTTGTGTACCGCATTAAGTCAGTATAGATGACTCTTTTTCTATAATACATTATGTGGATAATGCATGAAAACTTAAAAACGAATAATGAGTAAAGAAGACCTCAGGAGAGGAAAGGGTTATTTACAAAAAGAACAACAAAAACCTAAAGAGGTTGTCATATCAGATTATATAGATATTTTTTAAACGGTTTGGATGCTTTTTTGAATACATTAAATATTTAAGAATATAATTGATATTTCTGTGAACAGGTTGCTGATCCAAGGCGAAATTTGATTGCCATAATGGAGTCAAGAAGGATTGTTTTTTCCTTTTTGTGGCATAATTGGAAATGGCTACAATTGTTTGGTTTTTTTTTGCCTTCTTTTGGATCAGCAGCATAAAAACATGGGTGTCAAGGTTGAACATGATGGACTTAAGTCTTTTGCAACCTAGCTTACAATACGATTCTCATCTTTGAAGCTCCAGTAGTTTCTGAAAATATACAAGATTTGCATCTTCTGTAGTGAGTGCGCCCTAGACCAGGCAGTGGCTGAGACCTCTGTTTACATGTGTTACCCCTGAATCCTAAGTATTCATTTAATTTATTTTCAGGAGCTGAGAAGGTGCTGCTGCATGCATTTGATGGGAAACCCTCGGTGGCCATGGAAGGTGTTAAAGCTGGATACTACTTCTCCATTCCTCCCTCCATCATTAGAAGTGAACAGGTAAAGTTTTTAAATCCTTACTAACCCATATATAAAAAGAATAAGTTTCCTTTAGCAGTCTATTTCTGTGTTATGTCACATAACTTGTTTAAGCATTATCAGGTCAAACCCAGTTTCACCTTTTTCATTGCCATTTGAAATACCTTGGGTTCTCTTCTTTTGCAAATGGTATGCCATCATGGAGTAATTCTCATTCCTGGGCTACCATACGCTCTCAAAGGCAACATAACCAATCTGGCAGATTTTAATGTGAAAATAAAAATGGAAAATCAAGCCTTATATTTGACCCTGTAACTTTCAAACACTATAAATGCTGTACATGGGGGTACTGTTGTACTCGGGAGACTTCGCTGAACACAAATATTAGTGTTTGAAACAGTAAAACGTATCACAACAATTATATCATCAGTGAAAGTGCAGTTTGTGTGTGAAAAATGCAAAAAACTTCACTTTCGCTGGCAATATCATCGCTGTGATAGGGTTTACTGTTTGGAAACACTAATATTTGTGTATAACACTGCCTCTGCTGGCCTGCCTTCTACCCGTAGAGCATCCTGCTGCCATCTCTTCCCCAGGTAAACGACGCACGTGCCAAGCACTGATCTAAAAGAAAAAAAAAACGTGATTCATCAGACCATTCAACCTTCTTCTATGGTCCAGCTCTAACGCTCATGTCCCGATTGAAGGCACCTTTGGTAAGGGACAGGGGTCATTATAAAAACTCTGACCAGTCTACAGCTACACAGCCCCGTACACAACAAACTGTGATGCACTGTGTGCTCTGATACCTTTCTATCTATTAAGTTTTTAGCAATTAGAGTTACAGTAGCTCTTGGGCTCCCATCACCCTGAAGCCATTTTACTGGTTGTTTTTCCTTGCACCACTTTTGGTAGGTACTAACCACTCCATACCAGGAACACCCCACAAAACTTGCCGTTTTGGCTTTGGAGATGCTGTTACCCAGTCGTCTAGCATTACTGTATAGTCCTTGTCAAGGTCACTCAGGTCTTGTCGCTTGCACATTTTCCCAGCTTCCAAAACATGAAATTAAAGAACTGACTGTTCACTTGCTGCCTAACATATCCCACCACTTGACAGCTGCCATTGTAATGATATAATCAATGTTATTTACTGCACCTGTCAGTGGTTTTAATGTGGCTGATCAGTGTATATGCCATATACTTTTATAAATTGCAAGTTGTAACATGCTGGCTTTTTATTTAATGATGGGACCTGGTTCGCTATATGACACAGTAAAGAGAATTACGATTGCTATCTTTGTGCACAATGCAATCATTTATTTGAGAGTTCAACAACAACAAAAAAATCTTAATTTTGGTTTTGATTAAATTAAATTAAATTCATGTTTGTTTTTTTACAAATCTATCTAGAGATAAGTGGTATCTTCAGGAAAACTGTATTTGCCATAAACTACTGAGCAGATAATTGTTTTATTTTATTTGGGAGGATTAGATAATTATTTTGTTTTAATACTCTACCTTTATAGTGCATGTTGATAGATGCTCTTAGTGTCCTAATTAAACAACAAAGTGTCATTTTAATGTAAAGTATTGGGTTGAAATTTTGCTTGTGTTCATATCACTCATTTCTCAGTGACAGCTTAGAATATTTATACTATTTTAATCTCTTTATACTTTGCTTTAAGAAGCAGAAACTGGTGAAACAGCTGCCTCTAGAGAACATATGTTTAGAAACAGACTCTCCAGCTCTTGGTCCAGAAAAACAGGTATTCACAGCTCTAACTATTAACAACTGGAAAAAGGCTTATAAACAATGATTACGCATTTACACACTAAACTGAATATTGGATGACAAGTCCCCTTCACAGCCGTATACCTCTAATCTATGCACTGTATACCTCTAATCTATGCGGTGTATACCTCTATTCTATGCAGTGTATAACTCTAATCTATGCCATGTAAACCTCTATTCTGTGTGGTGTATATATCTATTCTGTGCGGTGTATACCTCTAATCTATGCGGTGTATACCTCTAATCAATGCGGTGTATACCTCTATTCTGTGCGGTGTATACCTCTATTCTGTGCGGTGTATACCTCTATTCTGTGTGGTGTATGCCTCTAATCTATGCGGTGTATGCCTCTAATCTATGCAGTGTTTCCCTTTATTCTATGCGGTGTATGCCTCTAATCTATGCGGTGTATGCCTCTAATCTATGCAGTGTATGCCTCTAATCTATGCGGTGTATGCCTCTATTCCATGCAGTGTATACCTCTATTCTATGCGGTGTATACCTCTAATCTGTGCGGTGTATACCACTAATCTGTGCAGTGTATACCTCTATTCTGTGCGGTGTATACCTCTATTCTGTGCAGTGTATGCCTCTAATCTATGCGGTGTATACCTCTAATCAATGCGGTGTATACCTCTATTCTGTGCGGTATATACCTCTATTCTGTGTGGTGTATGCCTCTAATCTATGCGGTGTATGCCTCTAATCTATGCAGTGTTTCCCTCTAATCTATGCAGTGTATGCCTCTAATCTATGCGGTGTATGCCTCTATTCTATGCAGTGTATACCTCTATTCTATGCGGTGTATACCTCTAATCTGTGCGGTGTATACCACTAATCTGTGCAGTGTATACCTCTATTCTGTGTGGTGTATACCTCTATTCTGTGCAGTGTATGCCTCTAATCTGTGCAGTGTATGCCTCTAATCTGTGCAGTGTATGCCTCTAATCTGTGCGGTGTATGCCTCTAATCTGTGCGGTGTATGCCTCCAATCTATGCGTCGTGTGCCTCTAATCTATGCAGTGTTTCCCTTTATTCTATGCGGTGTATGCCTCTAATCTATGCAGTGTATGCCTCTAATCCATGCGGTGTATATCTCTATTCTATGCGGTGTATATCTCTATTCTATGCGGTGTATATCTCTATTCTATGCTGTGTATACCTCTATTCTATGCGGTGTATACCTCTAATCCATGCTGTGTATGCCTCTTATCTATGCGGTGTATACCTCTATTCTATGCGGTGTATACCTCTAATCCATGCGGTGTATGCCTCTAATCCATGCGGTGTATATCTCTATTCTATGCGGTGTATATCTCTATTCTATGCGGTGTATGCCTCTATTCTATGCAGTGTATACCTCTATTCTATGCGGTGTATACCTCTAATCTGTGCGGTGTATACCACTAATCTGTGCAGTGTATACCTCTATTCTGTGCGGTGTATACCTCTATTCTGTGCAGTGTATGCCTCTAATCTGTGCAGTGTATGCCTCTAATCTGTGCAGTGTATGCCTCTAATCTGTGCGGTGTATGCCTCTAATCTGTGCGGTGTATGCCTCCAATCTATGCGTCGTGTGCCTCTAATCTATGCAGTGTTTCCCTTTATTCTATGCGGTGTATGCCTCTAATCTATGCAGTGTATGCCTCTAATCCATGCGGTGTATATCTCTATTCTATGCGGTGTATATCTCTATTCTATGCTGTGTATACCTCTAATCCATGCTGTGTATGCCTCTTATCTATGCGGTGTATACCTCTATTTTATGCGTTGTATACCTCTATTCTAGGCAGTGTATACCTCTAATCTATGCAAAATTAGAAGCAAAATATATAGATTGAAAGATGTCTTTACTTACCTGAAGATTGACTGCTCCTCACCCAGCATGTCGCAGCTGGCACACCTCTAAAATTATTATTATCATTTTTATTTAGCATTTATATAGCACCAACATATTCTGCAGCGCTTTACAGTCATAAAATGGGGATATTTAATTACAAGTAATTGACATATAGAATATAACGTAGACAAGCACGAAGGCCAAGCTCAAACTAGTGGTAAAGAATACAAAGCATGACAGAAGGCAGGACGGATTGATGGATACGGTGGTTGTGTCGAAATAAGCTAATAAAAGTGGCGTGTGGAAGGAGAGAGAGGGAGCTGGGCTATGGAAGTAAGGGGAACTGAGGAGGGCAATTGTAATAAAAGAAGTATCATCCAGGAACGTAGTAGGATGATAATAGTAAAGACTTGTGTGTTCGGTGACTTCTTAAAGAACTGGAGGCTAGGGGACAGTCTGATTGTACGAGGTAGGGAGTTAAATAGAAATGGGACAGCGCTTGGAAAACTCCTGTAGATGAGAGTTAGCGGTGTGGAAAGAAGCATATGACAGCGGAGCGGAGGGAAAGAGAATGGATGTATTTGTTGAGAAAAGGAGACGTGTAGGGAAGAGTGGAATTATTGAGGGCTTTGCAAGTTAGTGTTAGCAATTTGAATTGGATATTTGAAGGATACAAGAAGCAAATTTGAAGAATGGCAAAGGGGTGAGGTGTGAGAGTAGCGGGCAGTCAGGAAGATGAGCCTGAATACATTTTAGACTAAAGAGGGGCAATGCCAGCATTTGGAAGGCAGATGGGTCGTGAGTTGCAATAGTCAAGTCAGTAAATGATGAGCACATAACCAAATACCTTAGTTGTATTTTAAGTTGGAAAATGGCAAACGTGAACTCCAATGCACAAGCTTGGGGAGCTGGGGGTAACAGATGTCCCATTGACGTGTAGGGAGATAGATGAAGGTGGACTATTTGATGGGGGAAAGATGACAAATTCAGTTTTAGAAAGATTATGTTTTGAGAAAACAGGAAGCCATCCTGTTAGCGATGGAAGAGAGGCAGTTTGTGACACATTCCAGGACACAGGAAAGAGGTCAGGGGAGTAGAGATAAATCTGAGTATTGTCAGCATATAGATGTTATGGAAAGCAAAAAGTGTTATTATTATTTATAAAGTGCAAAGACTAACAGGGTCAAAAAATGCATGGTGTAATATTTTTTTATGAAATCATAGATGCTGAGTAGACAGCCATGTTGAAAGTACCTTCATTGTACAAAAAGTACCAGATTGCTATATATTTAACCGCACACTTTATCATATTATGTTGTACCACAGTGGTGTAATCCGATTAGCATTTCAGAATGAACATCTACTGCATCTCAAAGCAGAAGTAGCAGATCATATAGAAGTCACCTTGCTACACGGTACTGACTTGGGGAATTATTCTCTTGACAGTTATTTGTTCTGAGTAACTACTTTGCAAAATTTAGACCAAACTAGCTAAACTGAAAACAAAAATGCAGATTATTTTTGTTCCTCATGGCCACATACCCATGGCTTGGTATGTCAGCAGTGATTTGGAAGGGCTTGCATGTGCTGTTCCCCTTTGCAAGAGCTTGCAAGTCCAAGGACTACCCCTTTTTGTTGTGACTGGTGCTTTACATGACTATGGGACAAGGGTAGTGCCCTTTAAAAAGGCAGTGTTTACACTGCTGCCTAACACCACCTCTAGTTGCAGTCACGCCAACAGCCACTAGAGGGACTTCCTGAGTTCAGCACTGCAAAGATTTCAGGACTGATGTTCAGCGTCTCCAGTTAAAAGCACCCCATAGAGACACATTTAGTCAGTGCATCTTAATGAGGAAATGCTGATTGGCTCAGCGCTTCGATTTGCTGCTCACGCGCACTAGCCTCCCAGCTTTAAGTCATCTGAGATCATAAGTATTGATAATCTTGGTCAGCAGTGGCAGAGCGGCGTCGATGAGACCAGTGGCACACATGGGGAAATAAAGTTGTGTAAATTGCATTTATAATTACTTCTGGAGGGGAGTGATAGTCTAACTAGTTTTAATAACATTCTAGCGTGTTATGAGCTCTGCTATAAAGCCTTCCTTGTTAATTTGATTAATTTGGTAAATGAGATACTGAAATGACTGTATCCGACTACCATAACCACTTTAATGAGCTGAAGCAATTATGGTGCCTAGTATGTAATTTTAGTTCTGTAAATTTACTCAGTGGCCTAACTGCATAAATAAAATCTGCGTTTCAGTAAGGCAGTAAGAGGAAGCACTAGTTGACTTGCGTTTGATTTGTTTTGCATTGTAAAGTAGTTCACAGACAAATTGCTTAATTTGTATAAAAATTTACATTTAGCTTACATTATTGAACCCAGCTGTAAATCAGATGTTCAGGCAATGCGGATACTGTAGCTGGAGCACTATCCACTAGGCCAGGAGTTCTCAACGTTAGTCCTCAGGACCCCCTACCAGTCCAGGGTTTAGGGATTACCTGGGTGTCTCTAAGGTGTTTAGAAAAAGAAAAAAAAACACCTTAGAGTCTAAGGTGTTTTTTTCCCTTTTTCTAAACACCTGAGACACACCCAGGTAATCCCCAAATCCTGGACTGGTAGGGGGTCCTGAGGACTGGGTTGGGAACCCCTGCACTAGGCTATCTCAATAGCAAGTAACATATAAATAGTTTATATTTTATCTGGTATATTTGCTGGTATCTAAGCTACAATGACTGCACTACAAAGAATCTCCCAGTCATAGGCATCATATTATCATAGGCCTTATATCCGTAAGTGCTTTAGGTAAAGCCAGATTAAGTCATTCAGAACAGGGGTTCCAAACCCAGTCCTCAAGTACCCCCTACCAGTCCAGGATTTAGGGATTACCCTGTTGTGTCTAAAGGTTTTTGTTTTTTTCTAAAAACACACAACTGGGTAATCTCTAAATCCTGGACTGTTAGGGGGTACTTGAGGACTAAGTTGGGAACCACTGATTGAGAGCATTTGTATCACTCAATTATTCAGCATGTCTAAATGTATTAATGGCTTTTATATGAAAAAGGAGAACTTTAATAAGTAATATTAAAGGACCACTCTAGGCACCCAGACCACTTCAGCTTAATGAAGTGGTCTGGGTGCCAGGTCCTTCTAGGGTTAACCCATTTTTTCATAAACATAGCAGTTTCAGAGAAACTGCTATGTTTATGAATGGGTTAAGCCTTCCCCCATTCCTCTAGTGGCTGTCTCATTGACAGCCACTAGAGGCGCTTGCGTGCTTCTCACTGTGATTTTCCCAGTGAGAGCACGCCAGCGTCCATAGGAAAGCATTGAGAATGCTTTCCTATGTGACCGGCTGAATGCGCGCGCAGCTCTTGCCGCGCGTGCGCATTCAGCCACGGGGCGGATCGGAGGAGGATCGGAGGCAGAGAGCTCCCCGCCCAGCGCTGGAAAAAGGTAAGTTTAACCCCTTTTCCCCTTTCCAGAGCTGGGCGGGAGGGGGACCCTGAGGGTGGGGGCACCCTCAGGGCACTATAGTGCCAGGAAAACGAGTATGTTTTCCTGGCACTATAGTGGTCCTTTAATTGGCAGAACCTGATGATCCTTTCCTTCTAACTACAAGTGCAATTTAGGAAGGCTGTAAATCAGGAAGAAAGGATATACCACTAAAGGTTATAGAAAGTGGTTTGCTGATCTTGAAGAGTAAGCTGGGGATTCAATTCATGGTCCTTCATAGGAAAACACAGGAATAAATATATATATATATATAGGATTTATAAAAAATAAAAAAAACAATGAATTTTGGACAATTTACAAGGCAAGTGAAAATTGAAGGCCAGAAATCAGCTTTTTTGTAAGCTCTACTATTTTAGACAACTGTCATCAAGTTTTCACTTCTCATTTATTTTCTTATAATGAAACTTAACAGTTTTATTTTTAAATTATGTATATTGATTTTTAGAGAAAATTTTACTTTTTTTATCTGACTGAGTTACCAGGTTTATACTGAACTCTTATCTGCCGAACTGCTGTGCAACTTAAATTGCCTCTTGCCATTCACTGTCATCAATATTGATGATCTGAGCCAACCCAGTGCTTTCCGATAGTAAGGCATTGGGAGGCTATTGCACATGCGCGGCAAAATCCCATGTTGCGCCTATCAGCATCTTCTCATGGAGATGCATTAATCAGTGTATCTCAATGGAGAACGTTCAGCTCCTCTATGCAGAGCGTAGATCACTGAGATAGGAAGCACCTCTAAAATCTGTTTGAGTGAAAAGGCAGTGTTTAGGTTGCTGAGCATGCAGGTACAGGCTAAAGACACCAGAAGCACTACATTAAGCTGTAGTGATTCTGGTGATTATAATGTCTTTTTAAATCAAGGCCTTGGATAATTTTTACTAAATGTTTCTTCTGCTAAAAGATTACTCACTATCTAGAAGTCAGTTGTTTATAGTACATACAGCATCAATATTATTAAATCAATATTTGTTTGTCAAATTTTTCCTTGGTTTTTTCATGTATTCCAGGTCCGCAATGAACCAAAAAATATCCTGTTTTCTGCAGAGTACATTGCCAAAATCAAGGGGATTTCAGTGGAAGAAGTTATTGAGATTACAACAAAAAATGCCATCAAATTGTTCCCAAGGATACTGCATGTTCTTCACAAATAAAGGACTTATTTTTTCATAAAATCTGGGATGGAACGCTATTTATTTAGAAAGAAAATGTGAATATTTAAAGGATCAAAGGGACAAAATTTATTTTTATAGTGCCCTTGTCGAGTGTGCAGGCCAATAGCAAATCTCAATGTTAATTTCTTCTGGACCTCCTTCTGTTCAAAGATTTGTTGACAGTCATTTCACCATGTTTCAGACAATAGTAGCAGTACTTTAGAATGGGAAAAAGGCTTAAGAGGACTATCAAAGTCTATCAAGGTTCATAGTTGCTACTTAAGTGAGCATTGATTTAAAAAAAAAAACTCTTTAAACTGTAGAAGCTTTTGATCCAAATACATGGAAAAAAAGATTGAATGAATATAACCCAAAAAAAGGAGGAAAAATTATGAATTATTCCAAAATCAAATTTTAGCTTGGATCAACTAGCCATTATTAATAATAGACCATATTACCTATTAAATACACATGTGGTAAAATGCACTCCCCTTTAAAACTTTGTTTTCTCGCAACCTCTCTAAGTGGTGAATTCAATTCTTTTTATTGTTTTTTTTGTTGTGTAAATTAGTGTATTATTGCAGTCCAGGAGCACATGTAGCAAACAATGCAATGGGTTTTCTTCTTATCAAGAGACACTTTCCAGAATTTTTAAGTCCTACGCTACTAAAAAGGACTAAAAGATATTTGTCACTGCAAGCCTGGAAGATAAACGACACACTAGCAAGGGTTAATTTCTACCCGCCCGTTTCTTGTGGAAAGTGTACATTTTAAAAAAAAAATTAGCTTTTCATAAAGACTGCTGGTAAAGACTGTTGGAATTTCACCAAAATTCCAACCCTGTCAAAAGATATCATGAGACGAAATAAGGACTACTGTATTGTATGTATTATGTCTACTCTTGACAAAAGGCAAAACTACCTATTGTCAAGCCCTTAGCCGTCACTAGTGGCACAGCTGAGGGGGAAAGATTATATTGACGGTTGCATGGGATCCTCCATATATCATGCGCAACAGTACAACGCTGACCACCTCCTGGCAGATGAAGCTCCAGGTGCTGAAGAGGTCCTCGAGAAAGAATATAACAGCATCCACAAGGGACAGGTTCAGGTAAGTAAAAACTACCTTCCCCTGCCATCCATGAGCACTGAAATAGCAGTCACCATCTGGGACCTTTGCAATGACCCCAACAAGTGACAGAGCTGCTTTAAAAGGTGATCAATGAAGCAATGACTTTCATGTCATAACCAGCTTGGATAATTTAGAGCCCTCCAGTGAGGTTCACCATAGATACAATGATATTGTACCTATGATCACAAAGATCTCAGGGAAATTTTTGAGACATAGATCTCTGTCTCCATGCATGAATTCACTATATCACACAAAGTGCAACATGTGTATTGTAGTTGTGGCAACACTAAATGGTTCTCCTGTTCTCACCTGTCACTCAGCTATAGTAGACATTCAAGCTATGCTGCCAGAATAACTCTCTTTGTCTATACTGTGTGACACGGGGAAGGACAATAGTTTTACATGTATACATGGTATGACTTGACTTGTGCAACATCAGTGACACTCACTGGGAGATAAATAATTCAAACCATTATACAAAGTTCTAAGCAAAAGAGACAGTGCTTGCAACTCTCATTTAATTTACAGAGTGTGTATGACAAAACTGTCTGGGAGAGCCATGAAAGAATAGCCTTGAACCTTATTAAAAATAGCCATTGTAAAAGCTTTCCTCCTATAATTGAATTGACGAGGTAGTTGAACCTCTTGTGTTTAGACCTCTAGAGTTTGTGGAAGAATACATTGTTGCAAGCTCTAAGCCCCGCCCACTGGCACTGTGTTGTTGGCTGTGCAGATGGCTTTTGGGTATGTGGACTGTCACTGTCATATCACAGCTCAGGAGTTCATGCAGGTAAATCTAGGAGGTTTTTTGTTTGTTTTTAAAATAAGTTCATAGGAATTATTGGCACTCTTGCTGCTTTGGACTGCATTTCCCATTGTGCTCAGCCATCCATTGACTCACTGAGGAAGTGTAGTTGGTCCTAGCTGAAATGCCAATCACTATTCTGGCCTGAATACACATTATAGATTACAAGGATCTGACTTGTCATTGCAGTAATTACTAATGTGGTAGTTTTGTATGATGTATCAAACAAAACTTTGAGAAATCAGTCTTAAACCCTGGGCTTTAGGGAGAATATTCTGTGAACATTTTCAAATCAGCAAAAAATGTATATTATTTGAAAATTATTTTATATTTTGTTCTTTTAAATATTTTATCGGTGGTTACCCTCTGACCTAAGTTAAAATGTTCCTGACTTGAAACCAGCAACATTTTATGAGGATAAATGAAATCATCCATACATGGTACAGAGTTTATGGTGATGACACAATATGTGTCAGCTGTGATGATAAGTGGTGGTAAAAAATGAACCATGTCAGCCCAGTGGGCATTCTCGCTGGGTTGACCAACAGCCCAACATGCCAGTTTCTATGTGCCGACCTCCTAACTGTCCCAGACTTGTTGGAACAGACCCAAATTTAAGATCCTATGTCACCGACCTTGGTGTGTTCTTTGGTGTCTCACTGCTGGAGATACCAAAATCAAGCCCCCAAAAAGTGGCACCAAAGTGCATCATTAGATGTGCACATTGCTGTGCAAAATAAACTCCGAGCATGTAGCCCAAAATAGAGCACTTCAATAGAACTCTGCACATTTGGCTAATTTGGCCAGGTCAGGCTCTCATGGTGTCATTTGCACTTCTGGCCCTTCTCATCCCATGTCCCTTATTTACAAATCCTGTTCCAGCCCATACAGAACGACAAAAGGCTAGTAGGGGTAAAGAGTTTGTTCTAATTTTGTCAGGTGATTATTTTTTCATTCATTTCCTATTTTTACATGCTGGGAAAGATTGCATATTATGTTAAACAGTATGTAGCATGTGTCATGAGGAAAAAATACAGACATGCATCACTTCAATGAATGGTCTGTGACATTTCCCTGACTGACACCTACTGAGATCCCCTGCCCATTATTATTTCTGGATATCCCATCTATTGATCACCACAGTCTAACTTGCATCCTGGTTTCGAAGGACCCACCATGTTTCTTTTAATTTAAAATGTATCTGCGGAAAATATTTATGCTTGAAAACAATTGCTGGGGCTCCCATGGTGAAGGGTTTGTCGTGCAGCTTTAAAATGTTTGTCATTTCAGGACACTGAAGAAGTCATTGACAATTCGAGGAAAGTGAGTAAATTCCAGTCCATTCAGTATATTTTCATGATGTCAAAATACTTGAGAATAAATAGATTTGTATTTTCTTTCTCTAGAATGGAGTGCAAGCTCTAGTTTGTGTTACAGAACATTCGGGAGAGTTTGAAAGGCTGATCAACCTTTCAGAGAGGTCTGTTTTTTGTGTTCATGTGTAAATTTGGATTCGTAGTGTATAAACTTTTGCTTTAGACATTGGGCAGTTGCTAAGATAGTGCCATTGAATCCATCATCTGCAAAACGTGTTTGAGTACTCAGGGTCTTGGGTTTAATTCCCAGCATGTTAAAATATACAGGTGACCAGTTTCTTGAGCCTACAGTTAAATATATAGAAGGCAGCTCACGCAACCCAAACCAGAGTCTCTCTGTCCCGGTCCAATTAAAAGTGTGTAAAATGGAGGGAGGGTGTAGTTCCTTTAGGAAATTCTCAAACATAGATGAATATGTAAAATGAGAGGAAGACTGCGGCAAAATATAGTGTAGTATTGTTGGTGTAAATTAATAAAAGAAAGATATTGCCAGGAACGACACAGGTACCCGATACGCAGAATGCAAAATAGGAGAACGTATACCGGGCCTTAGAATGGCCGGACTAACGTAGGAAAGGACAGAGAATAGTCAGGGACAAGCCGAGGTCGAGGGAGCCAGAAAACAGGTAAGCCAATAAACAAGCCGAGTCAAAGGGAAGGAGAACACAGAATAGTCCAAATCAGAGCCAAGTCAAATACCAACAAACCAAACCAGAGTATGCACTATAGGAACAATCAAGCTGGAACCACAACAGGGCAATGATTAGAACGTTTCAGCGGGCCGTGACGTCATCGACGTCATGAAGTCGGCGCTCATGCACCCCGTCCTAAAAACGGGCGGAGCTACCACGGCCAACGTCTGGACGGCCGAGATGAGAGTAGGGAATGTGAGGAGTGCCCCCATCATGTGGGAGAAGATCCACAGGTTGGATCCCTGCCTGGGCAGTAACCATAGGTACCCTGACAGATATGCACTTACAGTGTGTGGAACTTAAATTAGCTCTACTTTCATGCGTTTGGGCAGCACTATCCCCGCCTAGGGATATTTGGTGTGCTCTTTTTGATCTAGTACGAAGTGTTCCATATGATATGTAAAATAAGTATAGATAAAACCAAATCTAGTGCAGCATTCATTTTAAGTACTGAGGTAAAATTAAAATAAAGTAATACACTCACTCACAGAGTGGTACAATCCAGACTTAATGGTCGTATTTACTTGCGGTGTATGTGAGGGCTATGTGAGGGGTGCAGTAAGTGTGGTGTATTATATTTGCTAAAAATAAACAATATAGTGCTCTCTGTTATAAGTAAAAGATAATAAAAATATAAAAGAGTTACTCACGCCTGTGGAGTATAAGAGTGTTTTGTTCAATCTTCAGGGCTCAGGTGGTATGTCTAACACCAAAGGGATACATTTTTTGGCTGCAAATAGTCAGGGAATGACCAGAGATAACATAACATTTAAAAAAAGCATGGGCGGAACCTGATCCAGCACAAAGCGACATCGGCGCTGGATTCAGGTAAGTGACTGAAGGGGTTTTAACCTCTTCAGTGCTGAGGGAAGGTGGGGGGGGGGGGGGGGGCATAGGAACCTATAGTGTCAGAAAAAAAGGCTTGTTTTTCTGGCCCTATAGTATCCCTTAATGATATAATGTGAAAAACAAAAGTATCAAAATAGATCTAAACTGAATAAAAGAAATGAACAAAATTGACCTTCAGCCAATATACCAAAAAAGACATACTTAACATTATTTTTTAAATAATGCTTGAAACTATTTTATTCTTTAGACGTTCTGTATTAAGGCCTGCTCTTTCATTTAAGGTTCCCTGACTTTGTCATGCCGTGTCTTGGAATACATCCCATTCAGAGTGATACAGAGGGGCAACGCAGTGTGACAATGAAGGTAAGTAATTCGACATTGGCTGATGATTACTGGGTACATTCTATCCCAGATGTATTACACTGCCAATCACAATTGCAGTGATTGTCATCAGGGCCGGACTGGGAAAAAAATTTGGCCCGGGCATTTTTTTATCACAGCGGCCCACTAAGAAGGGTGGCGGGGCAGAGAGGGTGTGTTTTGTCATCACTAATGACAAACACGCCACTTGTCAAAGTGCAGGCCAGGGCAGACCATGCGCAGAGCTCTGCTGAAGAGCTCTAGGATGAGAAAAAAGCCCTGTATTTGTTCTGCACAGCGCAAGCAAATTTAATAACATGCTTGCACTGTGTTTCCTTGCAACTTGTCTCTGGTGTCTCTATAAATGGATACCAGGAGACAAAAATGCCAGGAAAGAGTATTGTGCAAATGCTTGGAGCCTGCTTGTGGTATTTTGTGTGTGTAGAGTGAGCTGATTGTGGTGTGGTATTGTGTAATAAGGTTGGTTTCAGTCGTGTTGTGTTTGTGGTGTAATGTAATGCATATGTGGATAGGGGCTGTAGAGAATGTGTATAGGGGATGTAGCAAGTGTGTGCATACAGGCTATAGTGTGTGTGTGTGTGTGTATAGGTGATGTAGTCATAGGCGTGCGCAGCCTATTGTATAAGGGTATGCACCCTAAAGCAGAAACACACGCCGTGTGTATATATATATATATATATATATATATATATATATACATACACACACACACACACACATACTGCTGTGTGTGTGTGTGTGTGTGTGTGTGAGCGCTGTGTGTGTAAGGGTGCTGTTAGTGTGTGTGTGAATGTGTAAGGGTGCTGTTAGTGTGTGTGTGCTTTGTGTGTGTGGGTGAGGGTGCTGTGTGTGTAAGGGTGCTGTTAGTGTGTGCTGTTTGTGTGTGTAAGGGTGTTGTTAGTGTGAGGGTGCTTGTTAGTGTGTAAGGGTGTTGTTAGTGTGAGGGTGCTGTGTGTGTAAGGGTGTTGTTAGTGTGTGTATGTGTAAGGGTGCTGTGTGTGTAAGAGTGTTGTTAGTGTGAGGGTGCTTGTTAGTGTGTAAGGGTGTTGTTAGTGTGAGGGTGCTGTGTGTGTAAGGGTGTTGTTAGTGTGAGGGTGCTGTTAATGTGTGTGTGTAAGGGTGTTGTTAGTGTGAGGGTGCTGTTAGTGTGTGTGTGCTGTGTGTGTGTGTGTGCTGTGTGTGTAAGGTTGATGTATGTGTGTGTGTGTGTGTGTGTGTGTGCTGTTTGTGTGTAATGTGTGGGGTGAGGGCCGTTTAGTTAATATTCCCCCTCCCTTCTTACCTTATGTAGGGAGGGGAGACCGTGCTGCTGCCTTCCCTGGTGGTCCAGTGGAGAGTGAACTCTAGCCCAATCTGAGCATTGCCGTGGTAACCGCGCGAGAGGAACCCGGCAGAGCTGCTGGCCAGAGCTCCCCCGTGTCCTCTCCTGCCTCCCTCCATGCCTGTGGGCTGATGAGGGAGATCTTTGATCTTCCTCACCTGCCCCCGGAGGGAGGCACATAGCGCGTGCCGCAGGGATTAGAGTGTGCCCAGGCACACCCCGTGTGCACGCCTATGGATGTAGTGTTTGTAGAGAGTATGTGTTTAGGGGTGTAGTATGTGTTTGCTTACAAGGAATCTAGTGTGTGTATAGGGGATCAAGAGTGTGTATGTTAGGAGTGTAGTGTTTGTGTGTGTGTGTGTGTGTGTGTGTGTGTGTGTAGATATATATATATATATATATATATATATACACATACATATGTTTGGAAGTATTGTGTATGTGTGTGGTGCAGTGTGGTGGGGAGGTTCTGTGTGTATGTGAGGGGTGCAGTATGTGTATGTGATGGATGCTGTGTGTGAGGGTGCTGTGGGTGATTTGTGTGTGAGAGTGCGGAGTGTGATGTGTGTGTGGGTGCTGAGTGTGATGTGTATGATGTGTGTGTGAGGGTGCTGTGTGTGAGAGTGCTGTGTATGATGTGTTTTGTGATAGTGCTGAGGGTGATGTGTGTGTGTGTGTGTGGGTGCTGAGTGTGATGTGTATGATGTGTGTGAGGGTGCTATGTGTGAGAGTGCTGTGTATGATGTGTTTTGTGATAGTGCTGAGGGTGATGTGTGTGAGAGTGCTGTGTGTAAATGTTAGGGATTCTGTGTTAGAGGGGGTTAAATAAACAAATAAAAAAATCTAAGCAGGCATTAAACCCTCCCCCCTCCCCCCCCGTCTTACCTTTAGCATGGGAGGGGGGGACCCGCACACTGCTATCTGGGAAAGGGGGAGACCTGCACTCTGACATCATCCCTAGTGGTCCTAGTGGGTGAGTGAACTCTATCTTGCGAGAGAAACCCGGCGGAGCTGCAAGATAGAGCTCCGCCGTGTCCTCTCCTCTCCCTCCCCAGCCGCATGTCTATTCAAGTGGGCCGGTGTGGGAGATCTTTGATCTCCCCACCGGCCCTCCATGGAATACAGCAGGGCCGGCACTAGGATCCTGCAACCTCCCCTGCCTGCCTCGGCCCATGGCCACCGTGGCCCACCGGGCATTTACCCGGTGTGCCTGATGGCCAGTCCGGGCCTGATTGTCATTATTCTTTGCTGTTCATATACAGTGCAAATATATTCTATTGTAAAAATAGAGTAGATAGCTGCACCTGCAAGTAAAATATATAAACTCAGAAATAGATATGCAATAAACAATTGTTATGAAGTCTGTATCCTGATTCATAGCAGATATGTCAGTCCAGTACACATAAAAGTATCAGTCAGATGCATAAAGCAGGCTAAAAAGAGATACAATACAGTCCATACCTATGATTATATGATATCTCCTAGTATGCAGCCATATGAAATCGCAACCTATGTGTCACAGAATATTGTAAAGTATTGTTGGCATTATACTGCACCAATTAGGTTAGCTGTGCATTGTCACATTTAAATTAGCAACTACATGCTCCTGTTTAATGGGTGGGAGAAGGTAGAATCACACCCTGGTATATGATATATGCAGTATAACTATACATGATAAAACACAAACAAGGTTATACACTAAATTGAGAATTCAAAGTGTATTTCAAATTTAAGGTCAAAGTTGGAAAATGTGAAAAATGTTCTAATTCAGCTATGCTCTCAGTTTGGTTACTCTGGCTTTAAGGGGATACTATAGTCACCAGAGCAACCACAGCTTATTGTATTTGTTCTGGTGAGTATAAGCATTCCCTTCAGGCTTTTTGCAGTAAACACTGACTTTTCAGAGTGCAGAATGCAGTGTTTACATTACAGCCTAGGGATACCTCCAGTCGCCACTCCTCAGATGGCTACTAGAGGTGCTTCCTGGGGCAGTGCTGCACAGTGTGACTGACCTTCAGTGTCTCCATCCTCTGCATGGAAACACTGAACTTTCCTCATAGAGATGCATTGATTCAATGTATCTCTATGAGGAGATGCTGATTGGCCAGAGCTGTGTTAGGCTTGTGCTGGCTCTGCCCCTGATCTGCCTCCTTGACAGGCTCAACCAATCCTATGGGAAAGCATTGTGATTATCTCACATAATCACTTCTGATGATATCAGCCAAGCAGACAGATCAGGGGTAGGGCCAGCAGATACAGACTGGAATACAGGTGAGATTTTACTATATTAAGGAAGGGCAGGGGAGCTAGATGTTGGTTTTAACACTATATGGTCAGTTTTGTGTTAGAATTAATAATGTTTGTTATACTGACCCTATAATGTTTCTTTAAATTAGAAATGTGCTTTGAATTCTTACTTTATTGAATAACCATGATGATTGCTAATTTCTGCAGTGCTTTGACAATGAGTTAATTGATCATATAATTAAGACAGTGCAACTGATACAAATGGAATGGAGGGCTATTTGTGCAAGAGCTTGCAATCTATAGCACATTGAGCACTGTGGCCCCAATTTAATAGTTAGATGAACTTGCCAAAGTAATCAATTTGGATACATTTCTAAAATGATTTTTTTTTCAGCTTCTTAAACTATCAAAAATATATAAATGATATATCAAAAATGTATCGAACAATATTAAATCATTTGGAAATGTTATCCAACAATATTAAATCGAGGCCTATGTGGCTTTTAATGCTGCGTTAATGGGGACAAAATAAAAACATTATAATTTCAACAGTTCTCAGGATCTCCAGTGGCTTATACTTGCAGAATTTACAGTAAATTTGTACAGGTGAATCAATGCATTCTAGCTGGTAAATATTCTGGCGCAGGTGACCACGAAAATCGACTCAGAAATAAATCTAGGGATGTAATGACACAGGAAGATTGTCATAATTTGAATGTTCAGGGATATAAATGTTGAGGGAGTATTGGAAAGAAAAACAAACTACTGAATAGATGATAAAATAAATAGAGAAGTTAGAATCTTAGAAGACTTCACGTCCGGTCATATAGGAAGGATTAGCTGTTATACAGTAGATGCCCATCACATAAAAATACAATATCAATATTGCTTCCAAAGTATCGTTCTGCAGGATGTAATGAGAACAGGATGTGTCTGTATTACACACATAGCAGGAAGGGTACAGAGTAATGGAATTTTCTCCACCCAAACTCTGCTATAGCATAGAATGTCCTGTAACAGCTTACTGTGAAATAAGTTTATTCTTTTTATTTTATTGTTACTTTCAAATTAAGATAAGTGTATTGAATTTCAATCTGCATACATATTACCAATAATTTTCCAATAAATAAAGAGGATTGTAAATAAAAATAATAATAATAATAATTCTTCGGGTTTTTTTTGTTTGTTTTTTTACAATCAAGTTATAAAGTAATCATGAATCATAAACATCTTTGAGAATGCATAAAATAGACAAGCCAGTGATGTTCGTATAATTAAAATGACGTTTCGTTATAAAGTTTGCCTTTTATAAGTGGAATAAAAATTCCTTCTGATAGCTAGTATGTCATAGAGCAAAGAAACTCCTGGGTTTATTCTCTAAACAATTGACTGTGGTTTTCTTTTTCCATCTCTATTTTTCTTGGCTTACATTTTGCAAGTTGAATGGCAACCCACTATTTAGTGGATAAACCCCACAGTAATTAAAGGAATACTATGGGGTCAGGAACACAAACATGAGTACCGCTATATATACATATGCATTTTTGGGGCCATGGAGTCTCCCTGTTACACTTTCAGCAGGACCTCTGTTCTCACAACTCGCAAGAGTGTTACCGTGGGTTGCTAGGGCAACGCTCTGTGCGGCACCTAGTTAATGCGGGAGCATTCCCACGGCAACCCGCAGCAATGCTCTCGCGGATCACGAGAACAGAGGACCTGCCACTGCTGTAGGAGAAACATGGAGACTCCAGGGCCCCCTCTTCACAAGAGAATACGCTGTGCAACCGGACCACCACGAAATCCAGTGTCCCCCCTTCCTGGTCACAGGCAAGAGGCAGGGAGGGGGGAATAAACCCATAAAATACAAACTGCCTACCCCCCTCAGGACTAATCAAACACATACACTACATGCACTACACAAACACACACACACTGCATCCACTATAAACGTACTGCAACCACTATGTGTGTCTGTATGTGTGTGTTTATGTCGGTATGTGTGTCTGTATATGTGAGTGGGACCATATAGAGATTAATATAATAAGTGGTTACATACTGTACTACTCTAAAGTCTTCTTTCTTATATTTCCTACAGGTGTCTTAAAGTGATAACCTGTGGTAATTTTATACATTGAGTGCTCTCACTGTTTTTAGATTGTAAACTACACACAAATACACCACTGCATTCAAATGCCAACACTACATACAAACACACCCTTTCATTCACTAACACACCCCCTCCCACACAAAACATGCTTACATTAAAACACACAAACACTAAATATATTAAAAACATTTTGCGGGTCTGTTTTAAATTTTAAAGTTGAAAACTGTCTGAAAAGATAGTGTTTACTGCAAAAATCCTGAAAGGACTGACTATACTCACCAGAACAATACAAGCTGTAGTTGTCCTGGTGACTATAGTGTCCCTTTAAATACTCTGGTACATGATGAAATTTGCCATTGTATATAAATCATTGTGCCAGCAATGCACTGTGAAATGTTATGCTGTCCGTAATTACATGTGAGTTAAAGATTTATGGCTATTTTAATGTTTTTATATCCATGCATATTTCATGTCCTTTTCCCTACTTTATGGAAATTGTTACTGGAGGCGCGATATCATGTCAAATATCCAATCTGTCATGGATTTTTTTGTTTAGCAGGTACTATGTTTTTTTCAAGTACCTGGCAAGTATTAAAGAGGAATTGATTTGTTACTAATGAGATTTTAGCACAGCCTTATAACTAAGTAAAATGTATCTGTAGGTGGAAGTTTCACCTTAAAGTCAATTTTTCATAATTTTGCAGGATTTGGAACCAGTTCTTGCACAGTTTGAGAAGTACAAGGACCAGCTGGTTGCTATTGGAGAGGTATTGCGTTATATACATGGCAGTCAAGGATAACCTGGTCAGTGCAATTGCTTATGAACTAAACAGACTGACAAAACATTGCGGGAATTGAAGTTCATGAATAATGTGGGGCAAGCTGAGCTATCAGAGAAATGTGTCACTAACGTAAAAGGTTTGCCAAAGAGTTTTCTAAATGACTCACAATGTGTGCAGTATTAAATCATTTGCAGCAAGTCTTTTTTCCCCTATTCTAGAAATGTTTCCTTTCTCCCGTGCAGTGTAATATTTCCAGCTCTGATAGCTTTCTCTTGTGAATTTTGAAGGATATAATTCAATTGATGTAGTCTCCCCTCCTTTCACTTTTTTTTTCTCCAATTGGTGTTATTTTTTTTTTACTGCTATAAAATGTATCCCTTATCCGTGCACGTTACATTCTATGATATAAAAGATGGTTGAAATAACAATGATAAAAGGGACATTATAGGCACCCCGACCACTTCATCTTATTGAAGTGGTCTTGGTGCAGTGTCCCTGTCCCCTTATTCCTGCAATGTTTACATTGCAGTGTCAAGACTGCCTCTAGTGGTTGACAACCAGACAGCCACTAGAGAAGCTTCCTGCAGATTCACGGAGTTTGACTACAGAAAAACCCCATAGTAAAGCATTAAGTCACTGCTTTCCTATGGGGAAGGCATAATGCGCTTGCGTTGCTCACCGCGCTTGCGCATTGGGTTCCACCCTTTGGCAGACGCTGAAGGAGGTGGAACCCAATCCAGTGCCGATGTCCCTCGAGTAAATGAAAAAAGTATTTTTTTAACCCTCTACATTGCCGGGGTGGAGGCAGAGGGTTTCTGTAGTTCTAAGAATACACTTTGTATTTCTAACACTATAGTGATGTCCAATGTTACTATGTTGCGTTTCATGTTTCTGTACAGATTGGATTAGATTTCACTCCATGGCTCGCCCCCACCCAAGAACAAAGAGATGAACAGTTAAAGGTTTTCAAGATGCAACTGGACATTGCCAAACGATTGGACCTTCCTGTGTTAGTAAATATAAACACTGCTATCCAAGCCAGATAAGCTGATAAATGATAAACTGTGGAAAGTTTATTTCCTTATAAGAGATTTACAAAGGTTCTTCAAAGTGCATTAACTTTCGTCCACATGTGGCATAACACGGTGCCTTTTACATCCATTGTAGCAACCATAATTATTGATTTCACCAGTATGACAACAGCAACGAACTAAGGGCTAATACCAAATCATAGAAATAAAATATTATTGCTACATTTGGTAGCGCTATGTATGAATTACTTTTTATTATCTATTGAGTGACATCATGTGTGAGGTATACGTGTGAGCTTTTTTCAAAGCTCTCCAGGGTGTGTCCAGTTTAGTTAAAACAGGCAGGGCAAAAAAACGCTTCACCCAAAACGATTTATAATAACCCAACTTTTTTTTTTTTTTTTTTACAATCTCAGAAACATCCATTCTCGTTCAGCCGGGAGGCAAACAATTGCTTTTCTTAAGGAACAAGGTAAGAACATTGCAAAATTAAATGGTAAATATAGAGGATGGTGGTACAAAATAGAAAAAAATCTTCTAACTCGAAAATTATGTTCTAAAATTTACAGTTCTTTTGAAAATTCCTTACAATTGAAAGTTGAATAACATTGTGGCTTAACTTTTGCAAACTCAGTCATTGACTCACACTTAACTGAGTAAGCCCCACAATGTTTACGTGATGACATTGTCTCCTGTTTTCCTTACAGACGTTCACAAGGTGTTGTTACATAACTTTGCCGGCCGGCCCTCGGTGGCCCTAGAAGGTGTGCATGCTGGATATTTTTTCTCTTTCCCTCCCGCTATCACAAGGAATGACCAAGTAAGACAAAAGCCTGACTGGTGTTGATGTGGATAGCTCACCTTAGTAAAATGTAAAATCGAATGACATCATCATTGTTCCTATCACAGTGTAACCTTAACAGAGTTATTACAAAACAAAAAAAGCGATACCACACTCCAACAAATGTAATGAAAAAAAGTGTAATTTACTTGTATAGCCTTGCCAACATTGGTCAGGTCCAGAGATGTATAAACATAAATACAGGCAAAACAATCCATATAAAGTCCACTATATACCACTATCCTAATGCGCATAAGGAAATAGTAATACAAAAAGAAATACGATCTCATCTTGTATAGATAACATAATATGACTACCTGCACTAGTACATATGAGAGACTGGGCTATAGAAGATCAGAGGACTAGATGTACTGACCACCAAGAGGAAAGTGCATGAAATATAAAGGGCCAAATGCCTCAAATACCAGTGTGTAAGATGAATTAAAGTGCATAGTCTACAAAACAATATCTAATTATAAAGAAATAATACAAGATATGAAAATGTAATGTAAACATGACATAATCCCCAATAATGTGGTCTAGCTAGAACTACAAAGGGCAGAAAAATCAAGCCGCATTATTCCACGGGTTCTGATCATACACAGCAAGGTTATAGTATAAAATGCCTAACATAGACTGCTAAGTCCTAATAAGCATAGGTGAGATCCATAAATGATGTCTGTAGATATCCTGCGGTATTCTTGTTGTATAGGAAAAATTTAAAATGATATAACCAAATGTAAATGTAAAAATAAAAAAATGAAAAAAAAGAGAAAAAATATTGCTAGCACAAACAAAACAAAAAAACAGAAACTGAAAAAAGGGTGTTATATATACAAAAACTCAAAGTCTCTATGAGGATATAGATATGATCTCACCCATTCTGAAGTAAAGGAAGACGCTGGCCATATATAACAGTAAAAAGTTAAAAGCCGATCAAAGTGATAGATGGCCGAAATCCAATCTAATCAGCCTGTGTAACCATCTGTGTGGTGAGAAGTATGGTCAAGTTGTACAGTCGAGGGAATATCAGGTGGATCCGGGGCTGCATGCCTGGCATATTTTATCCCTTTCATGGCCCTGAACTGAAAATTGGACATTTTAGGCAAAAGAGCTGAATCCGAAAATGTTCCCAACTCTGCTGTTTTGCCCTATAATATGCAGTTCACTTGCCAATTCATCATTGTTCCTGGTTTTACGGGATAACACTGTTTGTCATGTCAGTATCAGATCGTGTGCTATACAGGGTTTAAAAATTTTGACTGTCTGTTATAATTATTTACTATAAGCAAAGCTTGGCTCTGTTCCTGAAGGGAGTAAAAACCACACTTGCCTGGGTGCCACTCCACGTTCTATGTAAGAATCTCAAAAGATGGGTGCACTCCCAGGTCTTGATACATATGGATTTAATGGTATTCCAAGTTAAGATCTATGTTTCAACCAATTCTGGTTGTTTTCCAGATCCTATTAAGATCATTTTCCTATATATTATACATAGTGTGTCCTCTCATTCGGTTAAACCTCACACTACATGTAAATACTCTCTTAAGCACTGCACCAATCATTAAAACAGACTTCCAAAGACTGAGAATTTTATTAATTTTTATTTAATTATAGTTCTCAAGATATGTTCTCAGCAGCTACACAGTTCATGTTAGTGTAATGGATTAATGTACATTTGCCATTAATGTGCTTTAAAGAGGATTAGAAGAGGTGTGTACATTAAATTGGCATCTGATGTCTCCCATAATAAGGGAAATGTCTCTGAAGGTGCTGTGGATGAATCAGAATTCATTTTAGGAAATAATGGAAGGAGGGTGTAGTAAGACAAAAAATAAACAGGACCGGCATGTACAATGCAGACAGGGGCAACTCTGCATTTAGGACAAGCAATATGAGCATGAAATAAAATGAATTAATTATAATATAACAGACAATCAGCAAGTTCCTGGAGTAAAAATAGGATATTCAATGAATAATGTCATACCAGGGTAGACAGTTATAAAGGAATTACTATTGATGGAATGTTAATTCTTCATAATAATAATGATATTTTTTTATTTTGGTACACACCTGTACATTTGTAACAGTATCTATTTTACAAAGAGTTGAATGCTATGTGTACTTTTATTTTTCTATACATTTTAGAGAGCAAAACTAATCAAGCAGATTCCCCTGGAGAATATTTGTTTGGAGACGGACTCTCCATCCCTGGGTCCATGTAAAGAGGTATGGGTGTGTAGGATTGCAAGTTCCTTTATTCCTGTATGGCTTGGCTTAAGCTAAGAGATCCAAAATTGCTACTGGATTCTCTTTTGTAAATGGTCATGTAATGCTTTAATTATCTGAAAGGTTGGAATTTTGTGCTAATTTCAAAGAAATATTGACATCAATTTAATTTCCATTACTGCAGCCCAATAATATAGCATTGTATGCTTGGATTTTTTTTACAGTCATACGTCTTTATGGTGCTTTAGAAAAGATAATATCATAGTATTCTAAAAGGATGTATACTTTGTAAATTTTTCAGATTTTTATATAATTGACTATAGAATATTATTGTTACCCAAGTCAGTAGTTCTCCTTTTATCAATCTCAGAAGGATGACAGGCCAAGGGAAATCTGTCGAGAAATGAGCATGCACCAACATTAAAAACAAATGTGTTTATTTCTAAAGCCGGAGAGTTCCTTTGGGGTTAAATTTAGGGTGCACCACAGATTAAAAAAAAAAAAACAATAAGTAAAATAAAAGGTATATATTTTTCCAGCAGTGAGGTCATCTTGTTGCTGCTCCGTTGCATCCACTGGAGATCATCAATACTGATGATCTTTGGGCCACTCTAATGCGCCATAGGCGGTACCTAATGCACATGTGCAGAGAACGCTGCATGCACATTGACCTTCCCCATAGAAAAGCATTAAAATCAATGCTATGGGGGGATTTAAATACTCACATGCACAGCGTGAGGACATCCAGCATGGTTTCACTGAGTTAAACTCTGTGTAACAGCAGGAAGCTCCTCTGGTGGCCAGTAGAGCCAGTGTTTATCCTGCAATGTAAATATTGCAGTTTCTTTAAAACTGCAATGTTTTACATAGCAGGGCTAAGGGGACAGCGATGAGATGAAGTGGTGTGAGTGCCTATATTTTCCCTTTAACATTGGTGCATGAATCAGATGAGATGGCATTCACATAGACATGATACATTTTTATTACATCATTTGTATGCAGTAGTTTAGAAAACACACTGTAAAATGATTTGGATTGCGAAATAGCCGTTTGGAAACTGCCTTTTAGTTTTGTGAAGGGCACATTGCCATTTGTTTCTTGGGTAATGCTGAGATTCAGTGACCTTTAAATATCGATTTTGAGAAGGCGCTGTAAATTCACATGTATTTTTTATTACACTCTGACTTGTAAAATCCTGTGCAATTGAACTCAAACTAACCCTTAAGCACTGGATTCTATCATAATTATTTGGTTTGTGAAAGCCTTTGTCCAAATATTTCACAAGCAACCAAGACTGACAGATTACACAGTGTGCTTTCCTGCACTGCTACAATTATAAATATAATGTGGTAATCAGTATCATTTGCGGTAGTCATTACTACTGAGCAGATGTTAAAGGCAAAGATTAAAGTTGGAAACTTGTTGATAAGGTCTCTCCTATAATATCTACTGGCTATTGTGATTAACTACCTCAGTTATTTAGCAACAAGATTGCAAACGGTTCTAATCAAAATATGAAACGTTTTCCAGGGATCAGTGATCCAAATAATTTTTCACACATCAAGGATTGAAATTTGAGCACTGATGTAACACTGCCCCAATACATATTATGCTGGTTCAAAGAAAAAAAAAAGAGATAGGAAATGGGCCAGGGCATACATAAATTATTGTTTCAGGATTAGAAACCTGTTTGGCAATCAACACATCACAGAACATGGCACAGATGCTTTTCTTTCTAAAATGTCCCTTAGTACACTGGAAAGCAGGGATAAAAATTAGAATTGCATTGTCAATTCATTCATTGCTTAAAAAAATGAGAGTGACTGTTGCTTTAATTGTGAAGCCTGGTGCTTCTTAGAGCTCTTGAATGCAGTTTGAGTTGTGGTGTATCACGTTTACGCTAGAATTCCAGGATCTCACCCTGTACTTTGCTTTGAAAAGCTTGCCTTCATATTAATTTGATTCATTTCTTTTCTCCAGAAGCGGAATATTCCATCCAATATTTGCATTCCCTGTGATTATATAGCTTCTGTGAAAGGTCTTCAACCTGACTCAGTCCGTGAGGTGACCACACAGAACGCCATGCGGCTTTTTCCAAAGATGTATCACAAATTAAAAACCTAGTTACTTTGATCGTGTCCTCGGAACAAAATGAGTTAATGATAAAATGTGTCATCAATCTTAATATTGTATATTCTTCGTGTTGCATGCCTGGCTAAATATAATGCAAATAAATCAATACAAGAGTTTTCATTTTATAATAATATATAGTTATATAGTTACATAGCTGAAAAGAGACTTGCGTCCATCAAGTTCAGCCTACCTCACATTTGTTTTTTGCTGTTGATCCAAAAGAAGGCAAAAAAACCCAGTTTGAAGCACAATTTTGCAACAAGCTAGGAAAAAAATTCCTTCTTGACCCCAGAATGGCAGTCAGATTTATCCTTGGATCAAGCAGTTATTACCCTACATTGAAAGATTATATCCTTGAATATTCTGTTCTTGCAAGTATGCATCTAGTAGCCGTTTGAACATCTGTATGGACTCTGATAAAACCACTTCTTCAGGCAGAGAATTCCACATCCTGATTGTTCTTACAGTAAAAAAACCTTTCCTTTGCCTTAGACGAATCATTAACTTTGCATCACATTTAAGCAATTGTAGGGTGTTTTTTATGTTTTATATTGAAAGTTAATAAGATCCACCCAGTGTCCCATGAAACTGCAATGAGCAGTTTATTAACTAGCTTTGAAAATAACAAACCAATGGTTCCAACAGTGTGGGGGGGTTTTCTGTGTTTCTTTTTTTGTTTGTTTGTTTTTTTCTTGCATAACTCTTAAACCACCCTCATTACTTTTATACTCCTTCAGTACCCAGCTGTATACCAACCTATGCTCTTTAGATGCATTTTCAAAGCAACATCTACCCAGCCTAGTCTGTACAAGTACCCAGTCACCATCTTGGTACTATGGCTCCCTCCACCATGAATGCAGAATGTTTTGATTAAGCCATGTATAAGATGCTCGCAGTAAAGGAGTAACAAGCCAGACAAAAGCATTATCACATGTCCAACTGGGAAATTGTGTTAAGCTGATACTGTGGGAAGGAATGCAGAAGTGGGCATTTAATTGATTTTGCTACCTACGGCTCCTGTGATCCCTTGCTAATTGCTGGTCGTGGCTAAAGAAATATTAAAGTCCCCAGCTGTTTAATGTTTTGTACTGTTTTTTTAACAACTAATTTTAAATGGGATTTATTTATGATACATTAAGTAAACCTGGCAGGAAGTTTGCCAGATCGCAATTTGATTTTAAATGTTTGAAGAATGCAGAATTCAGGACTTTTACTAAACTGTAAACTCTTTGGGAACGTAAAGGGAACTCAGAGGGAATTACAAATATTAGCCCAAATTGGCTTGGCAAATTTTTCCTTCCTTAGGCCTAAATACTCACAATTTAGTGAGTAACACTGGGTGTTATGCATGTTTTACAGACCCCTAAATCAGTTGCAAATCCAACCACTGAGAAAAGCTGTATTGCACAGTTAGGCTACTTAATTAATATGGAATTCAAGTCTCTAATTGCTCTAACTGATTTTGAATTTTCTCGTTTGAGCAGCGCCCTATTGGAACCTATTGTTCCTGTAAGTTTTTGTAATAGTCTCATTTATTGTTAAATTTCCCCCTCTGATAATATTGTAAAGCGCTACGGAATATGCTGGCGCTATATAAATATTAGTAGTAATAATAATTGCAATACTAAAATTTGGATCTAAGTTGTTTTAAGTAAATGTTAAGTACACAAATAAAATCATGTTATTAAGAGGAGAATGTAGCTTATATTCATGCAGGCGTGGACAATTGATAAACCACATCTAATATGATCCTTCTCTAAAACTAGTTCATCACCATCTGCAGAGCTCTTGATCCAGTGTCAGAATAATGATATTAAGGTCAACTATACAGTCAGGACTGGCCATATAGGACCTCACGGGCCTTTTGGCACGGCTTCACTACTTGGGACAGCAATGGGACAATTGGGAAGTTCGACGAACTCCCAACTAGCTTACAAAATGGGGGGCTGTGAGATTGGGCAGGATGATGCTCAGCCATCCCATAAGCTTGATTGCCCATCATAGAATTTATAGTTCACAGCCATGCAGTGCCTGATGTTTAATAATGTTTGTGATCTGCAACAGCCATGAGGCTCTAGGCATTGTTAGGAATAATAGGATTTGCAGTTCACAAGCTTATTAAGTGCCTGATCTTTAAAGAAACACTCCAAGCACAAAACCCACTACAGCCTGCTGTTCCCTCCCATTGACAGATACTGGTCAGCTGATGCTGTTTGTAAACTATACTTCCCTTTCTATTTAGGCTGCCAGAAGATTTGGCTGAGCATTACAGGAGTGGTTGGGGGATCATCACTAATAAATGTGACACAGCAAGCCTACGGTAGACCCTTTATTCTGTGAAATGATTTCAATTCAAGGAATCTATTACTGCATTATCCATTCATATTAGAACACATTATCTCCTTTTATAAATGAACGATTTCTATTTTGTCCATATTGTCCAGTTTTCATCCACAATTCCATTCCCAGCATCTCCTCCTTAGAGATGACTTCCATATCAATCACACCAAATGTCCTTTACCTGTAACAAAAGACAGAATAACCTGGTCATATTTTGCCTTACCATTCTAAAAGGAAGTAAGCAAACATTACTTGATCTACAGAAATCCATGCAAGCGCATGTCACACTGTTAACGTTTACCTATGCATTATCATTGGAAAGTATTAACATATAGCACACACGAGTGGTACAGCGGTATCACGAGTGTCATATGCTTGTGAGTTTGTGCACTTTCCCCTCTCAAGACATCACACGTCCATGCTCAGTCCTGCTTCCATACATTTATATACTAGAGCACTGATTAGCTTAATAAGTTTAATTAGTTTCTGCATGTATATAATGTGAAAAAGGGATTAACTGCAAACTTCAAGATCAGTATATTAGTAACTCTTGAGATTTTTTAGGATTTGTTAAGAATGTTTCCTATGTATGTTGTCCATTTAGACGTACCTTGACTCCCTCATCGTCAAGGAGTTATTTTTTAATCACCATTTATTACCACCACTATTTTCTCACCTTACTGAGGAGTTCGGTAGATTTATATTAAAGTGGCGCTGTTACCGTCTGGGGAATTTTCAAAGAATCCGATAAAGACATCGCCACTGGGGGTCCAGTGACTAGGGGAGGGGGGAGCTAAAGGTGAGATATACATACGTGAACCTATCCCTCCCAGGTGTGGCCATCTGGTTTGGGTGGGTCTTCTTCAGCTGTAGAAGTCAGAAAGTCAGGCGGAGGAAATATACAGAGACAAAGTACTCCCTACTTTGACTTAGTATATCTCTTGACTAGGTTGGAATTTCAGTGAAATGCCAAAACAGTCAAAATTAGTATTTCGGAAAGATTGTCTTTCTGAAATACACATTTTTCATGAGGGGCGGGGGAGGGACAATGCTGCTTTAATGTTTGAACATGAGCAGGGGTAGGTTCATGGCAACTTAACCAGAGCCATTGTTTTCTGATACCTCAGGGCAGCAGTGACTGTCTCTGTGTAACGTAACTACTACAGCTTGCTGAGTGACATTTGGTCTATTCAATTTTAGCACACACTAGAAACGAATTAAAAGCAATTGGTTGTGCTATTTTCTATATCATCTTGTATGTTAATAAACATGCAAATTAGTTAATCTTGCAGTGAGATACACACACAGAACGCGTGCATACTGCACTACTGGAGAAACTGCTCACTACGAATGTGGCAATTCAACAAAATTGTCACTCCATTTTAAAACAGTGGGAGACTCCTGTGTTTTATTTGACTATATGAGGTCACTCTCCTCTACAGCAGAACTGCAACAGAAAATAGCTGACGCAAATGTTTCCGCTGATAATCCACTACATCAAGACAAATATAATAAATATAAATGCTAATATAATATTATTAATAAATGCTAACAAATCTAATGCACATGATCCCTACTGCTACATAGTCATGGGACTTGTAATCTATCCACAATTGTCTTCACCATGCCTAATGTTGAAGGCTAAAAAATTTATTTAACCACGTGGTATAAATGCTACAATTTAAACTATAGTTTATCTGTAGGTAAGTGGCACTGTCACCGTCTGTGGACTTTGCCGAATTCCGCAAGACTCCCAATGGTACCTGAACCTGTTCCTTTTCAGCCAATGTCACTGCTGTACTTGCACGCATGCGTGACAACAGCTATTGCCAAATGACGTACCAAAAACTGAAGAGGACCTTGCAGAAGAAGATGGCGTCAGCCACAAGGGATAGGTTCAAGTAGGTTAAAATGACCTGTCTGTGGCCGCTGGAATGCAAGCTGAGCAGTCGCCATCTAGGGTCTACGTAAAATATGCAAAGACCCAAGAAGGTGGCAGAGCCATTTTAAATAACATTTAGCGCTCTCCCACTTAGATCAAACTATTTTTCATTACATGGTTTATATTTGGCATCTTCCTTGTATCCAGTTTACAATTGGTATCATCATTCATGAACTTTCAAAGTCTGACCGGTAAACAAGAGCATGGGGTGCAATGTACACTTACCTGCATTAGAAAAGTGTCTTTTCTCCCTGTGTTTTGGAGTTTGGCTTGCCCATGACATTCTTGAATACGGTGGCCACTGATAAATCAAAGGATTTGTGTCTTTCTGAGGGTAGTGCCTCAACTCGGCTCTGGTCCAGTACTGCTTGCCATCTGGTTCCACAGCACACCATGTTTCCCTTTTTTCATATATCTCTCTTAATTCTTCCCATTCTTGAGACATTTCAACCTCTGCCTGTTGTGTCTTTGGGATGAGCTGCGGATAATGTGTCTAGAGTTACTCTGCAGGTCTTTGTCAGCAGCTCACATTGTGTGTCTCGTTTCTATGGCAGTGAAACAAAAGTTGTGTCCAGAGCAACCATTTTCCCTTCCATGATTCAATGACATAGAACCTTGAGGTTCGAGTAGTTAACTATGACACTGACTACAGTGAGATTGTATTAATTGTGCAGGTTGATTCCGTTATCATATTGCAGATTGCTATGGAAACCAATTGGATGCCCCTGCTGTTTGATTTCTATTTTATAGGGACACTAATAGAGTGCTGTATCCAGAGTCCCATAATCCCTCTAATCCTTGTAGTAATAGAAATGATGGATTCACAAGCAACACCAGACGTATGAACTCTAAAATGTCGAGTGGGCCTATCTTGACAAAGACCCTTTGTAGATTTAAACATTTCTGGGCTCACCACAGAATTTGATAGAAAAACATGTCCAGGATGCACAGAATAAAAATCCGCTATGTTTCTTTTAATGCGGCACAGTGATATTTTTATTTTTTCTCTCAGTTTTCCTCTCCTTATCCTTCTGTTTCTTAAAATAAATATACTCTGTCTCTTGCTACTTGCCTTTATAGTAATTTTTTTTTCCCCTTGTGCCAGATGTCAATTGCCAGGTGTTGCCATTTTGTACTCCTCCCTTGATTAGATGTTGGCACTTATGTGGGATTCTTTTAAATGATTGATTAGATGGAGGTAAATCAGTTTAGCAATTGAAATGTAACTTTTCTTAAACATTGCCCATTAGCAAAGACTGTGAAATGGTCATGCTGTATGTCCCTCTTTTCTATCCTAATGTCTTTCTTTTTTAGGCGATCCATATTGTTGGTGTTTCTGAGTGTATAACAGAGACCCTCAGTAACAATTTTCATAGTAATGTGTCTTTAAACTACAATAAATGTATTTAGAAATAAGTGTGTAAAAAAAGATATTGTTCTTGTTCTAAATTCCATTTTTTTTTTTTTTTTGCTTAAATTGTTATTGGTAAGCCACCTAAACTGTCTCAGAACAGCCCCCACCCTCACCACACCCAGCGGCACCCCTAAAATTAAAGTGTTCCTGTTTGCTCGTTTGAAACAGTGGGAGGTGTGATATATGATAAGACAATGTGTATCCGTGTATGATAATATTAGACCATTTCACTAAAGTATGCATTGTTGAGAATTTAAAGTGAAATTCAGATTTTAAAACCACAATAACAAAACTCAAAACATAGCTGACTGGGAGATTTCCCCCCCCCAATTTGTCTGTTTTGAGGATTTGAAATTTACTTGGCAATTCATACTTTAGTATGTACCCTTGTGTGAGTGTGAGCTTGTATAAAAGTCACTACTGTGCCCTTGTCAATCACCAGAGCTCTCTTAAACCCTTAAGGACCAAACTTCTAGAATAAAAGGGAATCATGACATGTCACACATGTCATGTGTCCTTAAGGGGTTAAAGGGAAAACATGAGTTCCCATTGTTTTCAATACTTTGTTTATTTTTCGCCACGATTTAACAAATATGTGTTGGTGAGGTGTAATGTATAAAGTGTAATGTGGAAAACTACAGTGCCGAATTTAGCATTATTTGGGAACTGGATACTTTCATTTTAGCTCCCTGTCAATCTAGATCTTAGAAATACGTGGGGCTTGAGCTTAAAGGAAAACTCAATGATCACTAACAGGTGTGAATAAGCCATGACCTTTTCCCGCCTTTTTATGTCGTATCCCGTCCTCTCTATCTATGAACATTGTGCTGATGATGCTCCCCATGATGTCAATGAGAGCACAGCCAAAAAACAAGCGCTGCGGAATTTGACGGCGCTCTATAAAGATCATAATAATAATAATAATAATAATATACTGCACAGCCAGGTGTTCAATGCGACCGTCACGCTAATTAGCTTATTAGGATACTCCATCACCTTCTGCTGACAGTCACCTGGGGAGCATCAGGTAACTGTCCCCATAAAGCGTAAGTCTTTAGACATGCTTGTGGTCTAAGACCACGCTGAAACAATTTGCATGGTTCACCATTGGTGTGCTGGCAAGCAGCCTGGCATGCATTTTTTGGGAGGGGGGGGGGGGGGTTAAGTAATAGTAGAATGCACCTGTGAAACAATTCACATCACTGGTTCGCCCCCCCTTTACCCCACACACATGTGTTGCTTCACAGGACACCAACGTTAAGAGATATGATAAAGAATAATTGAAATAATAATAATAATACTGTTTTCCTGCCCCCTTCACCTACTGGGGAGGTCCAGAGCTGAAGACATTTAGGTGCTTCAGCCTCCAAAGCCCCCAACTAGCAAGGCCCTGCCATGTGTCAGTCATTGTTAAAATCTCCGCCCTTTTTGCGCCTTTGAGACTCCGATAAAAAAAGGTCAACGTGAGTTCTAAATGGTGGGTTTACGTTTTATTCAATGATGTAATTTTCAGAGAAGTGATGGAAATCCCTTACAATCCGTAATGGGTGGGTTCTGTCCGGTAAAGGGTTAATGGGTGGGCTCTGCCCAGTAAAGGGTTAATGGGTGGGTTCTGTCCGGTAAAGGGTTAATGGGTGGGCTCTGCCCAGTAAAGGCTTAATGAGTGGGCTCTGGCCAGTAAGGGGTTAATGAGTGGGCTCTGCCCAGTAAAGGGTTAATGGGTGGGCTCTGGCCAGTAAGGGGTTAATGGGTGGGCTCTGCCCAGTAAAGGCTCAATGAGTGGGCTCTGGCCAGTAAAGGGTTAATGGGTGGGCTCTGGCCAGTAAAGGGTTAATGGGTGGGCTCTGCCCAGTAAAGGGTTAATGGGCGGGCTCTGGTCAGTAAGGGGTTAATGGGTGGGCTCTGGCCAGTAAAGGCTTAATGAGTGGGCTCTGCCCAGTAAAGGGTTAATGGGTGGGCTCTGGCCAGTAAAGGGTTAATGGGAGGGCTCTGGCCAGTAAAGGGTTAATGAGTGGGCTCTGCCCAGTAAAGGGTTAATGGGCGGGCTCTGCCCAGTAAGGGGTTAATTGGTGGGCTCTGGTCAGTAAAGTTTTAATGGGTGGGCTCTGCCCAGTAAAGGGTTAATGGGAGGGCTCTGGCCAGTAAAGGGTTAATGGGTGGGCTCTGGCCAGTAAGGGGTTAATGGGTGGGCTCTGCCCAGTAAAGGGTTAATGGGCGGGCTCTGGCTAGTAAGGGGTTAATGGGTGGGCTCTGCCCGGTAAAGGGTTAATGGGAGGGCTCTGGCCAGTGAAGGGTTAATGGGTGGGCTCTGCCCAGTAAAGGGTTAATGGGTGGGCTCTGGCCAGTAAAGGGTTAATGGGTGGGCTCTGGCCAGTAAAGGGTTAATGGGTGGGCTCTGCCCAGTAAAGGGTTAATGGGTGGGCTCTGCCCGGTAAAGGGTTAATGGGAGGGCTCTGCCCAGTAAAGGGTTAATGGGAGGGCTCTGGCCAGTAAGGGGTTAATGGGTGGGCTCTGCCCAGTAAGGGGTTAATGGGAGGGCTCTGGCCAGTAAAGGGTTAATGGGTGGGCTCTGGCCAGTAAAGGGTTAATGGGTGGGCTCTGCCCGGTAAAGGGTTAATGGGAGGGCTCTGGCCAGTAAGGGGTTAACCAGGACAGCCCCGTCGCCAGGATGCCGCAGGAAAGCCACGCGCCTCACTTCCGCCCCGCCCACATCTCACCTCGGCCACGCCCGCCAGGGGGGGCGGGGCTGGTGTCTTTGTCGCTCTGCCTTAGACTGGGGCGAGTTATAGCAATAGGGGGTCTCCTCCCTGTCTCTGATTGGCTGCCGGAATGACACGCTCGCTCTGATTGGTCGCCGTGTGCCGGCTCATTCCTCAGGCGGCGGAGTGTGCAGTGTGAGCCCTGTCATGCCGATTCCTCCTCAGCCCTCCACACACACAGCATGGTATCCACCAACGGCCACATCCCGGGCCAACGGGACCTGTCTGCGCCCACTGAGGAGCTCAACGGGGACATCCATCACACGGGGACACAGCCTGAGCAGGATGGGGCCCCCAGGGGCCCAGACCGTGAGCTGCCCACCTACACCGCCAATGTGGCCCCCAGGGGCCCAGACCGTGAGCTGCCCACCTACACCGCCAGTAATGGGGACCGGCAGCAAGGTGGGGCCCCCAGGAGCCCAGGTGAGAGGGAAGCCATGCTGTCAGGCCAGCAGAAGCCCCTGGAGACCCGGCTGTTTTACAGGAGGTTTGCCATCCTGGGGGTGTTCAGCCTGTACTCCCTGGTCAATGCCTTCCAGTGGATCCAGTACAGCATCATCACCAATGTCTTCACTGACTTCTATGGGCTGAGCTCTGATAAGATAGACTGGCTCTCTATGGTCTATATGCTGGTCTATGTGCCCCTCATCTTCCCTGCCACCTGGCTACTGGACAAGAAGGGGCTTAGGGTCACTGCCCTGCTGGGCTCGGGGCTGAACTGCCTGGGGGCTTGGATTAAATGTGCCAGTGTCAGGCCGGATTTATTTGGGGTCACCATGTTCGCCCAGTTTGTCTGCTCTGTGGCCCAAATCTTTATTCTAGGCTTGCCCTCCAGGGTGGCATCTGTGTGGTTTGGACCAAAGGAAGTGTCAACAGCATGTGCCACCGCTGTGCTGGGCAATCAGGTATATATATATATTAGGTCATGTGGGTATGGGGCAGATGTGGCATCAAGGGGCTTCTCCATGGAATGGCGTGTAAGTGCCAAAGGGGTGGTGAGTGTGTTACAGGCCAATAGTTGTTATCATGTATAGTGAAGTACTGCAGAATAAGTTGGCGCTATATAAATACCAATAATAATAACCCACTAGCATTCTAATCATTGTGTAACGGTAAACGGGTAATGTTACTGAAGTCATTGATGGATCACCGTTGGCACTCCAGAAGTATATTGTATTCTTCAACAGCTGGGGTGCCTATGGTTAGCTACCTCTGATCTAAAGAAATCGCAGAACAATCCATTTCTTACTGTGGGACGTTTTAACTTGTATTCAAAATTATAAGTTCTTTTGAGCCCTTAGTAACATTTGTAATTTGTTTATTTTTCTTTTCTACCCCTTCAGTACAACTGTAAAATGCCACGGACTATCCTGGCGCTGTATAAATGCACATAATCTTTCTGATGGGCAGTCCTTTGGGCACTGTCGAGGGTTGTATTGATCTGCTTTTATAAAGTAGTAAAGGTTACTTCTTACAATCATGTAGCCATGTCCCTTCCAAAATGCTTTATAAATGCCTGCAAAGAATATTACTCACTATTTTCTCAAGCATAGAGGAAGTTTATACTTAGTTTATACTCCATAAGTGTAAGTATTTGCATAAATAAACACCTTTTTAGCTATGCGTTTCCTTGTGATATTGGCCCTCGCCAAAGTACTTCTCTGTCACATTAAATAGACAATTTTAGTGCAACAATTGAAACGGAGCTCATGGGAAATATGCTAACAATGTCATATGTCACACACATTGCTGTTGTGTGTACTGACTGCTATATACTGTAAACATCCTTGCATCAGTAAATAGTACTTCGTTACTAACCTGAGACTGTATGTGTTGGCTCAACTTCAAAACACACAGTAAAAAGGAAGAGAAGATGCATTTTAACTCTTTGAGTTTTTTCGTATGACCCTTTTAGGTCAACATTATCAAATTGAAATAATTATTCATCTCTGAGACTCCGCTTTATATCTGACTGTTCCAACCTAACATTTGTGATGTCCTAGTGAAATCTGTACAATTCTTAGTTTAACAAATAATGATTCCTTGTTTATTTTAATCTTACCATTTTGTTTTTCCAGTTAGGTACAGCTATTGGTTTCCTTCTACCTCCTGTGTTGGTACCAAAAATAGACAATAATGTTGAATTAACAGGACATAACATCAGCATTATGTTCTATGGTACAGCTGCTGTGTCCACTTTTCTGTTCATCCTGACCATAGCAGGTAAGTGTCTCGTCCTATTACTGTCAAGTAGATTCATTGCTTTTATTGCCTTAATGAAAGTGTGTGTATGGGACCAGAGCTCTATGTTATGCATGCATAGTATTCCATATGGTTGTCTTAAAGGGACATTACAAATACTAGCTGACAGTGTACTGTGTTTTGAACAATATTTTCTTGCAAATATTTTTTTGTATTTTCATATGACTTTGTCTCTCTGGCCTCCCTGACATTGCGGTGGAACGGTGGCGGTGTACACACAGCTTTACATTCTAGTATGCACGCCTTAGGACAGAGGTAGGCAACCTCCGGCACTATAGATTTTGTAGACTATATCTTTCATAATGCTCTTACAGGTGTAATGCAGGCAAAGCATCAGGGGAGATGTAGTTCACAACATCTGAATTGCCGAAGGTGGTCTATCCCAGCCTCAGAAAACCATTATTGATGTATTGTAATGGACAAATGCCCCCCATTACTGATGGAGAAGGCACTGCAAGTATATATGGTGCTTCTCCCATTGATTGGGGTATGACTTCGGTTTCTAGATTCATCATGTGAGCTGGATCAGAATGTAGGGACTGCAGGAGGGACACCTTTTAAATAAGTATTGCATGCATATTCTGTTTAATGCATATAACTTGGCAATACAATCCACTCTGTAAGAATCACTTATAAACCGCTTTCCATGCGCCCAGTATTTACAATCTATATTCAGCTTCCGAACTGTTCTTATATTTTCAACAACTTTTAATCTCTGGTGTATCTGAAATTATTCCCCATACCCTCTCAACTGCTTGTACATCTGTCCATTAATATAAATAGCTGGATACATACTGTGCACTTGTTAATCATGTATTCCTTCCCTTTGGAATAATCAAGCACAGAGGTAAGTTCTCTTCTCATTGGATTGCCCAGTACATTTTTAAAGTATAGTGATGCTCTACTTTACTTTGTGATGGCATAGACTTATGGGATCTGGAGTGTGGTGGTTGGCCATCACTGCTCTAGGAGGAATGTGGAAGCATTTTCATACATTACCTGTTTTGACATGGCTTACCAGGCCAGTCCCATGTGGTGTAAATAGAGTACAGGAGGGATAGGGCCACCTGTGTCCCTGCTATTAGAAGGTCATTTAGTGCCGTGTGATGGATGCTCTAATCACCAGCGGCAGCTATTCTTCTTGAACCAATTACCCAGATGTGTTAAGTGATTTGAATCTGTTCAATGTGGGATGAATATGGAATTGTAGCTTCATAAAAGTGATACCTATTAAAAGTCCTGCAGGTTCTATGAAAAGCATTAGATTTAATCTCTATAACCTGAATTGCAGTGAAACAAAATCCCGTTTTGGTTGCTTTGTGGTCACCGTGCCTATTTAATACATTTCTCTAAAATGCCTTCCATATCTTCTAACTTTTGTATCCGTACGGAGAAATATAAAATTTGGGATAAATGGATTAAGATCCTCGAAAGACCTTTATCGGTCAAAAATGATTAACACGTGTATCGATAAGCAATGGAGTTTTTTGAGATAAGGATAATAATTCCTGGTTTGGGTAATAGTTATAACCCATAAATACGCTGTTTTGATATAAAAAGGACATTGTTTTTATGTCATATTTGTAACACTGCATGGATGATATGCGACAATCATCCTGTGTTTGTGTATTTATGTCTGTAAATTGTGTTTTTGTATTGATATGGGAAAAATCTAATAAAATATTTAATTAAAAAACAAAAAAAAAATTCTTCCAATTGTTGGACGTTTTGCTCTATCAGGGTGTGTAGAAGACACACAGAGTATAATTTTGCAGTATCATGCTGCCTTGCTAAGCAATCTCACCTGTCATGAGGTCAGCCAGAAATCCTACTTGTAAGGAATCCAATGTAAATACACGACTCCAGGCGGTGATCTAACTTGGCCGCTGAATACGCCCTGCGTGATTCCACAGAGCCTCTTAGATGTCTGTGAGCTCTTAGCTATTTCATGTTGAGAAGTCATGGTTTTAGTGTGAGCTGCAAATACATGGAACGTTTGTACTTTTCAGTAATGTCTTGTGAGAAATAGAATGGGTCAAACATTTCCAGCATTCTCTAGTTTTATATTTTTACAGCCATGCAGTGAATATCTGTACATTGCTCAGAGAGTTACTCTGGGTTTATTATAAATGTATAGTTCCCTTTTTTTATTTTTTTTTATTTTCCTATAATTTCATCTTCTGTTTAAATTGTAAGGGCCTAATGTATTACAATTAAAATTACATTTCATTTCTTCAATGCCAATTTTCTTTCTTGAACTCTCCTACCCTCCAATTTCTTTTAACATATTTAAGTGCACAGAAAGTGAGATCTTGTGGGTTTTGATTGTGGTGTGTTTTGAAATGTTGGTTCGACACCTTTCTTAATATTCCTAACGTGTTCCGATACTTTAATATGTAGGCATTTAATAGTTCTCCCAATGTATAGCATGTCGCAGAGGCATTTCAACATAAATATTTTTCGAAAAGCATGTTAATTGGTCTTTGGTGAATTCTTTCATATTGCTTATATGCCTCTTTACTTTAGGTTTCCCTGCCAAACAACTTCCACATCCATAAAACCCCTATTACTGTTTAGGAATTTATTTTCTTTTGATGGATCTTTGAAATTGCTTTTGACTGGCATATTCTGTATATTTTTACATCCCCTTTTATATAATCTTGGGTGTTTTTGGTAGTATGCTCTTGAGCATTGGATCGTAGTGTAGAAGATTACTATTTTTTTGATGGCATACTACACTTTATTTTTTGGCTGAGAAGTTACAAATGAACGGGATCTCGAATTTATTAAATTCCTATTCTGCCTTTACTTGTAAGAGAGTAAATCTTTCCTTTCCATCCTTTTGATTTCTTCCATACTTTTTAGCAAATCATTTTTGCACTGATAGACTCAGCGTGGTGAGGTTTAAAAAAAAAAATATGCAAGTAAATATGCTTTAAAAAAAAAAAAATAAATAAAAAAATTTAAAATTAGAACAGTAGGCAGGGTGAACACCTAAGCCCTTAGAAGGAGATTATAGAGTTAGGGATACACTTTTTTTTTTTTTTTTTTTTTTTTTCCTAGGTAAAGAGCATAATTTTATTTTGTTGCAGTTTTGATTACTGCTACTGTTTCTGTTGAATAATTTACTCAATAAATAGCCGACTCACTAGCCATTTAAGAACTAATCTTACCTTAATTCTTAGACATCCCTAGACTTGGCTGGCTTCTCCTAAAATACGAGCTGCCTATGTTTTTATTTCTGCAAAAAAATCCATATTTGAGCACACAAAAACATGGGAAATTAATGAAATCATTCACTTTAGATGGGTTCCACAAGATAACCGATTTATTGCATTCTGAAACACTCCACTGCTTCTTTTTCTTTTTTTCTTTGTGTAAGTGTTCATTGTGTGTTTGAGGATAAATGCAGTACACAAAAACCTAGGGTTTTCTTTTGTTTTTGTTTTTCTTCTTTTATTTATACTTTAAAAAATAAATTAAATATTTATTTATTTTTATGTGCCATTCATTTAATATGCTAATGTAAGCAAATCTCCAGACTGATTGACACATTCATTAATCCTTGTATCTGGGTTAATCTCTTGTTGTCTGGAAATGAATAGCTGAGATAAGTGTCCCTGTTTTATTATTATTCTCCCGCATATGTATCTAATATATTGTTGGTGGTACTTTTGGTAAAGTTATAGGATTACTCCAGGCACAGTAACAAAGTAGCATTATTCGAAAGGTTTTCGTACAGAGAGTAGTTGCGTACAGTTTTCTTTACCAGAAGTGTAGTGATTTTTATTGGGGGTACATTAAATAATGTACATGTCTGAGTGAAGCATTACAAGACAATCTCCAGATGAAGTCTATAGACTAAATCAATTGCAATATATTATGTGGCTTCGATCTTCATTCCTGTTTATTCCACCGTCTAGCAGACCACTTGATGTTAGGCACTTGTAGAAAATAAGAAGCAGTAGATAAGCACGCCCAAGAAAAAAGTACTTTAGTTTTTATTGGGGTTATAATTTTTTTTTTCTTTACATATATTTTATTTTATGATATAGAATGTGTTTAAAATAGGGTAATTTATTGTGATATGTGTTTTTCTTTTTGTTTTTGTTTTGATATGCTTGTGAAAAGCTGCTTTTTGACACTTCTTGAATAGAAATCTGTTAATTACAGCCCCTAAGGTGTCTGAGGATTGTGACTGAGGGCCCATGAGCATACGGTCAAACATGCTTAGATCTCAGTAATGAGATTAATGCTGTATGATGACAGCTGTAGAATCCCTTCAGATCTAATCCAACAAGAAGAATATTCTTCAGAATGGAGGCATGTTTTGAAAGTGCATTACTAGTAAGGGAACAGTGAAATGACAAACTCAAAAGCCAGTACCAGGGGCTCCTCTCGCTGCTCGTGCCCATTCTTCATCCATTTTAAATGAATGTATGTAGTACATTGAAATATATGCAAAAATAAACTTCCTCAAAGTAAGATTTACATTAAGTTTTATATCAAACCAGGAATTGTCTGGTGTGTACTATTCTTGCACTAAGGTGTGCTTTGGGATGTAGGGCAGAAAGGCTGGGATTGGGAGAAAAACAGTTTGTTTAAAAAAATAAATATATTCTTACTGATTAGCAATAAAGAACAATCACCCATTGTAAAGGACCACTTAGGATAGGGCTTCTTATTCTGATCTCATATGAGTGTGTCAGAAACATTACTTATGTTTATTTTAGTTAATGTAATGTAGACTGACAATACGTACGTCTGTGTGCATGTCTTCCCTTTTAGATATGTATTTGTGAGATAAATTTGCTACTGACCATGTAAAGACCCGATTTATAGACCTCAATAAAAAGACAAAAGGTACAATGGCGAGTCAGCCTGATCAGTCTCTGAAAGCTTCAATCTGTACCAGTGGTCTCTGTAATCACTATTTTTTTATTACAATACATGTGTTCTTTGGCATGGTTCTTTTAATAGCCCTGTGCCAAAACAAGTCTTTGAAGTTCCTTGGCATGCTGTTCCTCTTATTTATTTATTTATTTATTTTTAATTACAATGCTGGTATGCTACCATATTCTGCTTGTGCTGTGTATAGGGACTGCAGTTGCTTTGTAGGATTGTATTTGTGCATATGTGGCATGTATTGTTTATGTGCATGAGTAGTTTGTCGTGTGTTATGTGGACTGTGTATCATGTTATGTGTGGGCTGTTTATGGAATTGTTGCTGTTTGTAGTATAGTGTGTGTGTGTGTGTGGGGGGGGGGGGGTGGTGGCTGCTTGGGGTATTGCTATGGGAGGCGTGTTGTCTTGGTGTATGTGGGTTGTTGGTGGTGTTATATTTGTGGACTTTGTGTGTTTTGTGTTTGGACTATTTTATAGAACTTGTCTGTGGGCGGAGGCTTTTTTTTTCCAGCCACTTTACATGTGTAGGTAGCCTCGATAGGCTCCACTGGGGACCCTGCTGGCCAGGTACAGGTTAGGGACAGGGGCTACAGTGACTGCTGAGGCTTCTCTCCTCCAGCACAGATTCCCTTTCACAATTGCTGAGGATAAGTGATCAGATGTCACATCCTCCAAAAGCTGCAATTAGTAAATGGAGGAATGCCCTTCACCAACTACTGCAATCACCGCTAGGGCTGAATGTCCGCTTGGAACTAGTCGATATCTGAAGAAGTTCCACTTGGACCCCTGCTAGGTCAGCTCCAGAGGAGGTTCTTAAATCTCCACTGCCTGACTGGGTCTGGCCACCTTTTGTGCCGTGCTAAGGCACCTCACGTGGCATGGGTTACTGAACCCCGATCTGTAGGATAAACATGGAACTGTGTAACCCGGAAAGTCTCCCATCACCAAAACGCGTTTACTCGAACTGTTACCATTTCTTGGCTTTTATAATCTCTTGATTAAACATCTTATTAATGTACTGTACCATCAAACACGGTCTGTCTCTTAATATAAGGTTTATACCAGTTGACAATATTTGTATTCTTTGAATATGTACTCTGTGACTGTTATCACTTACTTAATGCTTCATAAAAATTGTTAAATAATTATTTTCTTAAAAGAATAACAGAAATGAATGATGCCCATTAAGACGCAGCATGTAGAAACTGACCCCAAATACTTTGGTATTTAGACACGTCTGTCATTGACAGTCTTAAAATTTTAAACTGTTTCACTCCTGCAATTTGTGTTTATTGCCCTTTTAATGGTTCATCTCCAGGGACTGGTCTAATCTAGAATCCCTGGTTCTAGAGGAACTGCATGTGTTATTGATTCAGTCCACTTTATTCCCCTAGATGACTGTGACAGTATATTTGGTTGTGAAAAAGAACATAGATCACTGCTACTGCACGGTGTGTCTATGGGTTGCAGAACAGCAACAGTAAAATCTGAATGAAATGCTTGTGGCAGCTAGAGGAAGCAGAATGAGAAGCCAATCTGCATTAAGGAGGAGGGATGCACAGCCAATCAGCATGGATTGACTGCTAGATTTGTAGCCGGGCTCAGTTCACCCTCCTCCAGTGATGCCATTCAGTAATGGTGCAAAGACTGGGTTGCACTGAGGGTGAAGGTATTGTAGGAAATGCACACAAAAATAGTTGGTATTGAAGCTGACGTAGTTTAGTGTTTTTGTTTTCCCATTGTTTTTCCAATACATTTACAGTGTCCCTTTAACTGACCAGTTTAGGTTTGATTAGATGGAGCCCTAGAGTTCCTTATCATTTAATCATTGATAACTGTATTTGTGATAGTATCATTTTTAAGATATGAAAGAGCTATGATGTTGACAAACTTGACTTCCTTACAGTTTTCAAAGAGAAGCCGAAGGTCCCTCCCAGCCAGTCTCAAGCAGTTCTGCAGGATAATTCTCCTGACGATTACTCCTACAAAGTCTCCATACTGAATCTCTTTAAGAATGTCCCCTTCGTACTCCTATTGGTCAGTTATGGTAAGTTTAAACAGAATATGTCTACAAGAAACCACCTTCTCATGTTATCCCTTTTTTCAAAACCACTATTTTTCTCCTGAGAGCAGCTTGCAATGGGCGTAATGACCGGTCAACAGATTTGACAGGTGACTGGTCCCAGAAAGTGACTGCATTGTGATTTGTTGTAGGAAGTCCCAAGCAGTTATCTATTAGTGATAATCGCTCACTACTACCACAAAACACCATTACTCTGCCTCCACGTTACAAATCCCGTGAATGCCTACTGCAAGGCCAGTGTGTTCTACTGTCTAACGCAGCAACTCTTGTCCTGATTTGCAGACAAATGCTGTAGTGTTTTCAAAAATAATTCTATGTTTATTCTGGGAAAAGTGTGCTGGCCAATACCTTAATCCAACATGCTGAGCTCCCCTCTCTTCCTTTTATGAAGACCTCCATTTTAGAACAGTGGGGTGATCTAATAAGACTAAGGAATAAAGTGCGTCAAAGTCAAGGAGGGATCCAGTAAGTTGAAGGGACACTATAACTTACATACACCACTTACAAGTCTTGAGCAATAATGCCTCACAAGGGAACAACAGAGGGGGGCATTTCCTTCTTGTACAGTCTTATCTTGAATGCTCTGCAGACTCCACCCCTGTGGTTCACACATTTGTGGTTTATTTCTTCCTTTTTTTATGTGCATTAACAGAAAATCAGCTATGCCTTGCATTAATAATTAAAGGTTTCTCCAATTATTAACAATCCCTGAATAATGCATTGATGGAGAAAGTTTTTTCATTGGAAATATTTAAATTCATTTGTTTCTCATTGACCTTGTCAATGTGCAATTGATGCATCCAGGAAAAAATAAAAACTCTCGTTCTAGCTGTGTCCTAATGTGAAATAATATTTACTTAGGAAATAATCTCGTTTCTTTTTCTTTCTTTTTTATTTATTTATTTATTTTATTGCAGGGATTATGACTGGATGTTTCTATTCTGTGTCCACACTATTAAATCAAATGATTACATTTCATTATGAGGTCAGTATCCATCAATGTTCCAAATTTAGTAATTGCTAATATTTTATGTTTGATTACACTACTCCCCCCACCATCCCATCCCCCATAATGGTAGTTAGCAGAGTGTTCAGATTGAATCTCAACTCTCTGGGGGTCTTTTAAATACTTATTTCCTCCACTTCTACTCAGCATTCTAATATTTGATCTATTTCCGATAGCAAAACTTAAGAGGCTAGCCTAAATATTTAAATATGTGATATTCTTGCATCATGCAATGATTCTAGAGCCAATTTACTTTGTAAAAATGTTTTATTTAAATGATATTGCGCCACGTAAACCAAGGACTTTTTCAAGTATTTTGTTATGTCCCTGGAATCGTTTCAAGTTGATTTCTGGGAAAATAACCGGTTTCATACTTGTTGAGCAATAGCTTAGCTTAGTCAAACATGCTCACCGCATAAAGGATGTCATGTTTCAACTTTCCCTTTATTGTAAGATTTTCTATCACACTCTTTGGCAAAGTGTTATAAGCTCAAATATATACATTGTAACACCAGAAGGACTGGCACCAGTTGAGCCATTAACCTTTAAAGAGTACAGTGTTGTTTGCTTTTGGGAAACAAGAAGGGGCCCACTTGCAGAACACGACATGTATAATCCTTTATTTTGGGATATATAGCAGGTCTGTCATGATACAAATTTGTTTACCACATTCTTGTCATGAAGATTCTCATTACAAAACAGAAAACTGATTATTTCAGTCTGTGCCATTTTGTAGATAAAGAGAAAAGCCCTTTCAAATAAATCTTGGAAATCGAGAGCTCTGTGAAATTTGACCACTGAATAGGTAGACGGCAAATGACTTCCTTGTTCGTGCAATAGGAATAATTAGATACACCCGAAGCTCTGGGTAAAGCCAAAGCAAATTGTTTTAATTTGACTGGTGTATCATGGCTTGTACAGCACCATAACCATTGAAGGGCATTCTTCTCCAAGAAACTGGAAATCAGGTATTGCTCACTGATCTTTGAAGGTTTGTGAAGCCCGCTTAATCAACGGGTGTTCACCTTCTTGTATAGGACCAGAGTTCTCACAGAAAGATAGGAAGGTAAAGATCTGGTCAATCTGAGGGAAACCAACTAATAATGTACCTGACCTCATAACTGGCAGCCATGTTTCTATTTACTCTCCATTGAGAGAATTGGGAGCCTGCACCTTCTACTGTGGGGGGTGATCCTTATGATGGTGGAGGAGAACCTGGCTGAACGGTCAGTGGGCTGCATTTCCTGTAATAAGAAATCAGCTGCCACAGTTCTTTTCAGGAGTTGGAGATGGCCCAAAATGGGGACGGTGGCCACAGTTTGAGGAAGATCACTTTAATTCCTTTTTTATTACGATTATATGAAATCCATTTAATATAAATACATCATCTTTACATAGGGAGAAGAAGTTAATGCTGGCAGGATTGGCCTAACATTGGTTATTGCAGGAATGATTGGCTCCATTTTTTGCGGCCTGTGGCTGGATTATTCTAAAACCTACAAGTAAGTACAATTTGAATTTATCTTTTTTTTTTTTTTTTTTACTTTTTTTTACTTTTTTTTTAAATTTGCTTTTCTCTGCTCAGGTAATTGGTGTGATTAACCAGTTACTGTATTCCTGTAACTGCACATACATCTGTCCGGCTCTTGAGGACGAGGAACAACAAAGTAATTGCTTTTAATCAAGTCAAACAGACGTTGTCTTACTTAATAGAAGATTAAATGTTCACCAGTGCGTACAGTTATGCAATATAACTGCCGGTATTGCTCTCTGTTTATTTTGACTTCCTATCCATCTATCACGGTTTTCTTTATTATTTATTTTTATGAAATAAATAATTGGGCAAGCGTGGCCATTTTTATATTTGGAACAATTTCGTGGTTATTCACTAAAGTGAGAATTTAAGACCAGAATAGCAAAACTAGAAAAATTCTCCAAGTCCGCTATCTGTACTTTCAGTTCTTCGGCTACTTAGGCCTTAAATGTGAAATCCACATTAAATTCCTGTAATTTTCACTTTAGTATGAACCATGTTTGTTTCCAGTAAATATTATGTAGCAGATAATGAGGCAATATGCACACAGTGTATTCTGACATACACTTACATTTACAGACCAATATAACATCACTGCTCAATTCTCTGCCCTAAAGGAGATAAATCACTTTTGTTTCTGTTTATACAGCCCTTGCCACACCTCCTGACTGTGAATCTTCTAGCTGGCACGAAAAAATAAAACCAGGTGCATGAGAGATATATCTCTATCTCTGTCTCTGTCTCTGTCTCGTGCCACCTGGGCTCCCACTCTCCCTGTGGAACATAAATGGTTAAAAAAAAACAAACACATAAAACAAACCTTTCTTTGCTCACCTGTTTCCAGCACCGATGTCTCTGTGCTGGGTCGATGCTCTGACGTCATCTGGCAGGGGGGCCGGATGCGGATGTGCTGCAGGTACATTAGGCCCTCCTCATAGGAAAGCATAGAATCAATGGTTTCCTATGGGGATTTCACTGACGCTGAATATTCTCATTCATAGTGTGAGGACATCCAGCGTCGTTTAAGGGACTCTGAGTCTGGTAAACCCAGGAAGTGCCTCTAGTGGCTGTCTACTAGACAGCCACGAGAGGCAGTCTTATAACTGCAATGTAAACACTGCAGCTTCTCAAACTGCAATGATTTATATCACAGGACTCATTTGAGATGAAGTGGTCTGGGTACCTATAGTGTCCCTTTAAACAGAATGTGCACAAAAACTTAGATGTTAATCAGATGTTAACTTGCTTTAGAAGTTTTTATCTCCTCTTGTGTAAATTGAACTTTAATCACACACAGGAGGCTCCAGACTAGTAACAGAGTAGGAAATTAAATTAAACAGAATGTGCCATAAAGAAAGTGTAAACATTAGATGACTCTTTACAGGGAGACGCGTTTGTTGCAATCCTGGGAGGTGTGACTAGGGCTGCATACACAAAGTGCTTTAACTCATAAATGGCAGAAAATTGAGCAGTTAGCAGGAATATGATCTATACACCACAATCCACTCTACTAAGCTAAAGTTGTTTTAATGTTCGGTTTAGTGTCCCTTTACGTCATAGCGTGTATTTGTGCTTCCTGGACATCAATTTATCAGATGTTCATTTTTGCCTTTTATCTTGGTGTATTACCACATCCAGTTCTGCCAAGTCAGAAAATATAATTGTAAACATCATCTTAATGACATTACTGGCAAATTTATTAAATTCTACCTACCTTCCTTATTTTTTAAGTGGATTTTTGCCCGTACATACCTTCGTTCCTAGAGTAGAATTGTGCGATATCTGGCACACGGCAGCATGCTAGGCATTGTTAGATCAACTGTGAGCGTGCAGGTAACCCTGCACAACATTGTTTTGCCTTTCTTGGAGTTTAAATGACTGTACTAATAAAATGTAACTTTCTGTGTTGTGCTTTCTAACGTGTTTGCTTTCTTTATATCCTTATACAGACAAACAACATTGGTTGTTTACATATTATCCTTTATCGGTATGCTGGTATTCACCTTCACTTTGGATCTTGGAAATATCGTTGTTGTATTTGTAACCGGAGGCATCCTTGGGTAAGCAAAGCATAGTATCCCTGATATCTCCTGGAATTTATAAACACAGTATTTCTGTGATCGAGGAGCTTGATACTAACATAGCAATCACTAGTTTAAGATGCCAATCAGCTGAATTCTCTGGTAATCATTGGATCACCATTTCCAATAAACTCATTTTATAGAGAAACCTCTAAGCACCAAATAATTCCAGGTACTATAACCGTTTCAATGAGATGAACTATATAGTTCCTATAATGTAGCTTTTAGAGTGCAGTTTGTAGATTGAGAGCGCCTTTTTGAAGTGGGATGTATTTCTTTTTCTTGTTTCTTATAATGACCACAGTTTAAACAACACAAAACAGCAGCATTCATTTGGACTCCTGCTAATACATTTAAATCCATTTAAAATTTAGCTAAAGCAATCGTCATGGAAAATAGTAATTTGCTGCTTGTTCCTATTGCAGATTATTGCATAGGGACACTATGGGCACCACAACAACTTTAGCTTAATGAAGCAGTTTTCGTGTGTACATCATGCCCCTGCAGTCTCATTGCTCAAATCTCTGCCATTAAGGAGTTATATCACTTTGTTTATGCAGCCCTAGTCACACCTTCATGCATGTAATGTGCACAGCTGTCCTAAACACTTCCTGTAAAGAGTCATCTAATGTTTACGCTTTCTTTATTGCACATTCTGTTTAATTTAGAATGTATTATCGACTGCTCTGTTACTAACTTGGTAGACACTGCAGGAGCCTCCTGTGTGTGAGATTAAGGTTCAATTTATACAACAGGAGATAAAAAAAATTTTTAAAAAACTTCTAAAGCAAGTTAACATCTGATTGAAAATGAAACTATTTTTGTCATACAGGCTCTGAGAGTCTATATCCAGGGGAGGTGTGGCTAGGGCTACATGGACAGAAAGTTGTTTTAATGCTTAGAGTATCCCTTTAAGGAAAGACCTATGTGCCTCTCCAGGTGTTGTAGGATAAAGGCAGTGTTGTGGGGTGTAGTCAAACACTAGTTGGAGAGTTGTGACTTGACACCTAGGAAGAAAGAGCAACTAAGTTTGGAGCATGCCTTCCTTTTTGTTAGTTTTATATAAAATTAAATGTGTTTTTTGCTTTGTTTTGTTTTAATCACTGTTATCGATCTGTTCCAGCAAGTTATAGCTTACTTCCAGTGACTAATGTCCTCCATCATACCTTTTGTGAATGATAAATTTACATTTTTAATATTTTTTTTTTTCTTTAGTTTCTTTATGACTGGGTACCTTCCCCTTGGGTTTGAGTTTGCAGTGGAGATCACCTACCCGGAATCTGAGGGTACTTCTTCAGGACTGCTCAATGCATCTGCACAGGTAACTTTGGACATTATGGGTGAAAGTGCAAGGATTGAAGGATTGTAGACAGACTTTTCTTTCTTTTAATAATCAGTGAGGCATTTAAAATTCGATCAGTTGTGGACAGGACGCCATTGGAGCTCCTGCAAAGATGGGAATCATGCAAAGATAAACAAGATTATTCACTTAAGTAAGAATTCAAAGTGAATTTCAAAATTAAGATCAAAATAGATGATCCAGAAAAATGCTCCACGTCAACTATACTTTCAGTTGAGCTAGTCTGGCCTTAAATTTTAAATTCACTTTGAATTCTCACTGTGGTAAATAATCCCGAAAGACTTGTTGAGGAGTGCATGGACAGCAGTTCTAAGGGGGGAAAAAAAGGGAGGTTGTGTAGGTAAAGGAATCCAAGAGACATTATTTTGGCTTAGTTCTACCTTATGATTAACTCAAGCTCAAATCCCCAAACATTTTGGAAAACCTTGTAAACTAAAAAAAACATAAAATAAATTATGTTTTCTTGTATTTCAGCAACGGCTTAATTAGCAAACAAATGAAATGTTTAGTTTTGCTGGGGGGGACTAGTTCACTGAGCTTTCATTTACACTTCATGAATCTCTTTGTTGAAGAGTTGAATTAGGCATTTTGCATGGGATATCTGCTCTAATCTTTATATAAATAAGTTGTGCCTTTTTACCAAGCTGCTTGCCTGATTCAATGCGGGATTGTCTGTTCTCTTTCAGATATTTGGAATTTTATTTACTTTAGCTCAAGGGAGGCTTACGACTGACTACAATCCCCAAGCTGGGAATATCTTTCTTTGTGTGTGGATGTTCATAGGCATCATTTTAACAGGTCAGTGATTTGACGCAGCGGTTTACACATTATAGAAGTTATATCCTAATATAGATTATTAGATATATTAATGTAATAGAAATATTTGTGGATAAGCTTTTCAAATTATATTTATTAAAATATAAAAGGAATATATCTAAAAATGTTATTTCTTTTTACAAACATTAAATCTTTTTTCAAAGTTTATCCAAAAATATTACAGTGATTGGGAAAAGTATTTGACCTCTGCTGATTTTGAACGTTTGTCCACTGACAAAGAAATGATCAGTCTAGAATTTTCATTGTAGGTGTTCTGAATTGATTTGCATGTCAGTGAGTGAAATAAATATTTGATCCCCTATCAATCTGCAAGATTTCTGGCTCACAGGTGTCTTTTATACAGGTAACGAGTGCTCCTAATCTCTGCTCGTTTATCTGTATAAAAGACACCTGTCCACAGAAGCAATCAATCAGATTCCAAACTCTCCAACATAGCCAAGACCAAAGAGTTGTCCAAGGATTTCAGGGACAAGATTGTAGACCTACACAAGGCTGGAATGGGCTACAAGACCATCACCAAGCAGCGTGGTGAGAAGGTGACAACAGTTGTTGCGATTATTCGCAAATGGAAGAAACCCAAAATAACTGTCAATCTCCTTCAGTCTGGTGCTCCATGCAAGATCTCACCTTGTGGATTTTCAATGATCATGAGAACGGTGAGGAATCAGCCCAGAAATACACGGGAGGATCTTGTTAATGAACTCAAAGCATCTGGGACCATAGTCACCAAGAAAACAATTGGTAACACACTACGCCGTGAAGGACTGAAATCCTGCAGCAAGGTCACCCTGCTCAAGAAAGCACATGTACAGGCTCGTCTGAAGTTTGCCAGTGAACATCTAAATGATTCAGAGGAGAACTGGGTGAAAGTGTTGTGGTCAGATGAGACCAAAATCGAGCTCTTTGGCATCAACTCGCCGTGTTTGGAGGATGAGGAATGCTGCATATGACCCCAAGAACACCATCCCCACCGTCAAACATGGAGGTGAAAACCTTATGCTTTGTGGGAGGTTTTTCTGCTAAGGGGACAGGACAACTGCATCGCATCAAAAGGAATATGGACGGGTCCATGTACCTTCAAATCTTGGGTCAGAACCTCCTTCCCTCAGCCAGGGCATTGAAAATGGGTCCTGGATGGCTATTCCAGCATGACAATGACCCAAAACACACAGTTAAGGCAACGAAGGAGTGGCTTAAGAAAAAGCACATTAAGGTCCTGGAGTGGCTAACCAGTCTCCAGACCTTAATCCCATAAAAAATCTGTGGAGAGAGCTTAAGGTTTGAATTGCCAAACGTCAGCCTCGAAACCTTAATGACTTGGAGAGGATCTGCAAAGAGGAGTGGGACAAAATCCCTCCTGAGATGTGGGCAAACCTGGTGGCCAACTACAAGAAACGTCTGACCTCTGTGATTGCCAACAAGGGTTTTGCCACCAAGTACTAAGTTGAAGTGGTCAAATACTTATTTCACTCATTGACATGCAAATCAATTTTCTAACTTTTTTGACATGCGTTTTACTGGATTTTGTTTTGTTATTTTGTCTCTCCCTGTTAAAATACACCTACCATTAAAATTATAGACTGATCATTTCTTTGTAAGTGGGCAAATGTTCAAAATCAGCAGGGGATCAAATTCTTTTTACCCTCACTGTACCTGGTCCCCCTTGCACCTGCTATCTTTGACTGAGCGCGCTCATCTGACAATCTCAGACCGTGAAAGTCCTACATGACTGGAAGCAAAAGTTGCAGTCACAAGTGTGACCCAGGTAAATTGTAAGAACATACTAAAATGTTAATTATTTAAAATTGAAACTTTTATAGAAGAGGAACTCTCGCTGTGTGTGTCTGTCTCGATCTAACTATCTGCGATTAGCTCTGTCCTTTGCACCTGACAATCCGCATAGAGATATCCTACAGAGAAGATGAGTAATTAGACAATGTTGCCTTGCCTTGCCTGAACTGAAATATGATGTACTTTACAAACTCTTTAATATGAAGTAATTAATTAATTAAACCACATATAACTAAAATGTTTACACAAATTACAGGCAATTTTCCATTTTTATTCAACGGTGTAAATTCTAGAAGAGTGATCTCTCCCATTTAGTGGAAGGAAGTGTTAGTTGTGCCTCAAAATAATTACTTTATCTCAAACTTTTTGTATAATAAAAAACGAAATATGTCATAAAATGACAACTGACAATAAGTGCCTTTTCTATATATCAACCAGTGGAAGCAAAGCATATATTGATCAAATGAAGCTTTCTTGATTTTTTTTTTGTTTGTTTTTTAAATAAAAACACTGCTTTTTATAGCTAGCCCTGTGTGCTTTTGTGAATAACACATATGAAGTTTTATTTAAAGCGACACTATAGTCACCAGAACAACTACAGCTTAATGTAGTTGTTCTGGTGTCTACTACCTGTTTTTGCAGTCTTTTTTTTGTATAAAAACTTCCTTTTCAGAGAAAAGGCTGTGTTTACATTACATCCTAAGGACACCTCCAGTGGCCATTCCTCAGATGGCTACTAGAGGTGCTTCCTGGGGTAGTGCTGACTTTCAGCGTCTCCACACTCTGCATGCAGACACTGCACTTTACTCGTAGAGATGCATTGATGCCATTGGCCAGGGCAGCATTTGGCTCTGCCTCCTTGGCTGAGATCACTTATATCATTTCCTATGGGAAAGCATTGTGATTGGCGGAGATTATCGCTTTTGATGATGTCAGCCAAGGAGGCGGTTTGGGGTTGGAGCTAGTGCCTGCCGACCTGAATAAAGTTAAAATTTTACTATATGGCGGTGTGTGGGAGGCCAGGGGATGGTGTTTTTTAGCACTATAGGGGCCATAAAATATGTTTTGTGTTCCTGATCCTATAGCTTTCCTTTAAAGAAACCCAGACATGTTTTTTTTTTTTTTTTCTGGCTATTACCCAAAGTAATGGCACTTATGTTATCAAACGTGTTTAAAATTAAATGTTGATTCAGTCCTGCCAGAAATAGAAGCTGCAAACCTATGGTATGAAAATCTACAATAGTTGGTGCATTATTCAGCTGCTCTATTGGAACTAATAAAATATTGTGAGTGGACTGAAAAAAATGAGTTCACATTAGTAAAACTGATCTGTATTTAGTTGTTCCATGTGGCATGCCGGGTTAGAGGGATACATGATTGGATGGGGAGAAATTAGTTTGAATTATATGGAGAGAGGAGGAGGTGGTTAGAAGTGACATGACAATGGGATGAGAAAAAAATTGATGTGGAAATGTTAAAAATAATCGACTTGTCCAAGGGACCAAAGGGATAGCCCATTTTATTTTGTCCGTCCACACAAAATCTTTTCAGATTGGGGCACCTGGTTAGTTAATTATTGTCAGGGTTATTCACGAAATTCAAATTAAATCCAAGTGGGAAAAAAATGAGTCAAAAAAGCAGATCTGGCAAAATTATCTATCTATAGTGGCAACATTTTGCCTTGGTTTTTATATTTGGACTTAATTTGTGGAAATTTAGTAAATGACCCAGAGGTTTTTTTTTTCATCTACTGCCTCCTCCTCTATTGCCCCCTCTGTTCCTGTGTGCACTGGCTATGCGTGATGTTTGCTGACTGTGTGTATTGTGCGTGTGTTTGATGTTTCCTGGCTGTATGTGATAGTTGATGTGTGTGTGTGTGTGTGTGTGTTGTATTTATCATCCTCCTGCTAAGCTTGCTGAATGGATTGGGGGGGTGAGGCATGATCTACGGCCATGCATTGGGGTTTAAAGTTTCTGGTGGTCAAGTTGGGGGGAGCATGTGGTCTGTACCTTGGGCCTGGGCATCCGCTGAGACAAATTCCACATATCTGATGCAAATCTATCTCTGCACTCACAGAGAGACTGGCACTCCAAATCAGTACATCACCACAAAATGAAATTCCAGCAGTCAATGAGAGTATGTTATATATAATCTTTATATCTAGTGATGTCCCGAACGGTTCGCCGCGGACGGCGAACATATGACCCTGTACCTCACAGTCAGCAGACACATTCCAGCCAATCAGCAGCAGACCCTCCCTCCCAGACTCTCCCACCTCCTGGACAGCTCACTAAGAATGCAGCTTCAAAATGGATGCTGTCCAGGAGGCGGGAGGGTCTGCTGCTGATTGGCTGGAATGTGTCTGCTGACTGTGAGGTACAGGGTCATATGTTCGCTGTCCGCGGCAAACCGTTCGGGACATATATATATATATATATATATATATATATATATATATGTCTCTCTGATTTAGAGGAGCATATCGTTTGCTACATTTTTTTTGTTTTTTTGCATGCAAATCACATCTTGTTTTTTAGAGACATTAAGTTTTGTATGCAACGTTCCAGAACTCTAAAATGTCAAGGATATTACAAATTTTATAGTTTTTAGGCTAACTTTTAGGTGTAACTTTGAAATTAAAGCAACCTTTTGTCTGTGTGCAGTTAAACTAAGCAGAGTGATTGCCTGCAGGTACTTAGTTAAGCAGGTTTAAGGTAAAAGTGAATTGTATAAATACACATTACTGCTATGGAAACAGGGATAGGCTCCTTGGAGATTGCTGCAATCTGTGTTGAATCATACATGTACAGACAATACAGCCTAGATACATGTTTATTAATGACTATAAATATTTTTTACTGTGCATTTCACAATGTAAAATTTTAACAATTCTGTATGTATTTCAAATCTCTGGATGCAATACTCTAAACTAGGGGCAGGCAACCTTTGGCAGTCCAGATGTTGTGGACTACATATCCCACAATGATCTTGTGAAGCACAGACCATTCTCTGTCTCCGCTGTGCTGGTTCTACTCTACCAGTAAAATCCTCAAGTAACTGGTTCACTTCATGTTTGCAAGGATTTGGTTTCAACGTTGCTGTATGTTAATGAATAACCTCTTCCAATATGACTTTAACGTTTCTTTATGGTATTCTTTTTATGTTTTGCTTAGAGTAATCTGATTTATGGCAGCACGTGAGTGGGCTGTTTGCAATGTATGAAAGCAAGCACGTGTGGGTCTGGATGTTGTTGTAACCATCTTGATCTCCTCGCCATAACAAGCAAACTGCGCATGAGTGTATAGAGAGAGGATATGAACGTGGTCATAATCTGTCCCTCTCTGCGAGCATTGTACTCTGTGCTCTGAGCTCCAGTGATAGATTGAGCAGACGAATGAATATGCTTGTTGAGGTGTAGGGAAGCTCCTATTAACCTCAATGCAATTTGTTCATGCTCTGGCTTTTTGTCTTACAAAAGGTTTAAAGGGTTTGTTAACCGCAGTAGATGTGATATACAACTTCCCCCACATACTTTAAAGTCATGGGAATGTAATGATAATTGTGGGGGCAAAATATAACTAAATATTTTTGAAAATTATTTTATTGATATGAATATTATAGGGCCACACCCACAACCTTGTATTTAAAGATACAATATCACATACAATAATTATATTACCTAAAGGTTAGGTTTTTTGGGACAATAACCATTTATACGATTGTAAAATAATCAGTGATCATAAAACATGTAACAAAGAAAATTGCTTCAAAACATGTCCGAGTATAATTTCCAGAGTAGACAATAACAATCTGGATAATGAGCAATGTAGTTACTGGCTCAAAGATTTTATCAACAAACGTATAATACAATTGTATTATTTTCTTGGCCGAATATATCTCACAGGAAAAAGAAAGTACAAGTCATTGCTGCTAAAGGTGATTCTACAAGCTACTGAATCATAAGGTGTACTTAGTTTTTCACACTTTGCTTCTCCCTTTTGGCTTCATTTTTGTTAAATCTTGACACCGTGCAATATGTCATGTTGTTCATCTGAAGTTGTATTTACTTATTTTTAAGACCTGCTAAGAAACAGTTGATTGCTATTATGAGCTGATATATAAAACTGCAGAATTCGGTGTACTTTATTTTTCTCATGACTGTACATGAAATAAGAACGTAAGCCCAGAATGTCTGTAACCAATGAGTGAAACCATTCCATCCCTATTATGGACTCACCGGTTACTATTGGCCACGCCGATTTTCCAAGCACTGAACACGTGCTGCCTATGGGCATGAATCTTTTAATCTGTATTTATTTTTACAGTCTTGTGCAAGCACAAAACCGGTTTTTGTTTCTTTGAGACATAATTCAAAAGCAAAACTTGTTGCTCGAGCTTGTTCTGATTGAAATCTGCAATTATAGGATATTTTTTTTTTTTTTTTTTACCTTATATCAAGTTTGAGAGTGTGCATAGGGTCATTGAGACGATGGCAGAGCACTCTCTGCATGAGCCGCACTTAGCAAGACCTCCCAGACGCTGTCATTTAGATTGGCGTACATGCACACCCATGTGTCACCCCGCTTTTAGGCCGCCTGCCTCTCGTCCCCTTCTTTTGGGCAGCCCACTCCATCTATACCTCTCATTACTGAGTGTTATGTAGCCTTCCTGGAGATTTATTTTCTAACTTTAAATTGCCTTCTCAATCCCAGAAAATGGGATTGGGGGGGGGTTGCTACATGCCAAGTGCAGCTTATGTGACCATGTGTTTGTAGATTTAGAAGAGGTTAAGGAATTGCTTATGCATCTGTTTCCATCATGTATCTGCTGAGCGATAGGGAATTGAAGGCAGTTACCTGGAAAGGTAAATGAGTAGCCACATCCATCATTAAATGAATTGACTGGGGAATATTTTTTCATGGTAAACAATCATTACAGCTACTCGTTCAACCAATGACAGATGTCAGACAAGTTATTGGAGGGCAGAGTACCCTGCTAGCCATTAAGGCTTTTATTGCTTGCTCTATAAAGATCATCTTTACCCGAAAATAGGCTGTGAACTCCAGACAAATAGAAGGCCCGCCTTGATGTCTGTGATCTCCAGCTGTCACATACAGATCTTTTGGGGGAAATTTACTAAGTTCTATTATTCTGACTCATTGGATTAACATGTTTTTTTCTTTTCCTCTACCTGAACATGTTTGCCTCTCGTATAAATGAATGTGGAGCATTCACTGTATTCTATGTGGCCTATATTTGCAGAGAAGATATTGTACGAATATGTATTTGTTTTGAATTTGGAGATATATGGTACGTTCACGTAATGCAGGGGTTATAGACCATTGAAATCTGAAACCTGTCCTTTTGTTGAGATGTCTCTTTTTGCTTAAAATTACTTCCCCAAGTTGTCTCTTATCACTAGATTTCATAATATGATTGATGTATCTCTCCCTCCCCTTTCAGATACTTATTTATTGTAACAAGGAATAAGTCTGTCCATTAAACCCACTCCGGTCATCTGTACGATAGCTACAGTTCAAAAACATTAAAGGACCACTTCAGCTCAATGAAGTGGTCTGGGTGCCTGGTCCATCTAGGATTAACCCTTTCTGCTGTATGTTTACCTATGGGTTAAACTAGCCTCTAGTGGCTGTCTCATTGACAGCCGCTAGAGGCGCTTCCGCGCTTCTCAATGTGATTTTCACAGTGAAAAGACGCCAGCGTCCATATGAAAGCATTGAAAATGCTTTACTATGGACTGGCTGAATGCGCGCACTCTTGCCGCGCATTCAGGTGGTGATGTCCGAAGAGGGAGGAGCGTCCCCGGCGCTGGAGAAAAGGTAAGGGAATAACCCCTTCAGCGCCACGGGAGGGGGACCCTGAGGGTGGGGGCACCCTCAGGGCACTATAGTGCCAGGAAAACAAGTTTGTTTTCCTGGCATTATAGTGGTCCTTTAAATATGACTTAGGATTTTAGATCAACCACAAACGTTTGAAAGCTCCAATTACAAGAGTTTTGTTTTTTTCTTTGCTAGCAGAATTTATAGAAATCAGTGCACCTTGTGAAGCTGTAGCGTCCTGTATATTGCTATCACTGAGCTGTAGGCATGTGCGTGGGGAAAACCTTCGGTTTGGAACTTCGGCACTTAGACATTTCGGGACTTCAGGACTTCTCTTGCAGCCGCTTAGTAGATAACTCCCTCATTCCCACGGTATTAGGGAGTTATCTACCAAAAGGCTGAAAGACCTAAATTGGTCTTTCAGACAAATTTACTAATGCTGAGTAAAAATTACTTAGTATTAGTACATTTTGCCCCTACTCGCTGTGTAATTTGACTCCTAACTCTCTGATTGGTTACTTAATCCACCAATCAGAGTGTTATGAGTCAAATTACACAGCATGGGAAAATTCCAAAGAATGGGGGCTCGGCAGGGGGGGAACTTTTTTTTTTTTTTTTTTTTTTCAAAACCATGAGCAACTGTTTAATAGACATGCCCCTACTCGCGGTATAGCGAGTAGGGGCATAATTTACTAATACTAAGTAACCTTTACTTAGTATTGGTAAATTTGTCTGAAAGACCAATTTAGGTCTTTCAGCCTTTTAGTAGATAGCTCCCTAATATTGTGGGAATTAGGGAGCTATCTACTTATTCATTCCTGTCATTACATTGACTGGCTAAGTAACTTATATTTTAAATGAATGTGTGTTACTTGATTGTTGTAAGTGTTGCAGATGCTTACAGCTGAATCCTGGCTATGTTTGTATAAAATTTTAAATAAAAAGTATACAATGTAACAGTCTTCTTTCACTGGGTAAGTATATTAGTACTTTACTTTGGCAATTTCGGGACCTCGGCAATTCGGAAGTACCTGAATATCCGAATTGCCCGAAATTCATATTCGGACCGAAACGAATTGCACATGTCTACTAAGCCGCTATATAGTGTTCAGTGAGTGTGTTGGGGTACAATATAGTCCCTTTGTAATTATTATTATAATTATTCGAGGCTATGCCTGAGCCTTGAACTATTCTGCATCAAGTGCACAGCTAAACGATATCCAGCGTATGTGGTCGAATAGAGTAGTACTATATAAATGGTCTTAAACTTAAATTGGGTATTTCATTTATAGGATATGTTAGTTAAGTACTTTGTGTCCAATGCTGCTGCCACTATCCTGGGTTTCTGGATGTTACATTACTGTAGATTACATAAAGATTGATTGATCTCAGCCAATCTAGTGCTTTCCCATAGGAAAGCATTGATAGGATAGTGTAAAGCAAATAACTGTGCCAATCCGCATCTCCTCATAGAGATGAGTTGATTCTATGCATCTCTATGGGGAGCGTACATCTTCTTCGTGAACGTAGGGCCTGCAGAGATTGCAGGACTGAAATACGGAAGGGCCTGTAGTGGCCATTTAACTTATGGCACGTCGAGTTGTAACTAGGAAAAAATTTAAACACTGTATTTTTTTCTGAAAAAGCAGCATTTATATTAAAGTCTATAAAGCCAAGCTTTGCTCACCGGGATTGAATTTTTATTTGCCAAGGCTAAATTTCCACTTTTAATTTTCCTATGGCTTATGGAAATTTTGAGTCTTGATTTCAACTTAAATGTGCAATGGTTTGTAACATTTGTCACATGCACAATAAACTCATTTTATGTGTTAAAGGGGTGTGTGTACATGGCATTTTACCTGCTGTTGGCAGAATACTGAGTAATAATTATTACGTGCTGGGAGATGCATGTTCCACAACCGCGGTCTATGACCTTCCTAAATGGCTTATTACGTGTGTTTTGTTTTGTCTTACAGCACTGATTAAATCTGATTTAAGAAGACACAATGTCAATTATGGAATTGCCAACTCTACAATAAAGGCAGTGAGTATCTCTCCGTACTGTGTTGTTTTTCATTATCTGGCACCGCACTATCTATGACAAGTGTCTCTCTCCCTTATTCAGAAGGTCAAGTTGACGGAAAGAGCTGTTCAAGGCTACTGTTCATCTTATTTCCTCCTTTTCTAATAGTTAATCACAATTATGAAAGCACACTGCTGTTGAACTTGTGGGGGCATTTTTTTATTTATTTTTTATTGCAGTTTGCCAGTATGAGATTAGTTATAAGGCAAATGGCATAGTGTGGCCCTAGTGTTAGCTCAAGGTCCTGCTAGTGAACCATTACAAATTGCACTGATGCACAGTAAAATATTTAACTCTCTTTTAACAGGTACCTGTGGAGAGCCCAACGGAACCAGAACAGGGCATTGTCATCTTAACAACGCAGTCCTCTTCTGCTGTATAAAAGCCATTTGTGTCTATTCAATGAGACACCCGCAGAAACTACAACAATCACAATATCTCCAAAACTGTATTTATTGTTTGTACTATTTATTGGACTCCTCATTGGCAACCCACTGAGATCAATCAAGACCATTTATCGTGCCCAGCACTTATTATGTCACTGAAGATGGGAAGAGGGCGGTAGTGCAATGCTGGTTTGTAACCAAAACCCAGTCTGCGCTAATCTTGAATCACGCAGATCTTTTATCACAAATGACTTTGCTATAATTGTAGTGTCTTTTTTAAAATGAATTTGTATTTTTTAATGTACATATTGATGATATTCCTGTGTGCTTTAGCTGTTGTGAGGCCAGTAACTAGTTGGTTTTTGTATTTGTAAACTTTATTTATAGACTGTGTGTGAGGGAAGATATCGAAACGTCTCTGCTCCGCCAATCTCTGATTCATGATTTGCCATAGTTTCAACCAAAGCGTTTCAATACTTGATATACTGACATTTCTCCTAATCATGTGCTCTGTGCTAAACATACCTAATTGCACTTGAAACCAAACTTCACAAGAGACTATTTATTTGAAGTACTTGATAATCAACTGTAGATCGTTAAAGTAGCACTATAGTGCCAGGAAAACAAACTAGTTTTCCTGGCACTATAGGGTCATTGGGTCCCTCCCACCCCTTCAGCCACTTACCTTTCTCCAGCGTCGGGCTCCGTCTATGCTGGGGAACTCTCCACCGCCTGTCGACGTCAGATCCGAATGCGCATGCTTTCAAACCGCCCATATGAAAGCATTACTCAATGCTTTCATACTGACGTCCAGCATCTTTTCTCAATGTGATTTTTCAAAGTGAGAATCGTGGAAGCGCCTCTAGCGGCTGTCAATGAGACAGCCACTAGTGGCTGGATTAACCCTCAGTGAAACATAGCAGTTTCTCTGAAACTTCTATGTTTTCAGCTGCAGGGTTAAAACTAGGGGGACCTGTTACCCAGACCACTTCAGCTCTTCATTAAGCTGAAGTGGTCTGGGTGCCTATTGTGGTCCTTTAATATTGTTTGTGTGTTGGAGAAAGGATAGCAGAAAACTATGACCCCCTTTTACATTAGACCATAGTAATATACTGTTAGTATAAGCGTGCGCATACTCAATCCAATCTGCTAGCAGTGTGTCCACCAGATGTTAAAAAAATAAAATAAAATTTAAATCAGGGAGCAAATCTTAACATTAAGAAGAACTCTTTAGATAATCAGTTGAATTAATGGTACACTCCACTGCCAAATTAAAATAAATAAAAATCACAGTTTAGTAGATATAATCACAGAGAAATATGCATGCATTTAATTATGCATTTTTCATTGGGGTTATATGTGCAACAGCTTGCAAAAACCTGCAGATCTCTTGTCTGCAGCCTTTGGAAGCCCTCCCCTTCTAACCCCGCCCAGACTTTGTGTCTGTCCAATCAGACTTCCCAATGCAGCTCAATGAGAAGTCTCTGCAAGGCAGGATCTCTGAGCAATTGCTGCCTGTGGAGTTTAGCTCCACTGAGCTATCCAAACCAGGAAGTAACAGGACCGGTTGTGTGCTTGGAAGCGAGGTAGGTGTAACCATGTTAATTTATAAAAGTGTCATTTTCTATTGAAAACTGCACTTTTTGTAAAATAAAAAAAAACACTCCGCACATAAAGCAAGCCGAATGTCCCTTCACGTGCTCTCTGTATATTACCAATATACACTATTGCATGTAGTGTAAGCTGACCAGTATATACAATGATGTGTAATGTAGGGGGTTGGCTTGCAAGATTATGTGCAATGTATGTTTAACCTGAAATTATGTATAGCAGGTTAACTGCTATATATAAATTGGTGTGCACAGTAGGCAATTATTTTAGTAATTTTTTTTAAGGGTTTTTTTTTTTTTTTTTTCTGCATTCCTTATACAGAGAGTCTCCTCCATTCTTAGGTAAATTTTGATATTGTGTACAGCAAATGAAGGTGACGTGTGCGTGATTTATTTCTTAGTGTGCAGTCCTACAAGTGTTTTTCCAGCTCGGCTATTGTCATGCAGTCATGTACAGCAAACGTGCTCTACAGGGTTACCAGTCTTTACAGTGGCTCGAGCTGCAGGCTCAGTGCTATACAGGTTACGGTGTTTGCACACTTTACATGTATATACAGATTTATTGCTCTGTACAATGATTTGTGCTGTAGGTTACAGCTCTGTACCTTAGTATGTGTTCCAAGTTCTCTGCTCTGTATAGTGATATGTGCTGCAAGCTTATTGACCTGTAGAGTGGTATGTGCTTCAGATATACCACTTTGTACATTAGTGTGTCCTTCAGATATACCGCTCTGTAGATTAGTGTGTCCTATAGATATACCACTCTGTACAGTGGTGTGTGCTGCAGATATACCGCTCTGTACAGTGGTGTGTGCTGCAGATATACCGCTCTGTACATTGGTGTGTGCTTCAGGTATACCGCTCTGTACATTGGTGTGTGCTGTAGGTATACCGCTCTGTACATTGGTGTGTGCTGTAGGTATACCGCTCTGTACATTGGTGTGTGCTGTAGGTATACCGCTCTGTACATTGGTGTGTGTGTGTGTGCTGCAGATATACCGCCCTGTACATTAGTTTGTGCTTCAGATATACCGCTCTGTACATTAGTGTGTGCGCTGCAGATACACCATTGTACCCATTTACAAGTTTTACTTGTATAAATGTTTTTTTTTTTTTAAATCCGTCTTACTAGTATAATGAATTTAGAAGTTGACAGATCAGCACATGTACAGCAATCTGTGCTTTGGCCGACTGTGGGGTGTCGTGTACCCTACGATGGTCAGCCTACACTGTGAATGTGAAGTATTGTGTATGTGCCTATTAAAACCAATTCTTTTTGCGGGCTTTTACCACTGCAGGTTTTGCACACCTAGATAATTTTAGCTTTTGTAAATAATATGTCATCGAAGGGTTTGAGTATTTGTCTTATTGTGAGTTTACTGTCTGATTCAGGTATTCTGGCTAATGATTCGATCACATAATGATAATGGCTAGCATACACGCAGCTGGACATAAACTAAAGATTCTGACAGTTTTTTTGTAACCTTTTTATTTTAAATTTCAAGGCAGCTTTTATTTAGGTCAGAATTTTTAAAGCACATTTTTATATATATATAATTTATTTTTTTTTATAGGTTTTACCAGAGCTTACCGTTTCTGAAATATTATTTGTTTGAACATTTAGGCTAAAGCAGTTGAGTGGCCTCAATTAGAAAAAAAAAAAGCATATGTCTGTTTTTATTACTGCCCCTAGTGAACTTTTTAACCCTTGAAGACGGAGGCAATTGTCCTAAGTAATTTAAGAGTTTCTCCCCCATACATATATATATATATATATATATATATATATATTGTTGTTTAAAGGACATAAAGTACTTTTGTTTAACATCCTTTATGTATACCTAACACTACATTTCATCTGGTTAAACCTTTAAAAATGGGAAACAAATTATTTCACTTTTTATTTTTTTTTTATTATTTTTTACACATTCAGTGCAACTAAATAAAATAAACTCAAAATATTATTTTATATCAGTCGTGATTGCTAAATGTCTAATATGTCTAGGATCGAAATTAATTTTTGGTAGTCAACTCTAACCCTATACCAACCATCACATTAACACTATACCAAACACACCCTAATGCTTATACTAACTCTTACTATATACTGTGGCAGGATGGCCAGGCTCTTCACAGTAAACTTCAAATTTAACAGTCAGAATAGAATAGTACTGCAGTTTATTGTCACTTTCCACAATATATACAAGGTTGTGCTCTCCCACAAAAATAAAACCGAAAATAAATCCTACTCCAACTTGGAGACTTACTAAACAACAGTATTACTAACTATTCAACTGGCCAGCTAATCTGGTTCCCAGTTTTAAACAACATGAAATACAGCACTTTAACCCCTTGAGGACACATGTGACATGTCATGATTCCCTTATTCCAGAAGTTTGGTTTCACACAGTACCTTTTACTCAGAGTCTCAGGCTTAACTTCCTCCTCTCTCCCAGCTGTTAGATTCCCCCATGTGGTCACAGGCTAACCTTTTAAAACCCTAGTGCTGGTTAATTACATTCACCTGGTTGATAACATTCAAGGGGTGACTCCTACCAATTAACCCTATCATGCTGGGAATAGAGAGCGCTCCAATCTATTACTAACATAAAAAGCCTCTCTGACCCTGCCACAATACCTACCCTAATCTTAATCTTAACCCTACTGTAACAAGAACAGGGTAGACTGGTCCCCAGCTTGGGATCCAGACTTATCCTGACATGTCATTTGCCCCTTCTCCACTGGCCCCAGAGACAACCACCATGATTCCTCAGGGTAAGGTCATGTGCTCTACCCACACTCTTCTGATTGCTCCCGACATTCTTTACAAAAATGCCTTTAGCTCACAGGCTCAACTGAATATTTCAACACACAGGTAAACATACTCTGTCACCATGCCTCTCCAAATAAGAGACAACACTCCAGTTCAGGGGGGCAAGAATACTCAAAATACTTGATTCACCACAAGGACAAGCCTCCAGCAATACATCATTTTCCACACAAACACAGATGCAAATATATGAACATGAACTTGCTTAAATAGGCTCACAACCAAAGTAATAGAAAAGGAATTCAATGGCAGTGACACTCTCAGAAGACCAGTTACATCTACACTAATCCAGCTTAATCCTTACACCTAAATCTAACTCTACGGAAACGCTCTGCTAATATTTTGATATTCTAAAATCGTTTTCGTAGTTGAGTAGTTGGCCCTCTTCGGGCTGGTATTTCATTCAATGTAATTATGAATTGAGCCTGCCGGTTCCGATGTGATTGGTGCTGGGCAGCTGGCAAAGCCCAGCGCGGGGAACAGACCCTGGGTTTCTCCCTTAGGCAGCCTGCTGCCAGAATAACCATGGTTATAAACCAAGGGCATTAACTCCTAAATTGCAAAGAATTTAACAGTGAGACGGCAGGGGCATGATCTATGCACCAAAACTGCTTCATTAAGCTAAAGTTGTATTGGTGACTTTATCCCTTTAATAGATTGAAATGCATTTATTTGTTCTATTTTATTGTCCTGTATAATTAAATGGATCAATAAACAGCACTTTTCATGGAATGTTCTAGTGAAAATTTATGGGATATTGTGAGTGCTGCTATTACTCTTTTTGAAGGGGGTGGGGGGTTAAGTGTGGAACCTAAGTTGACACCACTGAAGTCAAGGTTGGAGTGAGTACAATCATTACACTATAGATAAGCATTTTGTGTCAATAATTATGGGGTAACCACACCAACAGTTTCCAGTAGAAGTGACACCTCAAAAATACATATTTGGTGCAGGTTATATGTACGTTTCCCACCCTCACTATCCATCTAGATTGTACATACCCACAGGGTAACTGTTCTTGTATTTGTCAATTTTGCTATGGTCTCAGATGTATTGTATGTTTTTAGATAGTGAAATGGATATTCGTATCTACAGTCTTTTTAATTGTACCCATGCACAGCACTGCAGAAAGTGTTAGTGCCTTGTAAATAAAGTATAGTAATAAAAATAATGAAATACATTATTCTTTCGAATTTAAAGGGACACTATAGTCACCAGAACAACTACAGCTTATTGAATTTGTTCTGGTGAGTAGAATCATTACCTTCAGGCTTTTTGCTGTAAACCCTTTCTTTTCAGAGAAAATGCAGCATTTACACTACAGCCTAGTGATAACTTCACTGGCCACTCCTCAGATGGCTGTTAGAGATCTTTCCTGGGTCATGTCTGCCTAAAATGCATCCAAACATTCAGTATGTCCTACCGCTGCATGCAGACACTGAACTTTCCTCATAGAGATGCATTGATTCATGAGGAGATGCTGATTGGCCATGGTGGCATTTGGCTCCGCCCCCAGCTTGCCTCCTTGACTGAGATTATCAGAATAGACAATCTCGGCCAATTCAATGCTTTCCTATGGAAAAGCATTGTGAATGGCTCAGAACATCACTTCTGATGATGTCAGCCAAGGAGGCAGATCAGGGGCAGAGCCAGCACCAGCAGACTGGAATAAAGGTAAGATTTTACTATATTTAGAGTGGGACAAGGGGGAAGCCAGATAGTGGTTTTAACACTATGGGGTCAGAAATAAATATTTGTGTTCCTGACCCTATAGTGTTCCCTTGAGGTATTGTTTCCACTTGGGGATTAATTTGTCTAGACTTTTCTTAGGGAGGAGATTTTGCTATATGTCTAAGTGACGGCCACTTGAGGTTTTCTTAGGCAGTAATGTAAATACTGCAATTTTTTCGGAATTAAATCAATACGATAAAGTCTGAAACTACTACACAACTATAAGTATAAATTTGGAAGATTTTACTGCCTGGTTGCTAGAATCAATCCAGATTGTTCACTAGAACCGTGAAAACCATGTTGTAGAATTCACAAGGAAACTGCACATTTTAGGTGTAAAGATTGACCTGGAAAGATAGCTTTTTGAGAATTTACAAAAACTTGCATTTCCCTAGTAATTTCTTTGCCAATTCTCTGACTTAAGTAATATAGCTTCCTAGCAATGGATACTCATTAGAATAAAGAAAATCAATCTACAGTATGTGCTTTGTTTCTTAAATAATTAAATGATATACTGTTAGATTAGTATTCAAACCAAACTTTGCAAAGTACCAGAAATAATGATGGTATACAAAAATGTAACATGAACTGGTGACTATTTCCGTACACAACAACCATTCCAGTTCTCTAAAAACCTGGAAAAAATTAATCTGATTTCAGTTTGTTTTTATTACCGAAATACATGACACAATGCTTTTAGAAGTATAACATTTCTTTTTATTGATATTTTTTCTGGCGTTTTTTTTCTTTTTCAATAAAAAAGGGATTTGTAAAACACAAACTAAGTATAAGTTTAAAAATATACAAGCACTGTTTTTGGCGGGTAATGAATATTTAAAAATTTACATTTAAAAATTTTTAATTACATAATATAATTACTCATTTGCATTCTGTTATCGCTCAAAGACAAGACCCTTTGTTCTGTGTTGGTATGCATGCCGTCAGCTCGGAACAGGATGGCTTAGACTTGGAGCACTGTAGATGTTTTTGGCCAGTAAAAGGTTGACTGAGTGTCATGGGAAATGCAGTCCATTTACAAGAGACTAAGTTAGCAGTCACTAGCCTTTATTTATAGTAAGGTTTAAAGAAATAGGGGTATTAGTCTGCAGGATCCATTCCCTGGTTCTTGATCAAACAACTTTTGAATCCTACGCCCCCATTCACTGAGAGTGTTAATTCTTTAGAAATACATGTTTTAAATTATAGGATCCCTCCAAACACAATAACCACTAATGTGTGCAAGCACCTACTGAGATCCAGGGAAGTTGCCAATCTGTACTAAAATGGTTTGATATTTTACCAATGTCAGGGTGTCTCTGGTGTCTTAATAGTACGTTGCTATAGTGCTTTAGCGAAGTGTTCCTTTAATCCCTTAAGGACCAAACTTCTGGAATAAAAGGGAATCATGACATGTCACGAGTCCTTAAGGGGTTAAAGCCATTCATTGGCTGGGTGTGACAGTTGGTATATTATTATTTATAAAGCGCCAACAAACCCGGCAGTGCTGTACAATAGGTGGTTAAACTGGAACAGAATGTACTGAGGGCCTTCCTCAAACACGCTTATAATCAACATGTAGTGCCTATGGTGTCTAAACTGCCTTTTTAGTTTGTATTTTGCAGCCAACATTGGTTGTGTGCACTACAGCTATATTACTAAAAAGAGAAAGTGATCATGTATCCGGATATTTCACATGGTGTTTGTAGATAAATCTAGATATGTTTGTAAACTAATAGGCCGAGAGATTAGTGGCGGTCAAAGTGCATCGGCTGATCAGCCACACATTGTGTAAACCTTTTCTAAAATAACCCACACATTCTCACACGAGATATAATCAAATCATTCCTGAACTCCAGCCCTGGATGCGATGATTATTGTTGTAAAGTCAGGGAGGAAGTGAAGTCTATAGGTCTGCTCCTTCCCTGATGTGTGGATTTACCGCAAGTCATGTTCAGCGTTACCAGGTCATTGTGTGACAAAATGTACGCAGCACTCCTATTCTGCAGCAACACTTAGTTTCTCTTAGGAGGGGGTGAGGGAGTGTTTCCAAACCTCAGAGGCTATTCTAAATTTCCTATGACTGAGAGCTGGAGTTCATGGGAACTGAGAGTGGATCAATTGCAGGATGTCTTTGTATGTTCAAGCAACAGAATGAATGAATTTTGTCTTCTATTTGTTTTTTTTTGTAGCTTTAATTTGTAATATTGAATATTAACATTGTAATAAAAGAAATCAGGAATGCGTTGAACTCCTATTATGTTATACTACAATCAATCCCTAATATACAGTTCTGTAGAATGTGTTGGGTTCCTTCATTATCATACATAGCAGCATAAGGGTTATTTTCACTAAGTGGGGGTGAAATATATAGAGCATTGTTATATATAGGCCAAAACAGAGTAGGAATAATATTTCATTTTCGTGCTTTTTTTTTTCTGTTTTACATTGTGTTTAGAGAATACATTCAAATTTACAGGGTCATTCACTAAAGTGAGAGTTGAAAAATAATTTCAAATTTAAGGTCTAAATAGCCGAACTGGAAACCTTCTCTAACCCAGCCATGCTATCTGTTCAGCTACTGTGGTTTTAAAGGGTCAGGAACACAAACATGTATTCCTGACTCTGTATTGTTAAAACCATCTAGTCCACCTGCCCCTCCTTTTCCCCTAAATATAGCAAAATCTTACCTTTATTCCAGTCTGCTGCTGCTGGCTCTGCCTGCTTGGCTGACATCATCAGAAGTGGTGTTCTGAGCCAGTCACTTCCCCATAGGATTTGCAGAGTCTGTCAAGGAGGCAGATCAGAGGCACAGCCCAAACAAGCCAAACACAGCAAATAAGCATCTCCTCGTAGAGATGTCTATGAGGAAAGTTCAGTGTCTCCACACTGTGCAGCACTGATCCAAGAATTATCTCTAGTAGCCATCTAGGTTCGAATGGTACACACTGCATTTTCTCTGAAAAGACAGTGTTTACTGCAAAAAGCCTGAAGGGAATGATTCTACTCACCAGAACAAATTCAATAAGCTGCAATTGTTCTGGTGACTGTAGTCTCCCTTTAAATTTGAAATCCCTTTTAATTCTCACTTTAGTAAATACCTTGTTAATTTAATATAAGTCAAGACACCATTAATACCATTGGAAACTTGCTTAATTCTTATCTTGGTATATAGCATTTCTGTATTTAATATATTGAACTGTGTGTATTCTAACACATCCTTGTTTTAATGCTTTCCTATGAGACTGGCTGAATGCGCGCAGCTCCTGCTGCGCATGCGCATTCAGCCAAAGAGGAGAGAAGGCAGAGAGGAGGAGGAGAGCTCCCCACCCGGCGCTGGAGAAAGAGGTAAGTTTAACCCCTTCCTCTCCCCACAGCCCGGCGGGAGGGGGTCCCTGAGAGTGGGGGCACCTTCAGGGCACTATAGTGCCAGGAAAACAAGTGTTTTCCTGGCACTATAGTGGTCCTTTAACCTGTTTGTATTGACTACACATTTTGTAAGTGGCATCTGGTAACTTGATGTCAATGTCATGGTTTTGGCACAGTGTGCTGCCCTTATGACAAGGTTTGACAAAGATAGGAGCCATGTGGGTATTTATTACTCATGTATCAAGGCTTATGAAGAGATACATCTAAAGAGTTTCTTGTAAATTAAGCTGGCGAAATGATTGATTTATAATAAACATAGTCTGGCTTCTAAGTTTGTTAAATCCTGCTTTACGAGCTGCCAAGCACAATGTCACTTGTCACTTCTAATGCGTGATTATGAGCTTCATGTCGAAATGCTTCCATCAAATTTTTGGACTCCAGTCCTGGTCCTATGAATAAAATATTCAAGGTCAAACTTCAAGGAGTGCATCGCTCAGATACCATCAAACAGCCTTCTTCTGGTGAACATTCATAGAATGAGGTTCTGTTTTTGAAAGCTGAATGGTGACAATACTGTTATTTATTAAATGGAGTCTGTCTTTAAGTTGATACACAAACTATTGTTTTGTAAGATTTTGGAAATGTAATATGCAAACTGGGGGAGGGGAAAAATCAAATCTTTCTCGTTGTTTGATTTTTTTTTCAGTAATAAAATAAAATGATGGAAACTTAGATTCCATTTCTCACTTTTCCTCTTCATTAAGGCTTCTTTCGTGAGTTAACACATTTTATATCTTTATTTGGAAGGGATTTAATTATTAGTGATTATTTCTAATCAATGCTAAAATGAAGTTGTGAAATCTTCTATTGGAATCTAGATAATTCATTTCTAGATGTGTTTGACATAATAAAAATATTTGTGCAAGCAATGTTACCATTTTATGTCACTGCTTAGATATCTCCTATACAGAAATTGTAGTGTTCCAACATTGCATTTATACAGAATTCTTTATTATTCAAGGTCCAATTACATGGAAGTTCCTCGACAACAACAGCTTTAAGCCTCTCTCAGTACTGCTCCCCATGCTCTCACATTGCTACAGTTACTAGTATTTGAGTACTCAGTGGAGAGTTTTTTTTAAAATTGCAGTTACAAAAGGAGCGCAATGTTTTAAGAATTGTGCGCTCACCATAGAAGACAATAGTACGTCCCCGATGATTCCATTTGTTTCCATAGGGATTTTCCCCCGTTTATTTACATCACTTTTCTACTATTTTTTTGTAATCTTCCCCATAGTTTGGGAGAGGTTTACAGTTCCTTTTACTAGATGGCCAATTCTTACAGTGTTACCTAGTTTAAAGCAGTAATATGTATTTAATCAATACAAATTTAAAACGTGTCAATATGGTGAGAGCCCCTGAAGCTGTCTTGTATGAAGGATGTGTGCTGGCTGAACACGAATGGACAAAAATGACAAAAAGACAGATTTCATGAGTTCACGTAACCCAGTTCATCCAAAGATACATCCTTAAACACAAGGGACATCAAAATCCCTTACTTCTACTCAGTGCTTGATTTTACTGTAGAGCATGAAAAAGAAATTGCCAACGTAAGAATACTTTAATAAATACATTCTATGTTTCTGGTATTATGCTGTAGATGACAGTAGACCTACTGAATTCCAGCCGTCACACTACTGATGACAAACGAGGGACTCCAAGCAAAGATATGGTTGAAGCAAATATTTAATGTCATCTTTGGGCGGGTGAATTTTGCTTCCAAGAAAAAAGTGGGATACGTCAACCCTGGACCACTGGGCTGCTTCTTTATACTTTGTTTATTTAAATATCAACTGAAATAGCAAGGTATTGAAAATGTGTAAAAAGGCTAACTTCTAACCATACACAACTATTGCAGCAATCATTTTGCCTGTTTGGTGCTAATGTAGAAAAAAAACACATTTTCCAGGAAATAATGTTTAGAATATTTCACTGAAAGTGTGATAAGATATATGGGAGAGGAGAGATAAAGGGTAATACCAAGTACATTGTGTGCAGATAAGCATTCCATATGTAATTCAGGGCAGAGAGCAGATTACGTGGTGATCTGATGCTTGACTTTGTCACCTTTTTGTTTGCAGTGTCTTGTCTATGTTCAATATGCCATGGCAGGCTACGCGTTCAGAACAAAATGTAGAAACTATCAGCTCCAGTATAGTTATTGATGCAATTTACGCTGCCAATAATAAACAGGATAGTGACCTATTTTGCAATTTAAAGGGACACTCCAGGCACCAGCAAAACGTATGGTCACTAGATAGGGCTTGGCCTCACTTTCATGCTCTGTTTTTCTCAATGTTCCTGATTGACGTGAGTGTCAGTAAATATACACCGCTCAACTGATTAGAACTCAGTATAACCTGAGCTGTGGACTAGACTCTACCTCTGTTTGATATAGACTTGTTGGAGGTGGTTTATGTGCATTCAAATTATAGCAAAATCTTGAAAACATATGGTGCTCCCACAGATGAACATCTGCAGTTAGTGTAAATGAGTGGTCCCGCAACAAATACATTCATGACTTTTACATGAAAAGTCATATGAAAATAATTAAAGTCTCACATTAGGAATCATCAGAGAAAAGACAGTGTTTACATTGCCCCTAGGGGCACCTCCAAGTGGCCACTCCTAAGATGGCCACTGCATATGCTTCCTGGGGCAGTGCTGCACAGTAGGCAGCAGTGCCGTTCAGCGTCTATACGCTCTGCATGGGGATGCTGAATTTTCCTCAAAGAGATTCTTTGATTCAATGCATGTCTATGAGGAGGTGCCGATTGGCCAAAACAGTGTTTGGTCCCGCCCCACCCCACCTCCTTGCCGATTTTAGCCAATTGGCTAAAAGTGGCAATTCTGATGATGTCATCAAGGAGGCGGATTGGGGCAGGCCAGCGCCAGCGGACCCGCCCTGTGCTGGAAATAAAGTGAGTTTTATTACTTTTTGAGGGGGCTAAGTGGTGGGTCTAACACTATAGGTTCAGGAATACATGTTTGTGTTCCTGACCCTATACTGTTCCTTTAAATTCTGGGACATTATGACAAGAAAATTGGGCAAGAATTAGGAGGAAATTTAGAAGAATGGGAAGGCTAAGGAGGAAGTGAAATAGCCCAAATGAGATATGGTTGCTTGATTAGAGTTTAGATCTTCATATAATGTGTGGTAAGGTATTGATACACAGTGACATGAAAAGTACACTTGTAATCATAATACGATACATAGGTCATAATTAACAACTGTATGTGGAATAAGTACAAGAAATGGTGCAACACCCTCCAGTAATGGAGTAAAGTTAAATAGTTACATAGGCAGAGAAGAGACACATGTCCATCAAGTTCAGCCTTCCTCATATTTTTCTTTTGCTGTTGATCGAAAAGAAGGCAAAAAAAAGGGAAGTTATAAAGTTGTAAAGGGGAAACAAAAAAATTAAAGATATAAAAAAAAAGGGTAAGTTGCTGTGTGGTAAGGGTCCACAAGGAGATCCCAATTCTTCTACAATGACCCATAAGGGCGCTGGAAGGTTCCCCATGTTTTCTGGAACGTGGTCATTTTATTGTGTACCTGCGCTGTGGCCTTAATTTTGAGTATAACAGTTGTCATAGCGCGGGAACTTCAACCTATAGCCATACTGGGGCCAAGGCTCTCCATGCTACCAAAGTAATCATATTGAGAAGGCATTGCTCCTGAGTTATTATACACTAGTCGGCTTGGACAAGAGGAAAACCTAGAGGTTAAGAGTAAGGTGCCTATGAAAAATAATGGAGACCATTGTGTCATTTCTGCTTTAAGACTACAGATTTTGTCATTTTTGTCCAACCACTGGCAGAGAATAATGGCCGTTATAGTTGAGATACAAATGAGGACATTATATGGTAGTAGGGTATCACAAAAAAATACATATCTTTCTCCATAACCCAGAGAACACTACTAAAGGGTAGCATTCTTTCCCATGTAGGGTAAAACCAGCAAATACTGTAAACATGTCACTTCCCTCCCACAGCTGGTGCTATGTACACCAGACAACAATTAACAAAGGACACCAGCAAATGATGGCTTTAGCAGCTTATTGAAAGACAGCAATGAAACGTAAAATTGCTATGCTATTTAAAATATTCCTAGGGGATTTGCAGAAATGTTTTCTATGGGGATTTATCGTTTCCAAATGGTGGCTTAGGCTTTTATGGAAATATTCCTCTCTACAAAAACATGTAATTCTCCCAGTAGCGTGATAATTTGATATACATTAAAGGAACAGTCCACCCTAAAAATGGTCCAATAAATTAATAAAATAATTTTTATCTATGCTTTTTTTTGACTATTAATTTTTTATTGAGGTATGATCACAACATTGGGCATGTGTTTTAAACCTTCCTGTGACTCTGTGAGAGGATGTTACCATAACTGCTTCCCCTGCAGCTAGGCAGTGCTTGGGGACATTCCGTCCCTCCGTCCCCAGCTGTGGCCATGGGGAAACATAATGCCCTACCCCCTAGTTAATTATTTTATTAGGTGTCCCACCATGGGGTACCTGTGCCAGGTCATCCGTTATTTAAGAGAACTGTCTGTTAGCTGCCTCTCACAGATAGCTGTCTTAACACACATGCCCAATGTTGTGATCATACCTCAATGAAAAACAGATTGACAAAAAAAAGCATTAAAAAAAAAAAAAAAAAAGGGGGCCGGAGCCTGACTGCCAAACGAAGCAGACGTTTGCCACGAGAGCTACTGCGTTTGCCACTGGTGACCCAGGGATATTCCCGTCCCTAACAACTTTACAAGCACAGCCTAGAGAAACTCTTGCAGAGAGGGTTTTGGTGACCCTCACTCAAGTGTCTCCGGAACTGACTTCCCAAACCGAGGCCTTGAGGCCTACACATGAGGGAGCTTGTAGCTCTCCCTACTCCCCAGCTGGCTTCTAAGAAACAGAATTGTGCAATCCCCCCGCCCCCCCTTTTGGACCGGTGGGGGTTATCTCGGTCCCTATTGGGTTGCCTCACACAGTTCCTAGCCCAGAGGAGGAAAACTCTCAAGCTACAGAACTCCTCAAGGTGGCGGATGGGCCTACGACAGTGACCCAGGCATCCAAAGTTCCACTTGACCCCACTAGCAACTCCCTGCTGGCAGTGGACGCAATATTTGCCACCTTCTGGGCACAGATGGAGGAATGATCAGCAGCCTCTGCTCGTCTGCCTATGGAGACGGGCCGCCAAAACACACATGGACCCCCACCCGGGAAGCTACCCATCATGCTCGGGTCCCTCTCATCAAGTGACCCCCAGACCGAGGGCTAAACGGGGGCTGAACCCTACTAATCGCCCACATCGGTGGAAGAAACCATCACTGGCTCAGGGACAGCCTACCTTCCCTCTCCGGTGCCACGTTCCTTTGAAGCATCCCAGAGAATGCCACATTGCTGGGAAAGGTCCCCGCCGCCAGAGAGCTTCGACTCGGCGACAGCTGCCGCTCACAGCAAATCCCCAGAGAGCAACACAGCCTCTGCTGTCCCCTTACACGGCTCAGCGGACCACTGTTCCCCAGGGTCGACTGCATCCTAA